ATGGCACCCCAATCTTCTCGAGCATTTTTCAATTGTCACACCTTCTATACCAAGATACTTGTGCCCCCAGACTACTGAGACGAAAGACCACCGGTGCTAGTACTTCTTCGTATCGAAGAGCACACCGTGTCGAACACCATGGCATTCCATAGTTAACGACAAGTACAACCTGGAGCGACTCAAGATGCTTGATGTTGAAGAGCGGATAGAGACACTTCTTAGACTTGAGGTACTCTGATTTCACGGCTCCGGGGTAATGGGTCGCCAAATTGATCTCGACACTACGAGTGTGGTCCTGTGCAATACATTCGCTACCAGTGAGATGGCCAACAAGATCCATATTGAGATACTCCGAGAGACGATCGACCTCAGCTATGCACAGACGCGTTTGGTGGTACATAGCTTCTGTGGCCTCTATAGCGAATCTCTCTCCGACGAAGTCCTTGTTTGCAAAGGCGGAGGTCCACCTTTGGCAACAGCTTCACTCCACTTCGTGCGGTGGCTATTGTGCAACTCCCATAGATCATGCTCGAACCATAGTGTGTATGGTTTAGAATCTTGTGAGAAAGTGTAGTCAAACACCATGTCACGGAGCTCGCTGGGAAGTTTGGACATGAAGGTGGAGCTGAAAGAACGACACCAAGCTTGGCTAGCTGCGACGCTGGCTTCGCCAAGGTACCTACATATGTAATTAGTATATATCTCTTAGTCGAGTTCAAGTATTCTTACATTGTAGTGGTTCTCCATTTATTTTCCAGTCGCCTGTGTTCTTCCACGTATCACCGTATGAACTGATTCGTATCTTCGTCCAAAGCTACCTGTCTAAGTGGAAATTAGCAGTGTACTCATCCTATATGTCAACATTACTTACCGCGCTCATGTCGCATCAAGTTGTTGTGCTCGTCTGTCAGGATTGTTAGAAAGAAACTTGTCTGGATGCAATGCGAAGAGATGAACCCACGTTTCCACCACTTGCATGGTAAGCTCGAAGTCGGCCTTAGCCATAGCGCAGATCTCGAGCCTCAACAAGCTCCGTGTTGAGCCTGTTGTTTTGACAATGGTAGAGGTAATTAGAATGGATCCTCGACATCGATGTCGAAGGCAGCTGTTGGCGGATAGGTCTGTGCGCCTATGACGTGCCTGTTATTAATGCCTCTCACTCGGAGTATAGTGCCCGCACACCAAATACTGCGGTGCCTCTGATAAATTAAGCGAGCCTTCTTTGGAGGCGCAGCCGATAAGCCTTCCGCAGATTTAGACATGTGTTAGGAGGCCTAGAAAGTTCTATGTCAGCCCTCCGTTGTCCAGGCGCAACCAGAATGCTTCCGACGTTTGGTCTCTTCGTATATATTTCCAGAGTAATTGCTAATTTGACTGGGCCTTGCGTGATGTAACAACATCCTCCTACCCGCCATCTAGACACGTAGGATTTCTGATTTCATTGGGGTTTTTAGAGTGTGACAACATCTTGGTACATGTCCTTCAGACACGCTGTGTGTTTCTATACGTACTTGGCCAAGTTATATAATTGAAAGAAATTCATTAATATGACTAGGAACATGGATTGGCAGTCGAAATCTTGCACTGTAGCTAGACCGGAGACAGGTTTCGACAGACCAAAGATAGAAGAATCTGTCCGGAAGATGGTTTTCATACTCTAATCAAGGCTTTACCGAAGCTGCTTGTAGGATTGAACAGGAAAGCCTGTTTCAAGTTTCCAAGGCTTGTGACTAATTGCTGAAGGCTTGCCAGTGTCATCCAAGGACGAAAGTTTGTTATACAGAGGAGCTGCCCACAATTTACCAGAATATGCTACCTTGGCCAGAGTCCAGATACCCAACATAACTACAACATGTGATTATAGCACTTATCATATATATTTCTCAATAGACGAAGTCAGTGTTGCTGCCAAGAAAACCAAGTCAAGAAGTAGCGATACATCCTAGTATGACTAAGCAAACATTAACCCTTGCAATTCCACGCTAGACCCCACGCCATTCCGATCGGATCCTTGGTCATCCCGACTCGAAGATACTTGAGGCAGCCATCCAACACAAATCCAGCATTTTCTGTGACAAGACCCCAGGACCTTAAATACATTCAATTCGGCATCCCGAAGAAATAGAATACTCAATAAACACCATGGGTCGTCCAGACGGTCCGCGCGACCCAATCGCTGGTCCCGACACACCCCAACCTCCATTCCCCATAAAGCTCCGAGGACCCGTAGTCAAAGGTTTTGGACGCGGAAGTAAAGAGGTAAGATCACATACCACCTCCCGATGAATCATACCCAGCAATACCACAACACACTCCTCCATCACTCTCTTAATGCAACCCAGCGCAACACTAACCACCCCACCACCAGCTGGGCATCCCCACAGCCAACATCCCCCTCTCCGGCCTCAGCATAGGCGGCCACGACACGCTAGATTCAGGAATATACTACGGCTGGTGCACGCTCGACACGTCGACCATTCCCTCTCAAACCAGCGCCTCATCCGTCCCAAGCGCCACATCCGACACATCCATCCCCACGCGCTCCTCCTCGCACGCGGTTGCGGACCTAGAATACTCGTCTTCCACCCCCACGCCCTCAACCGTATACCCCACCGTGCTGTCCATTGGCTACAACCCGTACTACAAGAACGAGAAGCGGTCGATCGAGATACACATTTTGCATAGTTTTGAAAAAGACTTTTATGGTGCGGAGCTGAGTTTGCTGATTATGGGGTTTATCAGGCCCGAGTATGATTATGTTAGTAAGGAGGCGTTGGTTGAGGATATTAGGGAGGATATCAGAGTTGCGAGGAGGAGTTTGGGGAGGGAGGGGTATGAGAAGTGGATGGGGGATGCGTGGTTGAAGGGTGGGGAGGAGGGTGCGGCGCAATAGGGCTGAGGGGTCCTATGGTTTGTGTGTGAGATGTTCAATTGATCAGAGGAGAGGAAAGAGATGATTGATTTCAGGCGGTAGAGAATAGATGACACCAAAGATAGAGGTGAACACATACCCCACCCTACCCGAGAGAAAGAAAGAAGAATTAGAAAATATCCATTTACTTCGGTCTAAGAGAGAACACTGGTATAAGCGCGTGGGCTTTGTCTAATTCTCCATCCATGATTGCAATTGCGCCATTCGAAAACATTTCCACCAACGAACGCCATCAGAACGCCGGAAACCAGGAAAGCAAAACAAAAAAAAGACCACCACGTATTAAGCCATATCCGCTGTTTCCCCCGAATATGCAGGTCCCTCGTATACAGAACGGAGAGACCCGGCCCAGGTATCCTATGCATGTGCTCTCCCAGGAGAACCCAGAACAAAAAAGCAAATCGTCAGAGAAAGCAAAAACACTTTTGGTTGTCTTTTTTACAGCCACCACTAACCACCACCGCCACCACTCGCTTCCGTCAAAACATCATAGCACGTACGTGCGTACGTGTCCATGGTTCGTGTAACGTACGTAGTGCAGTTTCTGCGGTACCAAGCGTATACAAGCGTCTCTCGTTAGACTAAATGGTATGGGGTAGAAGAAAATGGTATGGGGGGATGAAGGAAGTGTAGAGCTCATGAATCCAGTAAGCGTCATTCTCAGGCCTATGGAAGACCTTTATCAAGAACAGGCATAACCTACACACAAACACATCAGCAATCTGATCATTTCGGATAGTAAAAAGGGGGAAACTCACACTCATACAAACCAGCACCGGCATATCGAAGATGTCTCTCTTGATATGCCACCAAATCATGCAATCGACCATTCCGCTCTTGGCACCAAGCCGCTGCATAGCACTCTCACCCTGATGTACAGCTCCGCCTTCCATCTTGACCAATGGATCCAATTTCGCGTCGCCAGAACTTGCATTCTTCATGTTGTGAATGCGGTCAACGTCTGCTTTGGTCTGATATCGCAGCATATTAACACGTTGGGAAGCATAACCGCGTGGGTCCTGATAACAGAGTTCAGAAAAGTGCTGAAGGAATTCTAGGGCTGATCTTGCGTCCATGAGCTCGATGATGTTGACGCTGGGGGTAGCGCCCTCGGAGTCTTGGGCTGAGAGGTTAGGAGTTGTGTTTTGGGTAGAGGTATCGCTTTCGCTGGATTCGCGGTTGGTGCCGAGGTTGACGTTGAGGTTGGGTTCGTGGCCGAGAAGGACATCGCGTTTCCAGCCCGTGAGGATGGTGAATTCCTTGTTTATACCGACGATCTCGCCTGAGCGCCGGCAGATGAGGAAGGGGGTACCTACTTCGGCAAAGTGCTCTTGAAGTGTCATGAGATGGCGTTGTAGACCCATTTCTTGGTGTATTAGATCGTCTCGGTTCAGCTCTTCACGAACTTGTAAGAGAACGGGTCGGTAATTTTGTAGATATTGTTGTGCTTTGGCGACCCATGGCCTGGAGTACTTCTTGTCAATCAGCTGATACAGCCTATGATAGCCCTTAACATAGTCATAAGGCTTGGTAATGCCTTGATACACGCTCTTGGTATCTCGTTGGCGTTTACGAATGCCATTTGCGTGTATTGATTGCAGTGCTGTGGTTGGAGGCCTATTTTCCTGTTGCGGCCGACTGACCAAGGGTGACCGTTGTGCATGCGGCCGATTAGCATTCGCAAAGAATGCTGCCGTAGATAGTGGATTATCACCCTCGTACGTAGACGCATCGGTGGATGCCGGACTTGCTGTAGAATGTGTGGCTGGTCCTTGGCCAATGGCAAACGCGTGAGGACCATTGAGGCTGTCATTTCGGTGAGGGTGGTGGTCGTGACTGCCGCTACCCGAGGTATTGTTTGGCGTGTGAACGTGCATACTTCCCTGCCGCGATTGCGTCTCTTGCCATTCGCTGCCAGGGAGCCCATTCGGACCGAATGCCATAGCGGCCGCATTATTTTGATCCGGGTAACCGGACGGCACTTGCTGATTATACATGTTCACGGAACCGCTCATGTTGTTCATCAGGTTATTGTCATGCGGTGTCTCGACTGCACCTGATGACATGTGGCCGAGCATGCCAAACTCGAGCGCACCATAGTGGTTCCCAAAGTTCAGACTGGAAATATCGAAATTGAACAAGGCTGGGTCGCTGGGGTCGAACAAGGGTCCAAACTGTTGCATACCTTGCTGACCCTGTGACATGGTACTCGGCGCACCTGCATTTTGCACCGAAGCGTGGTGGGCCTGGGTAAACGGCGGTGATATCGGCGACTGCTGGTTGCTAAAAGCTCGCGTGTCCTGAGTAACGGGTAGTTGGCCTGGTATCGAATTTGGCGGATAGAATGCGGCCGGTGGCTGGGCTTGATTGTACATGTTGCTTTGTGGAGAGACAGAGACTGTATGTGTGTCCTGAGCCGGAAGTGGTGTTGGGCGGTTTCCGTTCATGTACGGGTAGTGGCCGCCCACACCGGGCATGAGAGAGCCATCTGGTGCGTCATGAAGGTACTTTGCCTTCTTTCGCACGCCGTCCATACAATGATCTTGGAGACCTCGCTTGATGCAGCGGCCGCACGGCCTTTCATCGCCTGTTGTAGTCGTTAGTTTTCTACTGTGCAAACCTGTCGATCACGCTAGAACGACACGGCAACTACAAACTCTCCATACTCACCACATGTCAGATGGGCGCGCTGGCAGGCAAAACATGCCCTCCGCGCCTTCTTTCTCCGTGGTCTTAGAGGATCCTTTGCATTGGGTTTGCCGTTTGCAGGCTTCTGGGTGGGCGAGGCATCGCCGGACTGGCGGTCTGTAGTCTGTTCGGCAGCCATATCGTCGTCCTGATCACTCCTGTACTCCGGCGAGGGAGATGCATCTTCGGCGTCTGGGGTGGTCATAATATCCCTCTAGGCAGCGCAGGCTCTGCGGCCGAGCACGGACTGCTGCTGTGAACTAGTAGGGGCGCTGGGGACGGCACGCTCAGCGCTGCGTGCAGCCGTCAGTAGTCTTCTTGGGGTGTTCCCAGCAAAACGGTTCAGCCAATGTGTCTTGGGAGCACGGGTGGAGGCGTTCCAGCTGCGTGTTTTGGAGTGCGATCACGCGTGCGCTGGCTGCTTGAACAGGCGCTGCCGTGACACTCTGACAGCTCCAATGGCGAGCAATGCAGGGGACCCAGATAGTGAAGGGCACTCAATCCGGCGGGCAGGTATGGGACAGTGCGGTAGTGGTACGGAGCCGGGGTCCATGCAATCGAGGGAGCATTCCAGGAGCACACAGAATCATGTTTGATAGCGAGATGCTACCGAGACGCGCTGCCCATGCTGCTGGGAGTCGGGTGTGGTTCTACAAGATACGCCGGGAGCTGAGCCCGCGGAGGATGAGGCGGCGTGTGTGGCAGTGAAGCAGTGACAGCGGGGGAGGAGCGACACCGTAGCGACACCGTAGCGACACCGTAAGGCGACGGCTCTGTCGTACAGGGCAAGTCGCTCTCGAGCACTGGGAGCGATTCTTCTGGCCGGGCAGGAGCAATCTGCTGGCGAGGCAGGATCGACCGGGCTGGAGGCAGGCGCGACCGATGGCGGCGAGCGCTGAACAGGCGATGTTTGACGAGCTCGAGTCGCGTCCAGGGCACCTGCAGCGCTGTGTGCGATTGACAGAGGGCGAGGCGTCGGGGCGCTGGTCGTGTGCGGTATTGGGGCTCTCTACAAGTTGCGCGCAGATGCGGTTCCCCGCAATTGGCTGTCGAGGTTTGCTGTGGGAAAGGTGCTGCCCAGGTGCGGCAAGTGCGCACCAGCAGCTCCTGCCTCGGTCCCTGTCGACCGGTAGACGGGCGTGCTTGGGGCTTGGCGCTAGCCGCTAGCCGCTAGCCTTCCACCTTCCCGTGACACGACCCACGACGGCCTCCCACTCTCGTCACCAATCGAATGCCACTTCAGCCACTCGCATGTGCTTCTTCTCCACACACTTGGTCGTCATGATCCTTCATTACATGGTTAGATTGATTGATTCGAGTTGAGACACCACGCCTGTACCGGTATTGCGCGCGCACGCTGGACAATCTTGCCCCATTCCTAGCAGTATATACTATCGATTGTGCACCCACTCCTCAGGTCCAATAATCGCCTGTGAGTTTTGTGAGGCAGACGTGCAGAAGTGGCATGGCGGCCAAATCACCCACTCACTCACTCACACTCCCCCCTCTGCCTCAGCCCATGGGGAGGGGCCGGCTTCGGTGCGACCGACCCTCATGCTCCCATGGATTACTCGTGTCGCTCGTCTACAGCTTCGCGAGCCTCTGTGTCGCCCTCAGCGTCTCACTCGCCCGTGTCGCTGGCTTGCCGACCACGTTTCCTCACACCTCGGCGGCACCTCCGCCCCTCGGCAACGGCACCATCCGCAACCGCTTCGCTCTCTGTGTTCCCCTTGTCCCTCGAGCTGGCGTGGCCGCCCTCGTGGCGCTCATGTTCCGTCGCACAAAGGTCCGGCCAACTTGCTTCATGTCGTCTCACGTGTGGGCGCAAAATCCTTGATTCAATAAACATGATGGCATGCAAACGCCGTGTCACTCGCTATTCTTAGTCCCCCTCCACTCATTTCTGCCACATGCTCTCGCGTCGCAGACACGACCATTATGCAGATGCATAGCGACTGGAGCCCCTGAGTCGCTTGCCATATCGAAAGAACAAGATTGGAAACCTGCAACAGCATACATTAGTCGAATCCCGTAGCCACTGCCGCGGGTTGCTTACGGTGCCATTGCCAGTGCCAGGAACGCGAGCACAGTCGTTGCCCACTGGTAGCCGAGATCTTTTCCACTTTAGTGACCGCTCTTTCATCATGGTGCGCCTAGCAGACACTTACTGTTGTACATCTGAACACCAAATAGTCTATGTCATGGGTTAGTCAGCATGTCTGCCCCAACGTTTGGCCTGGGCTTACGGGAATGCCGCAGCAAAGTACGACCGCGCAAAGCTGTTGGCCGCAAGAGCCGACGCAGCGTAGACAGGGTACTGTTCGGCGAGGTCAGAATCTTGTACCCAGCAGCCTGGTCCGATGTCGGTGCATGGTAACTCACAGCCTCGACGAGGAATGTAAAGACCCCTGAATACACCCAAATCACCCTACGTCACAAATGCCGTCAGTTCTTTTCTTATCCATGACACTGGCATTGTCCAAAAACAGAAGTCTTACCCAAGGCCAAATAGCGCTGAGAAAATCATTGGGACTGTCGTGTAATGGTCAGTAAATATTGCGACTCGACAATATGCACCATGCTGTCGTACCTATCCAGTGAACCTGCAGAAACCGGGGTGTTAGCTATAGAAGCTTCCATAGTAGCATCATTCTAAACTCACAGATGAGTATGTCGTCCATCCAAACCCTGCATACGTATGATTAGAAATTATCCACAGTCACATCCTTGTCAAAGCTTACCAAGGAGTGCAATGGGAACCACCCAAGCGCCTACAATCGTTGAAGGGAGCCGAAACTCTGGTTCCGACCCACCGGGCTCGCCTCCTTGCTCTTCGCGTTGCCGCACGAGCCTACCATATATCTTCCTCCAGATGGGGTCTGTAGAAATCCCCGTAAGCATACCTACCAACAAGCCAAGGAATGAAAGTCCCAGCTGCGAGATGCTAAAGCCGTGGTTGTTAATAAACACGAGACCAAAGGCGCCAAAGAACAGGTAAAGGATACCCAACAAAATGGCAGACAGGATGCAGAGGTTCAAACACTGCAGCACGACAGTCAGTCCACCAATCAAGGCCACATCGCGCAAAAGACCCACCATAGGTTCAAAGATCAAGAGTTGAAACGGGCGGATGCATGACCACAAGACTGTTTTGGCAATCGATCTGTCCATCTTCTCAATCGGCGCTATCCACTCTGAGTTGCCGGTTTCTCCTCGCAGTCGAATCGCCTTCCGGCGGAGAAGGACAGGGTGATACGTCTCAGGCACGAACAGGACGATTAGGCAAAGCTACAAGGCTAGCATTAGTCTCTGGCGCACATGGTGTGCAGCACAACCTTACCTGGACTCCAGACCAGATGATGAGCACGTAGAAACACCTGACTTGATGTCAACACACCGCCCATTACCATGGCAAAGCAGACGACCATCTTTCTGGCCGTGAGAACGAACGCCACAGAATGCGGTTTGCATTTGAAATCAACGCCATCAGATCTGCAGGTGTAGTGTCGCAAGGCGGGGGGGCTGTGGGTCTCTTGAATAAGCACTTACCATCTCCACGTAGTCTTCTCAACAATAAACCCTGCTATCAGGGGTCCGACTTCTGGGCCTACAAACGGACTGGCCGTGTAAACCATCATAGGCGCTGATAGTTCCTATGATTGCGTCAGAGAATAAAAGTGGTAAGCTGGTTGTGGGGAGGGACTGACGTGTTTTCCAAACATGTCGCCCACAGTTCCTCCGGCTACACTGAGGAAGGCTGAGCCAGCCAGACCATCGAGGAAGCGCGCCACCAGCATTGTTTCGATATTTCGAGCCAGCGCGCACGGAATCAGCCAGATGAGGAAGAAGGTAAAGGAGCAAATGTAAATAGGCCTCCTCCCGTAGAACTGCCACGGCGTTAGTCAATATTTTTCCCTATGCACTGGCGATCCTGCGAGTGCCGGCAGTTGTACGCACTTCCGAGAGGGGACTGAGAATCATCGGACCTGTGCCGAGTCCTGCAACAAACAAGGACAGTCCAAGTGTGCAGACTAGACGGGAAGCCCCAAACTCTGGCTCCAGCTGACTATACGTTGACGTATACAGCGACGAAGTGCATGTCCTGAATTGGGGAATAATCATTAGCATGTGCATGTGTCCATGTTACACGAGTTTTGGTCTTCACAAGATCAAAAGACGTACACACAAAGCGAACTAGCCGCGCATATCAACACGATAGCCCATCGACGTAGCTTGCTCATACTCCTGGGATTCTCTGGGTCTGCGTCACCATCCCAGCCGACTAAATATGGCTGCTCAGTCACAGGGCCTGACTTGGCCCTGCTGCTGCTTCCATGGTTGTTCGCCTCAGCGTCGAGGCATGTGTAGCCATCTCCCCCAGCTCTTGAATGGTGTGATCTGACAGTCTTTAGGCTCCTGTTGTCTTGCGAACGCCTGCTTCGGCTGCGGTCCATGCCAGCCACGCCAATTTCCTGCTCTTTGGTTGAAACATAATCCGCCCCATCGAATCCAATGGCCTTTTCTTCGTCAGCTTCGTCAGCGATGTCATCTCTTGTCTGCCTCTCGCTCGATCCACTGTCTTCGTGCGCTTTCTCTGCTGAGCTCATGCTCAGTCCCCTAGTTGTATCCATTTTGACCAGTGCTGTCGTCACTTTTCTTTCCACAGAACGCGACTCGCGGCAAGACGTTCATCCAGGACCTGGGGTACTGGCGAATGAAGGGTCTTTCAAGATAGCTCCACTCTGGGGACAACAGTAGTTCCCGCTCGGATATAACTCAGTTAGGTGTTCCTCTATTCTCGTTATCAACCAAAATCTGATCGTTTACTCAATACCGCGCGTGTTCTCAAAAGAAGAGACGAAAGCACTTGTGAAAGCGACGCGTGCGACGAAGGATCAAACACGCTGCAAGTAACTAGACCCATTTCCGTCCTGCCGACCGACCACGGTCTGGAGTCCAGAATGCGTAAAGTGGGGTGGGTCATTTTGCGGACATAACGACGTCGTTCGCCGCCTTGCTAAAGGGTCCTGGGTGCGTCATCTGTCTTGGAAATCGGCTAAGATGGTGTCTGGAGCCGGATATGTTCTCGCGGACCCTAGCTCGGAGCCTCGCCGTTGCGTTATATTGGCTTCGACCGTTGGACTAACAAAGCGTTGTTTGCTGACCGATGAAATTATGCGCGAGGTATGCTCGCTATCGTCGGTGCATCTTCCGATACCGAGAAATGATTGCCTTGAATTACCGTGATCGGCGGATAACGTGCCGCCGGCATGGGGCCTAGCGGGCTCTATCCGACTCGCTCATGGGCTGGGATAAGCACCCTGATTTCACCTTTTTTGGCTTCATAGTGAGTAGGTACCTCGGATATGGGGTTTTCGTATTATCTGTCGGCGATGTTTGTTGGGTCAAGCTCTCAAGTGCTTTAGACATTAATGATGAGGTCTTTCCTTGCTCCAACTCGCGACGACACCAGACAATCCATCGCATGATTACGACCAAGAACACCATCAACAAACCATCAACTCCACTACCAAGCCGCCTATTTAGCACTGCGGCTGTTCCCGAAGAACCGCTCCATGCAAAAGAAACGACAAGCAACGGCGCCACGTGGGAGAACGCGCTTGTTAAATGTTACTCCGATAAACTTTCCTCGGTATTTTTTTCCGGTCAACTCACGCAACCACTCGGAGTATTTTGAATCCCCGATTGCCGCGTTCAAGGTTCTAAGCACCCGGGTGTTAGCAAGGTGGTTTAGTTTCTGCGCTATTGACTGGGGTCGCCTTGCATAAAGTGAGATGGTGGATTCATGTTTCTTTTTGTTTGTTAGTGGTGTTTTGCGAGTGAGCTGTGAAGCTTCTGGTCGCGATAGTGAGTTGTAGGTTGATGAATAAAGTGAAACTAGAGGATTTTTGGATGACTTTAAACTGCATATGTTGACTTTAGTTTGATCGTACGGCTTATAATCTCTACGTGTATGTTACCTCTCAGTATCTTGCAGGTTGATGTGTAGAAGATTGGTCTGCTTGTTCTCATGCTTTGAGGAAACTTTCCAATCTGAATCCGTGCGGCGAATTAGATATGAACAAGTATTCGACCGATCCAACTGTATGCAAAGTGCTATCGCATGCGCAAACCATAGGCACTTGGTTAGGAATCTCATAGTATGCATACTTAATCGATCATGGTTTCGAGCCTCGAGACACTTGGAAGTGATGAAATTAGCCCTACGTGTAATTAATACTTCTCTACACTATGAGACGAAAGCACCTCTGCCTCAAACCAGCCAATATCAAGCTGTCTTCCCGCTCAGAGGATCTCCGTACAAACCTCCTGCCACGTCTCCACATGTTCCTTCCCAAGTCCTTCCCTCGTGCTTACTCCCCAGTGTGCTCCTGCTCCATCACGCCCGTACTTCCTCATAGCATACGTATTACACTCATCAAATATGGAAGAGTAACACCAAGACGTGTCGAGATCGCTGAGGGTACTCCCGTGAGAGCCACCAGGAGATCAACCTCAAATCATTACCCATTGTCAACTTTTTGAGTGCTCATTATATTTACTCGCAACATTAAATTCCACATTAGGGCGCTTACGGCCCCGGGGTGGGTCTTTGAGGTGCATTGATGGTGGCCCGGGCATGCTTGGAGTGGTACAAACAATACAACAATGGATACCTTTTTTTCAACTGTCTCGGGAACTCAATGTGAGATGTACTGATTTCTCGTGGTTGGGAATAGGGTTCTGTGTAAGTGTATATTTGCGTTATGGTGGTGGCAGTGACGTGAGGGCTTTGATACCCGGTGCGGAACGAAGCTGCACGCATTAAAAACCAAAGGAGGAAAGGGGAGGAAAACTCACACGTACATACTCAGCATCCAACTTCCTCATCACAGAATCTGCATTCAGTCTTATCTATAGAGAAAAACGATCCCACTATAGTGATCCGCATATCCTTGCGTTTTAAAGCGTTTTCCAACGTAACGCAGGCATCCTCCCAGAGATTGCCCCCGTGACCAAACCACCCAGCTCATCGTCATCCATAGGCTTAGAGTAAAGGGGACAGTTTCGGACAGATCTCATGGCGAAGACTGATCCATGTTATCCGCTTTCATCACCACCTTGGTCATTCTTCTTGAGGAGAATTGAATAATAAAGCCGAGCCAAAGACACTAAACCACTCGTCTCCCGTCTTGGAAAACGGAGATGGGGACCAAATTCAGAAGTATAGCAGTGTGTGACGTACTATCTACGACAACGACGCTTCAGTCAAACCACGTCACTAAAGTGATTTTACACGTGATCGAATCAAGATGCGATTCAAGGCTACACACGTGGGCAGCTTTCTCTCGTTCCAGTTAATTATATCCACAAATCCCTACACATGAAACCACCTACTCTTTTAAATACGCCTTCAGCCCCTCCTTGCCCACATTCATCGCCTTTTCAATCTCCATTTCCTCCTCGCGTAACCGTCCTTTACCATACTCCAAATCACGTTCCTGTTTCCTCTTTTCTTCTCTAACACGGCGTTCGCGGTCTGCAAGCGCCTTCTCTCTCCTTTCCCTTTCGGCCCATTTCTTCGCACGTTCGGCTTCTTCTTCGGCTGAGTAGACTACGCCTTCGGGCGCAGGTGGGAGGGTGGAGATGTAGGTAGTAATGAGGGAGTCCCGAGTTGACGGGGGAAGGGAAATGAAGCGGAGGTCGCTGAGTACAGCCGAAGGCAGAGTATCTAGAGTAGTTGAGCGGTTGAGTAGGGCAAGGGGCTGTGCTCGTAGGAGGGCGGATAGGTCTGATTTGAGCTCTGATGATCGCATGGCTAGACGTTTGATGTGATCGCGGTATAGCTTCTCCTTGTCCTTGTCGGAGAGCTTGGTATCTCTCATTTCTGGCTCTTTCTTGTATTTCCTCCTGAATTCAGGCCAGTAGAGCTTTGGTGTTGCGTAACGATCCAACATGGCAAGATATGGTATCCGGGGGTCGCGCTTCGATTGTCGAGCTTTCTCTTCCTTGAGAAACTGGGCTTTGTCGCGTGACCACTCGTTGAAACACTCTTTCCTTGCAGCCATGGTTGGGAGAGCCTTGTAGCGTTCGTCGTCGAATAATACACCGTCTTCTAGAATTTTATCCCATTGCGTGAATGGACTTATCTTTGTGTCGTCCAGTAGCTCCTTGAAGAGCGCCTTGCAGTCCTCCTCAGACAATGCAGGCTCTTCGTCGTCGTATTGATCGTCATAATCACCTCCCATCTCCATCTCTTCCATTTGCGCCAGTTGCCACGCAAGGTCGTCGTCGCCCATTTCTTGTGGTTGGTCGCCGGACGGCTCTTCGGTGCGCTGTCGCTTTGTCGCATTACTCTGTTCGCCCTCATCATCCGTAACCTCGACCTCCTCGTACTCTTCATCATTCTCCATGCCCTCCTCGCCATCTACCTCGACAATCTCAATCTCCTCTTCCGCCTCGGCCAACTCTGCCTCAATTTCAGCCATGGCGTCATGATCCTCCTCAACATCACTCGGCTCGCCACGCTCCCTACGCTCCTTCTTCTCGCGCTCTCTTCGATCAAATTCGATCACGGCCGTCATGACGTTGGGCGGGAATTTCCAGAAGCTCTCGTTCGTGTCCTTGTTCCACACAAAGCGCCGTCCGAACTTGGTCTTCACCAATACCCATGGCGCACAGTTTGGAATGTCCTGGCGATGCTTGGGTCTGTCATCTTTTTCTCTCCTTCTATCATTGAAGTTGTTATGCCCTCCGCGCATCCCCCCACGATGCCCACCGCGTCCCTGCTGTTGCGCTCCGCCATGCTTCGGAAACTGTTTCGGCGCGCTTGCGAAAATGAAGTCGTTGATTGACGGTTGAGGCTGGAAGGTATTTTGCGCAGGTTGCGCATCGGGATAGGCACTGTAGTTTGGGGCTGCGCTATAAGAAGCAGGTGCGGCAGGTGGTGTTGGCTGATGATATTGCGCTATCTCTGGTACGGGCCGAGTATATGTTGACTTCTTCGTCTCGGTGTTGTAGTAATAGGAGTGACCTGATATAAAATGAGCAAATGCATATGACGCAGTAGGAAGCTATAGCTACCTGAAGGTGCCTTGTGTTCTGTCCATCCTGGTGGAAGTGGAGGTGGTGGCGGAGGCGGCCGAACGGGTATATCAGACATGGTGAAGACTTGAAACTAGAAATCCTGCGAGAGAAGAGGAATTCGACAGAAGAGTTGGCGATGCGAGAGTTTGGTGTTGCGGCTCGTTGGCACCAAAAACTGGTCGGCGCCAAGGATGTTGAACCGCCGACGCGCTGCGTATGAGCTTGTGCCTGGAGCTCTCACCAACACAAGCCCGCACCCCAGTTTCCCCGCCGCACTTTCCTCCCTTACTGGTGTCAACAACGTCAATACAACCCAGATCGTTACAAGTAAACCGCAATCATGTCGCGGAGATACGACTCCAGGGTGTGTATTATCTAATCAAGGCGGCAACAACAACACAGCTAATAGTGTATAGACGACTATCTTCTCCCCCGAAGGTCGCCTCTACCAGGTCGAATATGCTCTGGAAGCCATCTCTCACGCTGGAACGGCGCTTGGTATCTTAGCTCAGGATGGCATTGTACTTGCCGCAGAGAGAAAGGTGACCAGCAAGTTGTTGGAGCAGGATACATCGGCCGAGAAGCTGTACATCTTGAACGAGTGCGTTAGGCGGTCAAGCTCAATTAGACTACATACTAATAGACGCCCAGCAACATGATTTGTGCCGTAGCAGGAATGACGGCAGACGCCAACATCCTCATCAACTATGCCCGCCAAGCTGCTCAGCGCTACCTCCTCACCTACAACGAAGACATTCCTTGTGAGCAGCTCGTCCGCCGCTTATGCGATCTCAAGCAAGGTTACACGCAACATGGAGGTCTCCGGCCGTTCGGTGTATCCTTCATCTACGCAGGATGGGATCCCCAGCGACAGTTCCAGCTCTACCAGAGCAACCCCAGTGGCAACTATGGTGGCTGGAAGGCAACTAGTGTCGGCGCAAACAATGCGTCCGCACAGAGCTTGTTGAAGCAGGATTACAAGGAGGAATGCGATCTCAAGGAGGCATGCGGACTGGCAGTCAAGGTGCTTAGCAAGACGATGGACTCGACCAAGCTAAGCAGCGAGAAGAGTGCGTCACGAATCCGCTTCACAATAAAGTCAATGCTAACAATCCCCAGTTGAATTTGCAACAGTAGGAAAGACCAAGACTGGCAAGATTTACCACCACCTTTGGGGTGCGGATGAGATCGATGCCCTGCTCAAGGAGCACGGCCTGGCCAAGGCTGAGGACACTGAAATGTCCGAGTCATGAGGAATACGACCAATGCACGATACGAACAAGCGCAATGAAAAGGCCTCTGCATGATAGAACGAGGCTTGTAGTATATCATATAAAGTGAGAGCTTTGTCGCACATGATAGCCAATCTCACTTTGTCATGACCTTTCTCGTTCCGTGTATTGCCTCGTTCTTTCATCTGTTTAATCTTGCCACGTGAGTGATTGCCGATGATGCTGTCGCACAGTGCCTGCCTCTTTCTTTACATGACGCTCTTTCCCTCCTTCCTGTGCCACACTACCCAAACAAAGTCAAGCATCCCGCCATGTCTTGCATCACCTCACCTCTTCCATGTCACATTTCGGGAATATTGTATGACCGTTCACGTCGCCTACCCTGCATTGCTTATTGATCCATATATGAGCATCCTATCAGCATGACTACTCCTAGCCGGCGGCCAAGCTATAGATCCTCTCGCAATGCCGAACCCGCTGCATCTTTTCTTCGTCTTCTTCTAGATAAGATTCGAGGGACAGGCACACCGACAGCCGTACAGCATGATACCATCTCCCCAAATTCTAGCCCAGAGTGAGATGTACCAGCGTCGTCGGAGGCCACTCGGCTTTGAATTGAGCCATGGCCATCTGTCACGTCACTTATATTGACATGGACAGGTCAAGCTCGGTTTGTCAAAACACTATAAAGCAAACAGTCTCAGTCTGGATCGACGGCGATGTCGTTGCTCGAGATGCTCGAGACAAGTTACGAGCTTCCGACGAAGCCCGATCCAAGAAGATTGCACTCGGGACAGATGGTGCATCTTCAAGTTTGGGCACTCCGCTAACCCGTCCAAGTCCATCATCGCCTCAGGGCGATGGCTTGTACATGAGTAATCTCATCGGACCTCAAGACCAAGCCGCGGATAGCAGTAACACAGTCTACAATAGTGACAATCATGAGGCAGATGGCAATGCAACACTGCCACATTCACGACCTACTCTTGGTAAACTACAGATTCCATCGTCAAGGTTCATTGCGCAGCCAACAATATCTGGTGAGAACGCAAGCGGAATGGTGTCGCCGTTGATGTTTGTCGACTCGGACATCTCTTCCAGTTCATCATCCTCCGACCAGCCAACGTCTGCAACAAGCACTGCAGCGACCATCTCATCATCTAATCACAGGTCGCAGACCAACAGTCGTAAGTTGTTACCCTCAAAGCGCAGCAGATGCAAGGCATTTTAGTATTTCCGCAGGCTTCGAGGCTGCGGACATCTTGGATTGCCGACAACCTAATGTTCCATACACTTGCACGTTCTTCTCTATCTCGTATGTGCTGATGAATGTACAGCTAGCAAAAGAGAACGCAGTCCGAGCTTCGGGGATTCTTTTTCACCACTCAAGAAGATGCGCTCTATGGCTCTTCCTGAGATCAGAACCGTCCTGTCTCATGGAACACGACTATCTCCGTCGATGAGGGCCGGCATCGCCGGTGACAACAGGCAAGTGATAAGAGAAGCGACATTTACCGAAAGAGCGCCAGCAGGTGTGCTTCCAACCTCCCTTAACCAGCATATACCTGAACTTTCCTCATTTCGTCCCAGTATCGCCTCACCAGAAGGCCTTGAGCCAGTCCTAGCGCAGATTTCTCGCCCTAAGTCTCCCATGCCATATTCAGAGCGCCGATCGCCATCCGAGACTCCTGAACCGCCGGAGACACCAAGCTATGCTCGGCCGCTGCACTTGTTAGATACAAGCGTCGTTGTGGGCGGAAAGAGACAAGGTGATGAGTGGTTACAAGACATTTCCATCTTCAAAAACATCCATGGCGAGGAGTGGAAGAGGAACGCGCTATGCAGTCATTGTTTCCGGAGCAGGGGCACATTCAATAGAATCATGACGTACGGCTATGAGGCGTGCGGAAGAGATGACCCCTTGGATAGCCATTATTGGGAGCCCACAGCCAATCCGAATTACTAGCTGCTCATCCAGAGCGGCGCGCGTATTGTGAACGGATAGAGCAATCGAGTAGAAATGGTTGAACCACTGGAGCTTAGCGAATGAGACTTTACGTAGTTTTCCACCCTCGAACAAAATGAAGTCAGTGAAAATTTCTAAGCCTGTCAACGGGGCTTATCGCAGTCCGCAAGCTCGCCTACCGTCCCGTGGCAAGCTGATCTTCCCTTCTGCATTGAAAAGAGGTAATTCTGAAGATCATCATCGAAGACTGCACACCCTGCAAACTCACCTTACTCTAGGGACCCCCTGCAAAGTCCTCGCACCTATAATCCATTCCTTCCTAAACGAAAAGAAAAACCGGCAATCTTTCCCAGGTACGATCAGGTACAACACACAACCCTGTCAGCGTCATCATATGTCGGGACACCCTTGCAACACCTTCGGATCTCTAAACACGTGGTTCAAGGCCCACCCCTCCGGTCCATTTGCCGCAAGTGGTAATATCGCGAACTCCGAGGATTGGTATCGTATTCCCTTTCGCTTTCGCTCTTTGGGTTGCAGCAGATGACAACACATGTGCATCCCCACACACGTTGGTCCAAGGAGTATCCCTCCCACGTAACTACCGCAAGTGGTAATATAGGCAAAAACCGAGGATTTATATCGTATTCGTCGTCGCTTTCGCTCTTTGCCTGTTACTGCATGTGGTAATTTGAGTGTTTGGTATGGATACCGGGCTTCGGATTCGAGTTCTGGTTTTGAGCGGTGAAGGAGGTTACGACGAGTAACTAGTACACTGCAACGTTTCGTGTAGATAGCAGGCGCTCACATTTGAGTTCTCGTTCTCGTCTGCAACGGCCTTTACTACCGTATCTGGTAATTACAAGGAGTGGTATGGAAGACTGACTTCGCATTCTCATTCTGCTTCTTCGCTGTCTTACCACATGCAGTAAAATGCAAGGCTTGTGTTGAAGACTGGCCTCGCATTCTTATTCTGGTTTCACAAATTGTTATGCTCGACTTTCGCTTCGCACTTCCGCATCCGGCAAATGATGTGAGCGTGGCATTCAAGGGCATAGAGCATGGGGCGGCAAGAGCCAAGCTGGCGACTGGCGTTATCGTATCGCGAGATCTCGAGTTCTGCTTCGGGTCCGGGATGTGCCGTGTGTGGACCGGAGATTGCCGTGCCGGCACATCATCGATGCAGGACGAACTGTATTGTCGGGAATAAGACAGAATTTAGGCTAGGTTTGGAGCAAAAAAAAAGGTGTAGTATAGCGACCTTCACGTCTTACAGCGTCCGGGATATACGAGATGCTGTCTCCTTGTATTCTCAGCGTTACCTGGCTGCTTGTGCGGCGCGAAACATGTGTAAGAAAACTACCGTAAAAGGTAGTTTTGCGCATATACTGTTGATTCTGGGCCACCTTGGCGAACATGTCATCAGCTACACAGACCTGGGTATCCGTGCGCATCTCGCATTCGCCTTCTGACTCTTTTTCCCTTTTTCCCGCCACGTCGAACCCCACCTGCCGTCGCATTGAATCCAATCCTCCCTGTCCGCATGACCGTAGGTCGCGCTCGCATTACCCCCAACCGTGTCCGCCCACGCACCTGGACTAATTTACACCCTACACGAGCGTAGCCATTGGTTCGCAACACGTAGCGGGTGTCGCACAACACTAGCCCTGTCGTCCATATCTCCGCACCACCTTCATAACTACTCTTTCAGGCAATTCGCTTAGGTCCATTGATTATAGCCAAGAATTCATGCTGGCACCCTTGAAGAGATCCTTACCCCCGAATGCGGTAATTTCTGCATATCTGTCGATTCTAGCATGCATGAACAGTTCGGGGCCTCTGCTGATAGAAATCTCGGGGTCAAACCGCTCGCGCTCTGGTCGAGCGGTGGGTTGGGGAGGGCCTTTCGAGCGGGGTTGTATGGCTGAATTGGGTAGGTTTGGGAGAAGGTGTGGATTGCGGTTGTGTAACGTTGTTGTCACGTTCTTTGACCTACTATATAGGACAAGTCTAGGTGTTAGGTGTTGATTCCATCTGTGAAACCCGAGACATCTTTACTGTATAGAGTAATGTTGAGGTTAGATGTTGATTCCTGGTGTGTAACAGAGCTCTGCGTTCATTAACAGTGTGCTGCGTTTGTTCCTACCCGCGACCAGGGCTGAGCTCCAACCTGCCGTATAGGGTAACTTTGGGGTGTCCCTATCGATTCCTGCTAGGTAACACAACAGCGTGGCGTTTATTTTCACCATCCCCAACCTACCGCATACAGTAATTTTGACACTTTGCCATTGATTCCTGTTGTGTAACGACACTGTTCGGCCCGTTAGGCAATCTAGGCTCTCTCGGCATGTACGACCTGGGCGTTCTTCACGTGAACAAGCTGAACTTTAGACTTACCCTAATGAGCAGTTTTGCAAAAGGGTGTAGATTATGGTGATCGCCCGTCTACCCACTTACCCGGCGCCGTCACAACTCGCTTGTAGAACCATGTCTTGCCCCGTTTTCTTGACCCACTTGTCTCATATACCCAGTTGGGTAGTTTGGGGATGGGTGTGGATTGCGACGTTGCGCTCTTCTCCGATTGAGAACACGGGGGGAATCTGAGTGATATGGTTGGGTGGAGGAAAGGTTACACAACTTACCATGTGGTCCCTGTTTCTCGTGGTCGTGGATACCGTGTAGAGAGGGGTTTGCGGTCGTGTAATCACAAATGCTGAGCACATGTACACTGGCATACTGAACCATTTGCTTCTTTCGACCCTAACACCAAAGCTTGCATGAACGCACCACCACCTGTCGCTTCCCGCTCACAGTAACAGTCACAGTCCAACCTCACGCAGAATTTCTTAATACGGCAAATCTGCTGTAACACAGTAGATTTATGACCATGATGCACGCATACCACAAAATATCCCCCCTCCATCACACAGCCCTTCCACAACATGATCCCCTCCCCTCCCCGGATAGCCACCAAATCCCCAACACCCCCAGAACAGTAATTCAGCCTTTACCCATGGATTCCAGTAGCACGGTCAGCGCGCTCGTCCCCACGACCAAGCTTCCAACATACCCAACGCAGTAACTTGCACCCCCAACTATCGATTCCAGTCACCTGCGTATCGGCCCTTCTATGACAGCATTATCTACCAAGACACTGCGACCGTAATATGCATGCGCGTATGTCCTATCACACAAACCATACAAGGGTAGCCTTACGATCTACTACACCAAACTAACACACCTTGTGATGGCATACCCTGTGATATCAAGTGTTATATCACAACGGCAACTGCCTGATCGGGTAAGTTGGATCAGCAATGGGGGAAAAAGTGTTGATTCTAGTCAATCTTTCAATTTCGCTTAATGTATAGGGTTATTAGTGTTGGTTCTGGGTGGGGTGGGGTCGTATATTGTGGATGGATACGTGGGTATAAGAGATGATCTTATACGGCTCGATACGAGTACCACAACGAGGCAGCACCAAGTAGAGTCGAGACATTCTCCAAAATGTTCTTCTTCACGAAACGAGAAGTGGGCGAACAATCAAAATAAAAACAATAGATTCTTTTAGGTAACGTACATGTATGACTAGGACATGAGGTGGGAGACACGCTTACATATTGAAGTCTTCCCCCTCTATTCCCCCTCTCCGCACGAAGGAAGAAACTGAAAACCTTTACAGAGCAACACCACATCAGGGTATCAAGATACAAGAAAAAGAAGAGAAAATGTAAAGAAAGAGAAAGAGAGAGATGTAGAAAGCGCCGCCACAGAACTTCAGGTCCAGAACCGTAGATAGGCCCGACCTATGCCCAACAACACATACACTTCCCCTCATTCCCATTCCCCTCCCTCACTCTCTTCCTACAACAACGAAAGCGGAGAAATGGCAGGTGCATGCGCCGCAATATGAAAACACCGAACCAACCTAAAGTCACAGCCTGCCACCCGTCCCATTTACAGCATTGAAAGTAAACTAAAGTTCAAAAGAGCTAGCGCTCCCGGATCCTTTCCCTAGAAGGTGCCAGGGGGCTGAACTTGCTGCTGCTGCGGCTGTTGCCCATTAGTCTCAGTCTTCGAGCGAAGGTGATTCGTAAGGACGGTAATGTTGTCTCGGGCTTCAGGTACAGTTTCGACAATATGCCTCAGGTTGATCATTTGCAGCTCCGACACCACAGAGTTCTGGGATAAGCTAGATCCGAGAATTGTGACAATGACGGGTGCATCGATATAGGGACCGAGAATCTCAAGGGCTTTGGGTATCTGGTGGTGTGGCGGCGCGTTGATGGGTGGCGTGGGTTGTTGGTGTGGCACCATGTTGGCAGGCGGTGGCGCGAATGGGTTTCCGTACTGTCCCGGAGCAGGATAGGCTGCGCTGACTGGCGAAAATTGCGGTGCGTGAGGGTTGGTCATTGGCGATGGGGCCGGGCCAGTGTGGGCGTGTTGAGCAGTCTGGCCAGTTGCGATCTCTTGAGCGGGATATCTCTCAAAGTGTTCTGTGGGTGGGAGCTGAGGCTTCATTTCTGGCAGTTTCGCGACGAGGGCCAGGATCAACATGTGCTCTTTACGAGGTGTCTCGATCGTGCAGTACTCTAGCATATCGATGAACGGAGGCAGGTTGCTTCCACCCTCTTCAATTGGGATAACATAGAGATCGCGTAGTACATCGTTGTCCTCGACTGGTACTACGCCCCATCTGCCACGGGAGTGGAAGTATTGGAATAGATGGTCCATGACCGAGCGTCCATCTGTAGTGACAGGACTAATGGCGAGGATGCTGACTTCGTGACTTTCAGTATGTGCGATGCTTTGGATGTAATCGTTGCCTTTGCTGCTTTCTATGCGTCCTTGAATTGCCACGACATTGGTCAGCAGCTTTTCCCATGGCACAACTTGACCAAAGTCGCCACCAGCAACGAATCGAGCGACAGCATCGAAAGGCTCCATGGATTGCATGTTGATGGATCCTTGCCAGCATACAGTCGGATCTGATGAATAACCGGACATTTCAACATCGTTGTCTTCATCCTTTAGTAATCTGTCAACGTCTGCATCGTCGACGGCGGATTGAGGTTTGTCTTGGGTGTGCATGGAGCTGTGACGGCGATGGAGGAAGGCTTGTTGATCATGCTGTGGTGACCGGACCTTGTCAAAGACGGAATTGATGTCGAAGTTGTTTGAAGCTCGACGTGCGCTGTCCTGCTGAGTGTCTATCTCCGGGAGTCCTCGTGATGCAGAAGCCGGAGTCTCTGGCGGACGTGTACCCATGGGTGACTGCATTACCGCGTCTTCAGCGATGCTCTCGCGAACAGTGGGGTAATCATCGTTATCAAAGTTGTCTTCGCCGACAATCTCTTCACCCTTGTGTGTCTTGCGGAGTCGCGGTCCAGTCTCTTCAGTTAGAATCATCTGCTTCTCGGCTGCCTCTCGCATAGCGGCATACTCGCGTTGCTTGTCCTCGCTTGCCATTTCTTCAGCCTCCATGCCTACGAGATCTCCAGCCTTCAAGCTTCCTGAGAGCAGGCGGTCAACCAAGAGCGTGTTCTTCTTGACGTTGAACATGATCGTGCGGAACTTGTTGAAGTAAGGTGATGAGCCTCCAGTGGGCTCGCCGTAAAGCTCAAAGGCAGCATGGCTCATCTGTAGGGTGTACTTGGTGGCCAGAGACTTGGCGGTCTGTCCATCGGGGATGCGGTATCCCCTGCTGTCAGAGGCAGCATTGATCAGTGGGGTCAGCGTCTCTCGAAGTTTCTCCGCTACCGTCTTTTGGTTCGGCGGAAGCGCGTCGATGTCGCTAACTGTAGCACTCTGGGGGGCGGGCTTGCTCTCTACGTGGCTAGACTTTCTACGCTTCTTGCTCGCGTTTGGCTTTTCCGCACTAGCCTCATGGCGCCGCTTCTCGCCAAGGGGAGACTGTGGCTGGCTCTTGGTGCCCTGTTTGATGTTGTGAGTGGGAGTGGTAGTGGTATTGGGCCGGGCGGGAGAGGCTACCTTTGGCTCGGCGTGTCCGTTGGATGCTTCCGGAGTGGGCACGGTTATGGGGGCGGGCGTAGGAGTCGACGCTTCAGCAGGAGCCGGTGGGGCTGGCAGGGGCGTAGTTGCGGGTTGTGGAGTGCTGGCCTTCTCGCTGGCAGTATCCGGCTTGACATCGCTAGGACGGGCCTTTGGCTTGGAGCCCTTCTTGCGCGCCCACGGCCGCTCTCCACGCGCCATGGCAGCGAGCAGCTCTACGTGCTGGTCGGGTCTGCATTGTTCGCAGTAGTAGTCCTTGCCCTCCCAGAAGTCTCCTTCGGGGAGTCCTAGACACTTGTTGTGCTGCCAGGCGGCACAGCTATCGCAACAGATCATCTGACGTCCGCGAATGTCGCGCTGGTCGCCACACACACAGCGGATAATGGCGTCTTCTTCCTCTTCATCGTCCTGCTCGGCCGACTGTGTTGATTGCGCGCGCTGTGTTTGGCCCTTGGCTTGGCCCTTCTTGCCGTGCGCCTGTCCCTTCTTCTCGGTCGCTGGCTGTGTTTTGGGCTTGGGGGCGGGGGAGGGCTCTTCGAGCGCATCTTGGTTCTTTGTGTGGTGGCCCTTGTTGGCGCGTCCTGAACGTCTGATTTCTTCTGCAGTCGCTGGGTCAGCATCAATTGAGGGCTGGGGTTTGCTTTGCGCGTGTCGGCGGCGTGCGGGGCGCGCCAGCTTCATCGTACGGGCGCGAGTAGATGGTGTCTGCTTACCGGCCATGGTGTCGGACACGGGGATGGGCTCAATATAGACGATACCACGGGTGCAGCTTATGCTAATAGGTGCGTAACAAGATTCAAAAAGTCTCTACGGAAGCCCCAATCCTGCCTTGAGCGTTGCACTGCTGTCAAGCGCCCACGCCGTATGAGGCGGCCTCTAACTAGTAAACTGACGCGAACAGCGCTCCTGCCAATTTGTACAGGCAGAAGGCGCGATGCGACGTGTGGCTGCCGATTATGAGTCGCCGCTTTCTCTTGCGCGTACCTTGCGGACGAGAGCGGAGCTGACGGCGCACAATGAGCGGGGCGCGACGGAGACGGCAAAGCCGAGTAAAAGATGACTCAGAAGCTGCGCGTAGTCGTGAAGGCACTGCTAGGCAACTGAGAAAGACGTGCGAGTTGCTAGTGGGATGCGCAATGTGTCGTGTGGTGTCGGAATGAGTAGTGTCAGTGAGGAGGTGGAGCTTGGACGCAGCGTTTTGCCGATGTCTTGGCACCGCTCGCGCAATCCTGGCCACTAGCCAACTACTGTACGCGAAGCCGCCGGGGGACGGAGACGGAGCATCGATAAATCACAACGCCAAAACCGAACCCGACACGAAACATTTAAAAAACACATCTAAGTGATACGAGTTTGTACCAAACGCGCTGAATCATCATGGCCGACGCACGAACTCTACTGCGCCAACAGCGAGCAGCACGGCAGCAGGCGCAAAAGCCCCAGAAGCAGTCGGCCGCGCCCGCAACCGCACCTGTCTCGAAGAAGCGCAAGGCGTCGGATGAGACGGCGGAAGAGAGGAAACGTACGCGGACTGAGGAGGAAGCGGGCGTACCAGCCGGCTTCTTTGATGCAGGCGCTACCAAGGATGAGGAGGAAGTCGCGCCCGATGCAGCTCCAGCAGCCCCCGAGGACACAGCAGAGACGCAGCCCGCAGAGCCTCCTGTAGCATCCAAACCACCGCTAGATGCGGCCGCACAAGCAGAGCTGGACGCCTTTCTGGAGGAGATGAACGCGGAGAAGCCCGAACCACCACCATCTGCCAGACCCACATACTCAGGCGCCGTCATAGAGGCTGCGCCCATGACTGCTGCCGAGATTGCAGCACAGGCACGCGAGGAGCACAGCGCGCAACGGGCGAAACGGGACGAGGAGATGGAAGGAGAGAAGGAAGACGCAGCGCGGGCGCTTGAAGACGAGTTCGAGGAGATGGATGGTCTTGAGGAGAGAGTGAAGAAGCTACGGGAAAAGAGGGAGGCACTGCGATCCACGTCTCTTCGTTCAGTGGACGTGGTGAACATTGCACCAGCGGCCCCTAATGTCGACGAAGACGGAGAGAGCGAGTCCGACGATGAAGACTGGGATGACTGGCGTTTCCATCCTGCTTAAAAAGATCCGTTGCATTACTTGGAGTGAGCTTTTCCCTGTACTATATTGTAGCATAGTTACTATCATTGTGATACCCAGGTAGGCGTTCGCAAACAACAATTCATTGAGTTCCAGCAGGGCTGTCGCTGTCTGGCTCGTTCAGCAACATACTGCATACGTCACAAATGCATACAAGTAATTGCAGTCCTCAAGTCATCTCTACCAACGCACCACCAACGCATCAGCTTAGTATCCACGGAATTCCCAGACATGTGAGAGGCGGTATGTAGCGCCAAGACAAGCGTCATTGGTAAGGAACATCAAACGCTTCAGGCACGAATAAGAGAACCCAACCTTGAACCCCACTCACCCACATCCCTCGACCTTGACACGTGCGATCGCGAGGCTGCACTCTTCCTCTACCCACGCGACTACTATATACCACATTATACACCTGCGCGACCCGAATACAACCTCCACACCCAGCTGCCTGCCCCACAATGTCTCGACGGCCCAACCCTGCCGCTGATCGGGCGGAACAGAATCGGGCGACGTTGAAGAACTTGGTCAAGCTCGAAGGCAACAAGACATGCTCAGACTGCAAGAGGAACAAGCGTACGATGTCTTTGTGCATTTTTGTGATGCGATCTCACTAACGACTATTCCAGATCCGCGATGGGCGAGCTGGAACCTCGGCGTCTTTATCTGCATTCGATGCTCGGGTATCCACCGTGGCATGGGAACGCATATCAGCAAAGTCAAGTCCGTCGACCTCGATACCTGGACCGATGAGCAATTGCAGAGTGTGCTGAAGTGGGGAAATGCGCGGGCGAACAAGTACTGGGAGTCCAAGTTGGCGCCTGGCCATGTCCCGTCCGAGGCAAAGATTGAGAACTTTATCCGCACAAAGTATGAATCGAAGCGCTGGGTCATGGACGGGCCTATACCGGATCCGTCGACTCTGGAAGCTGACGATGACGATGTGGTAAGTACCTGGGACAGTGTTGCATTGGAAAAGGGGCAGTGACTAACAATGTAGCAGCCACTGAAGAAGGTCCAGGAAAAGGTACAAATTGAACGCTCGGCTTCGCAACGTCTCGCCCAAGGCTCCAGTCAGCCTCCTCGTCAAGCGCAGCCCCAACCGGCCATCGACCTGTTCGGCGACGACCCCGTTCCTCAGCGACCGAGCACCGGACCGCCAGTGGCAGCAAGAGGGCCCCCAAAGGCGGAGACAGCCCCGCCCAAACAGCACAAAGCAGGAGATTCATTGCTAGGTCTAGACTTCCTGGGTGGAGGGTCGTCTGCGGCGCCCCCTCGACCATCCAGTACAGGCCCCGCGGCTGCAGCACCGTCAAGACCGGACCTCAAGCAGTCCATCTTGTCGCTATACGCCTCGAAACCTGCGGCAGCATCACAACCACAGCAACATGCACGTGGAGACTCGTTTGGTGGAATGGCTTCTCCGCCAGCGCAGACGTCCCCCCAGCAGTCGTCTTTTGGTGGCATGAATGATGCTTTCAGCAGCCTTTCCTTCAACGCAGCTCCAGCACCCAAGCCATCTCCATTCTCTGGCCTCGACAGCTTCTCTAGCACGAAATCGCCTCCCGCGACATCTTCGTCCAATATGTTCGGGGGCGGAGGCAACTTCTTTGACTCCAAACCTGCAGCGCCGGCTCAGTCGCAACGCACCATGAGCCCATCCAGTGGTCTGGGTGACTTTGGCTCCTTCTCCTCGCCGGCGCCGTCCAAGCCTGCAGCCTCATCTATGTCCGGAATGAACGACCTACTCGACTTGTCCATGCCATCTGCGCCCGCCACATCTCCACCAGTCAACAATGCCTTCAACCTGTCTTCACCTGCACCGACCCCTGCTCCCAAGGCCGCCCCCGCGCCCGCAGCAGTGAACTATTCTGGTGTCTCCAACATGGATGCCTGGGGCGGTAATGACGTTTGGTCATCTCCTGCGCCTAGTCAGCCTGCAACTAATGCTACCGCGTCACATACCCAGGCATCGACTTCTTCATGGGGTGCGCCGGCTGTTGCACAAGATGACGACTTTGGGGGCTGGAGCAGCGCAGCACCCACACAAACCACAACGACACATACTACGACCACTCAAAGCAAGCCTGCAGGAGGATTTGGCGGTGCAAGTGACGATCTCTTTTCTAATGTTTGGGAGTGATGGGCTTGCATAATAGCGTGTTGCACTCCTAATGCAACCCGACCATGCATTGGAAAGATGCCAAATTTGGGTTTTGTGTATTGTACATGATATAATTCTTATAGACCGCTGCTGAACTGAATTGCAACTACGAAACCAAGAAACGCCTCAACCCCTTTGACTCGTTTCCCCAACGCCGAACATGCAAGAGGAAATTACATGCATCTGTTTTTCCCGTGGAAATGATTTGCCACAATATTGACTGCCCTCAATTATCGCACCCAACGCACCCGGCGTATGAGATACCCCAAAGAACCCCTCTGAAATGTGCTTGCTCCTCCATCTCTTGACCATAACCTGCATATCAAGCCCTCCCCCTCCTCCTTCTCATCTTTCCTCAGCCAGCCTATGTCTCCTGCAAAAACACAACCAGCCCCCCTCAAAAAATCAAATGCCACATCCAATACAGCACCGCAACCCCCGCTATTATCATTCCCGAAAGTTTTAATATCGCAACTTTATTCCCCGACGACGCCATTCTTGTCAATCGTGTTGCTGAGCCCTTGAGCGTGGTTGAGAAGGATGAGAAAGTATCGGACTATTCGACTCTACATTAGCATTTGGTTCAAGTTTGGTTGGAAGTTCGGGATTTGGGGTTCGAGAGTTGGAAGGGGGAATGGAAGGAGAAGGGTGAGAATTGGAGGAGAATAGGGAAGGGAAAAGTGGAAAGTGAAGGCATACAGTACTATCAATAACACCCTGATCCCTCGCATTATCATAAATATCTATCGTCACGCCGCGGAGGGCAGACACTTTGGACGCGAGTTCGTCCAGACGAGAGTTGTTTTGCTGTTCACGCTCGTAGGCTTGCGACATGTTGGGCTAGTCCTTTCGCCGATTTTCAGTGGAGGTTGGGGTGGTAGGCGTGTGCTCGACACAGTATTGTTGCGTCTGGTCGCTTGGAAGTTGCGCGTTGGGCTTTCCTCGTCGCGGTTTGGGTGGCGGGTGTGGTCACTTGGATACCGGAGGCGCGGCGTGGCGTTGGCTTGGCGGATAGCGCGAATGTGGGAGGCAGGAGGATGGGTGTGATGTGGGATTTGTGTGTATGTTGTGAGGCTTGAAACGCTGGGCTAGGTGCTGGATGTGACGTTCGAGTGCCAAGAGACCCTGGAGGGAAGGGGTTTAGCGCCAGGCAGGTCTGTCTGGGAAAGATGCGGCGGTTGCCGGATCTCTTGCTTTCTCCACCATGGTTACTACTACTGCCACGTCTGTTCGAATCTCGGCTTGGAGTAGGAATACTTTACTGTTCCTACCAAAGGGATTGTGTTGAGGTGATATACTTGTGTTGTAGTGAAGTTGATACTACCTGGGCAAGCTGTCTTTGTCGCCGATCCCCCATTCACTCATCGATCTTGTATGCTTCCAATTTCTTTCATCGCAGCACAGCCATAGACTAGATGATACATGAATATCCCTTGCAAAGCAGGAGTACCTGGAGAACAGCGTGACCTCCAACCCAAAACAACAAAATCGAGTATCTCAAACGTAAATCCCCAAACACACTCCGCCAGCCGGCTAAACTACCACACAACTGCTCATTCGCAAACGCAACCGTGCCGCAATCTACAAAACACCAGAGAAGAATCGCAACACCCGCCAGCGGAAGGCTGTGTCCTGCACCGTGCGTTTTAATTCGAAACGCGCGGGGGATTGGTGATCACGAGCTGCAGCATGTTGCTCAGAAACAGTGCCATGCAGTACTGCTGCGCCGCAAATCGACAGTGACTTATTAGCCAGGGGTCTTGGTAGAAATCCCTCATGTATTATCTGGATTGGTGGCTGCTGCGGGATACCTGCGTAGGTATGGTATGTCACTCAGCCCACATGTATGTTTGAAGGCTTAGACGGGAGTTCCGACGTCGTGGGTATGTGGTACCGGAAATAGTACACAGAAATGTACTGCGCCGAGTTATCTTATCTCTAAGAGGATGTGGTCTAATGCCGGGGCTGAAACGAGGCCGCATTTCGGATGGGGGTCGCTCGCTTTTTTGCGGCGTGGTCGCAAGGCTGAGACCTTCAAAGTGTAGAATGAGTGTATCTCCGTGGCTCATTGACATGGGATTGCATATTCTTCCGTATGCGAAAACGTAGCCCTAGGGTTGTACATGCGTGCTATAGTCTAGATGCCTGTAGAATTTGTAGTTTGGGTAAAAGCCGTTCCTGCATGTTGGTAGGAGCTGCATGTCTCAGTACCTTCACGACCCAATGGAGAAGTACTGTCCGATGCATCTGGTCTGAATCAGAACGAAGTGAATACATGTCTGGAGGATCTACTTCCTTACCATACCACCACACCTGGTGCGGTGTCCATGGCGAAGTATCACACTGATGCATCTTCGGTCGCATCCCGCAGATCCGGCCCCCATGTCTGCAACGCCACAAAGCCTCATGCTGTCCAACATTACATGGTCGTGGTGTTGCGGGGTACTGATGCAAAAGTATAAGTTGGTACGTTTGGTTTGGTCTCTGGAGTAACAACTCAAGGGCTTTTGGTCTTGCGCTTAGACCATCTTCCAATAGAAGTCCAGCGATTTGCCTTCATCTCTTCACTTCAGCAATGGCGCTTTTCCATGTCTTACTACTCTTGTATGCAAGCTTTGTGACAAATGCTGCAACAACGCCGCTGGATGCTTCCATTCAAGTCCGCAATGCGCCTGGTCACACAGTGGAAGATACCTACCGCGCAATCAGGCGAGGTCTCGCTGTAGCTAGCTTGGAAAAACGCGAAGACTACAAAGCTGAGATGTCTATTGCAAGGAGCTGGAGCGGCGCTACTTTGCTATCAGTGTAAGTAGATACGACAACAACTACACTTCAACCTCAATCAGCGACTGATACATCACTCCCAGGGAACTTCCGCAGAACCCTTCCCTAGACCACCAGAATGGTACTACAGAGATTGAGGCTGGTCTCGAAGTCATATGTCAGACATGTTATGTCAGGGGATCCGCTACTGCTGAACTCAAAATCAGCGGCGACTTCAACGCCAGCCAATTGATCGAGCAATCCATCGACGCAGTAAACTCCACTGTTCGCAACTTCACAGATAAATTCGACCACTACATAGGAGACTATGTAAACCAAGTTAAGGACAACCTCAAGGATGGAATCGACGCCTCAGATTTCGACTTCCCCACCATTGATCTGGCTTTCGACATCGATGTCCCACCCGTTCCAGACGCGAACCTGCATTTCCAATTCGACGATATGGAGCTCTATCTCGAGCTGGAGACATCACTTAGTGCGGGCGCAACATACGAAGTCACGCTCTTTGCTACCCAAACCCCTGTTGGAGTTAAGATGGGCAAGTACCTGCAGCTCGGCGCAGTACTAACAGTCGATCTACTTCTTTCTGTCAAAGGAGCAGTGGATATCAGCAGTGGCTTTCATATTAAGCTCGACGACGGCGTTGGTATCGACATCGCCCTCTTCGGAGACACCGTCTCAGACTTGACGATGTAAGCCCCCCTCCAATCTTTCTTGCCATCCTCACACACTGACTCACCCCTCAGCAACGGTGGCAGCTTCGAGTTCCTCCCTGTCACTCTAAAATCCGCCAATGTCGCCCTCTCCGCAGCTCTCCGCGTGGGCGCCCACCTCGGCGTTGAAGTCGTCCAACCTGAGTCCCCTTTCGCCACCATGATGTCTGATTATACACCACACATCCAATCCGGCATCGAAGTTGCCGTCTATGCCAACGTGGCTGAATTCAAAACAAACGTAACATATGACCCAGAGGATGAGAAGTGTGATCTCAAGGTTGTGCAAGAATACAATCTAGCCGTTGGTGCTGTTGCTGGTGCATCGGTGGTTGTGGATTGGAGAGATCAGACTGCTACCTGGGGACCAGTCAATGAGAAGAGCATTGCTGTCTTCACAACGACTTTGGCGGAAGTTTGTGGGTCGGCGAAAGCCACACCCACACCTACTATATCTGCATCATCTACTTCCGTTTCACCGACGATAACGTCTGCGCCGGAGAGAAGACAGGACCTCATCACTACAACACTCAGCACAGTACTCACGCGCAGCGGTATCAGCTGCAAAGTCATGGGTCTGACAAACTGCCCCAACTCCCAACAAGTTACCACGAAAGCAGTGATCAGTAGCACAATTACAACAGCCGTACCCAGCGGCATCGAGGCTACATGGCCGGCAGACACGCAGGACACTGTTACTACATTGGTACCGTTTGGAAAACACGTTAGAACAATCAAAACTCTTTCAGGAAGTCCCGTGCCATATGTTGCGCCGCCTCAAGAAACCAAGCATTATGGGGACGGCGGCGATGGCGGTGTCGCAAGCGCTTTGGAACATGCAACCAAGGGCGAGACAGGAGGAGTGAAAAATGGTGTTATCATTGGGGTCAGTGTGGGACTGGGTATACCGTTTTTGGTGGGTCTTGCTGGTGCGATGGTGTTTTTCTCGAGGAGGAAGAAGAGGTATGGAGCTGTTGGTGGGGCCGGCGCGGAGATGGTGAGTGAGGAGTATAGGGGACGGGAAGAGTACAAGGACGGTGTTGTTGAGGTCAGGGAGGAGAGCAATGGTGGGGAGTCGAGGAGATGAGGTGGTTATTGAGAGTCGGATCGGGTACAGCTGCGAAGGACTTGCACGCACCACGTCTCTTATCTTCGTCTCCATCCTTGGAGTTGATTTTAGGTTTGCGATAATTATACCATAGACTTGATTTTATCGAATTGCTTTTGCATTTACCCACGTTCGGACGGCGAGGAAGTCGATGTCCGGCCGACCCTACAAGCGGAACGATAAGAAGATAGTAATCGGAAAGCTCTCCACATCGAGCCTAGCGCGCTCCGCAACGTCATCCCAATGTCACCTCGGGGCCTCACGACCCGTGTACCCTTGTACCCCGATCTTCACTCCTCTCCATCGCTTTGGGAAGCATGGCCCATGAATCTTGGACGTTTACCCGGCGCGAGTACACTTGCGCCGAGAAGCAAGCATGGCCAAGGCGTGCCACCCCGCACTCTTGTGAGGAACGGCTTAGAGCCTCCGCTTCTTGTCCACGATGGGTAACTTCCAGCAAATATCATTCGATGGACAGTGGATTAGTCGCTGCCCAGACGGCGCGAACAGGTTCGTTTCTCCGCTAGACGTACAAGATGCGGAGGGAGATGTCCCGTATACGATCTCATGCCGGTATACTTCTACCGGAGCATACAAAGGGAAGCTTTCCTCAGGTAGACTTTGCACCACATCTTGTCAACTTTGTTGGAGCGACTGCTTTTGACTTGTTCGTTCGATGAACAAATCTCATCGCGGATTTTGATCAGTGTTACATTTGCTGCTACCCAGCATGATGGGCCCATCGAGGATGCTGTACAATTCGTACAAATTCCTGGTGTTGGGCTTGATGGCCTCGGTGTTTTTCGATGATTCGGCCGCACATTCAATCAAGAAGACGCGCGACGCGTCTGAAAGCCGTCAACGCATATCTCTCAATGCCAATTGGCGTTTTGAGCGTTTTACGTCTAATCCCGATGGTTTGAGCTACGACATCTTGAAGCCATGGATCATGCCTACGGCAAACGAGTTCCTCAGCGAAAAGAAGTATGACCGCCCTGCCGGAGATGCGCCGGGCGCAAATGTCAGCTATGTACAATCAAGCTTTGACGACGCAGCCTGGGAGGCTGTCACCCTGCCGCACGACTGGGCTATCTCGGGGACTTTCGATACGCCTGGTGTATCTGGTGATCTGGGATTTCTTCCGATCAATGGAGTTGGGTGGTACCGCCGCATGGTCTCAATGGATGCCGAAATCATTAGCTCTGGCAAATCGATCTACTTGGACGTAGACGGTGCCATGGCATATGCTGCAGTGTGGTTAAATGGTCATCTCGTTGGCGGATGGCCTTATGGGTACAACTCTTTCCGCCTCGATCTTACACCATACGCCAAGGCGGGAGACAACACACTCGCTATCCGACTTGACAACAAATTGGAATCTTCGCGTTGGTACCCAGGTGCGGGAATCTATCGCAACATCTGGCTTGTGACCGTCAGCCCGGTCCATGTTGGACACTATGGAACCTACATCACCACCCCAAGTGTCTCGGCTACGGAGGCCACTGTTAACATGGTTCTTGATATCCAAAACAAGGGAAACAATAGCCAAAGCGTCGAGGTGGTTACCGAGATCTATGAGCGCGACGCTGCGACGAAGAAGGCTACGGGTGCTTGCGTAGCTACCTTCCCAACAGCGAAGACAGATGTGGCAGGTCTTACTAAGCAATCTGTGAATGGCTCCGTCGTGGTTGCCAATCCTAAGCTCTGGGGCCCATTACCAGAACAGACGCCTAACGAGTACGTTGCCATCTCCACCGTGTCGGTCAACGGCATGGCGGTAGATACTTACGAAACCAACTTTGGTATCCGATCAGTCAGATTAGACAAGGACCAAGGGGTTTTCATCAACGGAAAATACACCTATGTCAAAGGCACTTGCAATCATCATACTCTTGGTTCGTTGGGTGCGGCGTGGAACACACGAGCTGCCGAGCGCCAGATCGAAGTCTTGCAGGAAATGGGTAACAACGCTCTTCGCACTTCGCATAACCCACCTGCTGCCGAATTCCTTGATCTCGCAGATAGCATGGGCTTGATGGTTATGGATGAGATTTACGATACGTGGAGCTTTGGCAAAGTCGATAACGACTTCCATCTCATATTCCCTGAGTGGCACGAACCGGACCTCCGATCTTTCATTCGCCGTGACCGCAATCACCCATCTATCATTTCCTGGAGCGTCGGAAACGAGCTTCCTGATCAGAAGAACTCATCTGGTACCGCGACCGGAAAGGCACTTCAGGATATTGCCCACGAAGAAGATCCCACTCGTCTGGTAACCCTTGGCATGAACAATGCTGGTCCAGACACAGGTCTCGCTGCGGAGATCGACATAATTGGCCTCAACTACCAAGGGGAGGGTAAAGGGACATCCTGGCAAAGTACTTTCCCTGCGTTCCATGAGAAATTCCCCGAAAAGATGATCTGGAGCACTGAATCTTCATCCTGTGTCAGCTCTCGCGGCGTCTACACTTTCCCAGTTACACCCAACAAAAGCGCCATTGTTGGTGGACATACCGGCGAAGGCGGTGATATGGTAAACAGCCAAGTCAGCTCATACGACCTTTACGCACCCGAATGGGCTTCCTCGCCGGACAAGGTCTTTGAAATGCAAGATAGACACCCTTACGTTGCGGGTGAGTTCGTTTGGACAGGATGGGATTACATTGGCGAACCTACGCCATACTCCAACACCTCCAAAAGCTCTTTCTTTGGCATGATCGATCTCGCAGGCTTCAAAAAAGACCGCTTCTACCTGTACCAAGCACGCTGGCGCTCGGATCTTCCCATGGCTCACATTCTTCCACATTGGACTTGGCCAGAAGACCGCGTTGGAGAGATTACTCCCGTGCACGTCTACACCTCTGGCGATGAAGTAGAACTCTTCGTCAATGGCATTACTGCTGGACGACAGACAAGAGGGAAATACGACTACAGACTTCGATGGGACGGTATTCAATACAAGCCCGGGAATGTCACCGCTGTTGCCTACAAGAACGGTACTGAATGGGCTAGGGATACTAAGCTTACAGCCGGCGCCGCAAAGTCACTCAATGTAACTGCAGATCGCAGTACCATCACCGCAGATGGATACGATCTCTCCTTTGTGAGCGTGGAAGTACTCGATGCCAATGGTATTCTGGTTCCTATGGCAAACCACGCAATTACTTTTGAGGTGACGTCTGGCCCGGGTATGATTATCAGTACCGATAACGGCGACCCAACGGATCTAGTGCCGTTCCCGGAGTTGACGAGAAAAGCTTTCAACGGTATGGCATTGGCGATTGTGCAGGGTGAAGTTGGTAACACTGGGGAGATTGTCATTGAAGCCAAGTCAGAAGGATTGGAGAGTGGAAAGGTTGTTGTGAAAACTGCGTAGTAGAGTAGACTGTAGTAGACTGTAGTAGAAAGATAATGTTAAATCTTAGTGACAAAAAGTTCGAACCGATAGCTCGTACCGTCTTGCTTTCGTTGTTATAATACTCTGCCTGTTAAGGCAGCCTGCAAGCACTCCAATGAAGTCGTCCCGATTACAACACAATAAGTATGTCTCGGCAAATTAATAAGAAGAGTGCTAATTATTCCCGCGAGTTCTCCCCCTCAACGCGTATCCTTCCTTTACAGTTCGATTGGAGTTGTCCCTCTAGCAGTCTGCAACAACGAACTTGAGTTTGTGGCGGGCTCGATATAGGTAAATGCACTCCAGCGTTGGAGGTTAATGTCGTATATATGTAGTCTTAGAGTGACTATGAAGCAGGTCCTCGGTGGTCTTGAAGTCCTCTGCTTCATGCGCGGACAAGATATCAAGATTCGCACCCCTATCGTTCTAATGAACTGGACGAATGGAGAAGAAGCACGATTATTCTCGCCCCTAGGAAGTGCTTCCGTCTACGCAAATGGATCCTCAGTTGCTCAAGCCCACGTCTCACCCTCAAACGACCACTCCGGCCTCACCATGGGTGGCGAGCTAGCAAAGACCGGATACGTAGGCTCCACTCCCAATATTTTCGCTGAATACTCTATCAGCGCGCAATTCAAGATTCACGTCGAGAAAAACAATGATCTGGAAGAAGCAAGGAAACCTCTAGGCTAGGTAGAAGGCTGGCAGGGTATGACATGTTATTCACTCCCACTAACCGGCGAAGACGACCACGCAATTACATACACCATGGACCGTCGGTGCAACACGCTTATAGATGCCACGAAAATGATTCCCACAGTTAACGACATCGCGTACACCCACAACGGTGGCTCAGCGGTTACAAATATCTTCCCTGGCCCCTGGTGCTCCTGCAACATCCAATTCTCCGCCCAGCTCTCTTTGTACCTTGTAAACTGAAACGCCGCGCTCCTGAACACCATGGGCGCGGAACTGGAAACCCGCATCAAGGAGACTGCCGTAAAGCAGCATCCTGAATTGGTGATGCAGCGGGATTTACACTTTATCCAGGAGACTTTTGGCCCGATGCTGTAAATCGTGTGGCAAGGGATTGTGGGGAGAAAGGCATCGCGATTCGTACGGGGAAGGGTCATGATAGTACGGTGACTACGCTGTTGGTGCCGACGGCGATGGTGTTTGTGAGGACGAGTGGGGGTGTCAGTCATTGTGCGGAAGAGTGGAGTAGGGAGGACTATGGGGAGGAGGCGCTGGTACTGGGGAGGCCGTGTTAAATCATTGATGAGGTCTTGAGATGGAAGATGGCGGAGGTGTGAAACATCAAAGAAGTCGTGGAGGCTTAAGTTGCATGCATGTGGGTTGCTCGTGACACAGAGATGGACTCGTCGCGCTTGAAAGCCTTATATATATAATCATTTACTACTGCATATTGGAAATATTACAATATAAATTTGTTTCATCTGATACTTGCTGTGGTAGGTGTCTTCTGCAGGGCAGCTCTTTCCAAGATGGTCACCAGCTTCGGTCCGGCACAGTTGAGGAACTCTCCATTTCATTACAGAATCAGCCAATTGACTCCATTCATCGTAAAGGCTAAGCAAGGCAAAGGTGTGGAAAGATGTTTCCTGCTGTCTCGTAGCCATGAGTTGGCCATCGTATTGAGATAGCGATGAGTACCGATACGCAGTCTACTCGAAGTCATCATTTGGGATATCATCTGGATAGACTCACAGGGTTTGACAAACCTGACTAACTGACTATATGCAGTTGCCAGAGAGTCTTCCAAAAAAAGGCCATGTATGCACACAGTACTTTCATCCCAAGTCAGTGTTGCATGATCGTACTTCACCTGCGATTGCAGTTTACACCCAGCGTTGCCACGCAACCACCGATAAGGTGCTATCGCAGGTAGCGTAGGCAGCAAACACACCGATAACGCACCTTCCAGAACATCTGGTGGGTGAGCTCCGTTTGCACACAAGAGTTCTCCAGTTGCCATAGCACCCTAGCGCCGTCCGCGCCCGCCACACGACACATATGTCGCTCCCACCCCACCCCACGCTCAAGGTAACCCACCCCCCACATATCCCTACCTCTCACACATACTCATACCATTGACAGATCTTTACAATGCAAATTGTATCTCTCTCGAACGTTGTCTCTTCTGCACTCCGTGTCCCTGACATGCACGGTACTGCAGTTAAGTCTAGTGTCAACGACAACAAGGCCAAGTCGCTGTACGAGCGACTCCACCGGCCATATAATTCAAGGTCAAGGCTGAGCCCTGCAACCCCAGCAGTGGCGAAGAAGGCTGTTCGGTCGCTTGCAACCACTACTTCAAGATCACCCCCGGGCGCCGTTGGTAAGGCGGCGTCACGGAAACCTCTTATTGCTGCAAGAGCTCGTGCTGACTACCCGAACAACGTAGATGCCGCTTTCAGACAGACTAGAATTCCGGGACCGACGATCAAGGCAAGGGTAAGGACACACTCATCGTTCTGGGAAAGAATGACTAGTATCATCATCCGACGCCCTATCTCGACGCCGACGACGGAGATCACCGAGGAGACCACCGAGGTCGAGACCAAGTCAGAGGACGGCATCATCGGATGGGAGGAGTTTTCCGAGGAGGATGAGGAGGGCACCATGGCCCACGAAGCCGACGACACCTCGGTCATGTTCGGGGAGGACAGCTTAAATGAGGCCCTGAGTCCATCGCTGCAGACCGATGCTATGCGGCTCTGTGAGCGCACGATGATCAGCATGAAGCGTCTCCGCATGAACATGAAGAGGCTGATCAATGCGCCATGGTTCGACGGGCTTGCCCGTTGTCCTAGTTATACTAGCGACAACATCGGCATGCCGCGAGTTCGCCCAAGGAAGGTGGAGGTACCCGAGGAGGTGCCTGTGGTAGTTTTAGATGAGAAGGAGGATGGTAAGTTTTTTGATCGCAGTGAAAGACCTTGACTGACAACTTTTAGCTCCTGCTGCTGCCACTTCCGATATGCCGAAGGCTGCCTCGCCAGCAGTAAGCATTAGGAAGCCAGCGCCCGTCCCGACTGTCAAGGTCACAACTGTCAAGGTTGCGGGACGCGGCAAGACTGCTACGGCGGCCAGCAGCGCTACCAAGCGACAGGCACGCAAGCCGGACGCGGCGTCGAAGTCAACCAAGGCTCTCAAGCCTGCCGTTCCCAAGACGTCCTCGCGCAAGGCCCCTGCCAAGGTCGCTCCTCCTCGCCCAAAGGCACCCACGAAGCCGCAGCCGTCCAAGACCAAGACTGTTTCTGCCCCGACATTGAAGGGCGGAAAGTCGACGACGACTAAGGCTATCGTTATTTGTCCAGCATCCGTCGTTAGGGGTAAATTAAAGTCAGCGCTGCGCCAGCCTGGCTCCAAGACAACCCAGAAGCGCATTCAATTTCTTGATGGTCCCATCAAGCCATGCTTCTACTCCCACGACGAGCCCGCCAACCAGTCTCTCGTCGATGCCAAGGCTTCGGAGACAGAGTTCGACTGGGAGCCCCTCCAAGGCTTCCGTCGCCCTCCTTCCTCTTCGCAAGGCCAAGGCACGAGAGAACTCTTCGAGTTCAACGACCTGGATAAATTCACCCTGAAGCGTCGCTTCCTGCAACGATACGTCAGTGTCCGAGCATACGAGGCACGCCGCCGCCAAGACATGTTGTCTTCGGGCGAGCCCGGTCTTGGACAACTTGAGTATGGGAACGGGACTTTCAAGGTCGCGCTCCAAGTTTCCGGAAAGATCGTGTCTCACGACATTGGTATCGTTAAGGACTTGAGTGAGATCGGAAGTGCTGGCAAGTTTTGGGGTGCTCTTCGGCAGAAGGCAATCCCGGTTGTGGTCTTCGGATCCTTCTATGAGCTGTACGAGCCTACTATCATTCCTGACAAGAGGGTAAAGGCGTTCAAGAAGCCGGCACGTTGGCCCACTGCCCGGTTCTGGGACAAGTTCATCAGGAAGAACTTCGGACGTCTTCCAGCCGCTGATCTCGAGGATTAAGTTGCAACGGAGGAAGTCTGGGGGTAAGTTGAGCTCCCATGTTTGATCATCGCACATGCTAACCAAGCCAGTATGGTAGGTATGTGAGTTCGACGACTGCGGGAGCTCAAGAGACGGAGACGGTGGATGGGTGCGATTGCGCTCCGCTTGCTTTTTGCTTTTACATGTACCCCCCTTCCCTTCCCTTCCCTGCCCTTTTCCTTCCCTGCCTTTTTCCTGTCTCTTTCCTGTCTCTTTCCCGTCTTTCCCTTTTCTCTTTCCTTCCCTCTTCTCTCTGCTTTTGTTGACTCAGTTTCTTTTTCTTCACGACTTTATCGACATCAACAAAGCCGGGGCGTCCTTTTCGACAGGGCGGGGCGAGTGGTGGGACCCCGCATTTTCGACAACTTTTTCAACAACATCGACATCAGTATTCAACATACAGATGGCCAGGCATTGGTGGGAGAGTGCGGGAAGGTGATGGAGATGCGCCGGATGTGTTATTGATCTTTCTTTTGTTCTGCTTCGTGTGTCTCTTTTCTTGGTTTCTTGCACGGTGCTTACTTCCTCTTTGTGCTCTAGCACACGAAAAGTTTTTTTGTAGTCTCACAATTCATGTTGTGTCGACTTTTATATACATTGGAAATGGAAAAGAGTAAGCCCGGCTGTCGACAGCATACCTCATCGACGCCATCATTGCGTTCATGCCGACATCCAGGTTCGCGTACAGCGGACGTGCAGCTTACATGCAGATGTCGCACGTGTCACTGTGACTGGACAATTGTTATCAGGCACAGAAGACGGCTAGGATGCAAGAGGCAGTTGCCGAGAATGGGGCACGGCTATACCAAGGCTTGCCAAGAGCTCTTGCACTACGCTAGCGGAGACGTCCGCTAGTTAAAAACCTACATATAGGAATTGACCGCCGGTATGGAGGCGGACCTTCGTGCTCCCGCCTCTTTCATTGAAAACTTATCTTTCGACATCGTCAGTCGAGATGAAGTTCGCCACCCGATCAAGCGCTTCCTTGGCTGTCCTTTCGGCATTGGTAGCGGTTGCGCAAGCAGATGATGCGCTTTACAGTAAACGCATGGTAAAGCGTGATATTGATGCGGATGGGAACTACAACATCAGTAAGTTAGTCCTTGACAGACAAGATATTGCTTTTGCTCACGTGACCAAGCATTCTTCCACATCAACGACGTTCACGCCCATCTCGACGAGTTCAGCTCCTCGGGAACCGATTGCACAAAGCCCGAACGAGGATGCTATGGTGGCTATGCGCGTGTCAAGACCATAATAGAGGAGCAACGCCCAAACTACGAGGACAGCTTATGGCTAAACGCTGGTGATGAGTTTCAGGGTACCTTGTTCTACAGCTTCTATGGTGGCGAGAAGATTGCAGAAACTCTGAATGAGCTCAAATTCGATGCTATGACTCTTGGAAACCACGAGTTTGACGGGGGCGATGGCGAGCTCGGAGAGTTCTTGGTCAATCTGACATTCCCGATCATCAGCGCGAATGTGCATTCGCAGGATCCCAATGTCAACAAGACAGTCAAGAAGTATACGATCTTCGAGGAGCATGACCTCGCTTTGATTGGTGTTACTGCAGAAGAGACTGCCAGTCTTAGTAACTCTGACCCTACTACTGTGTTTTCCAACACGGTTGAGGTACGTCGAGCGATGCACGTGCCAGTTGGCATCCACTAATTGCAGCAGGCTGTACAAGGCGCCATCGATGAAATAAAAGCGACAACCAACATCACCAGGATTGCAGCTCTTACTCATATCGGCTATGACAAAGATCAAGAGCTCGCGAAAGCTACTACCGGTCTTCATCTCATCATTGGTGGCCACAGTCACACTCTCCTTGGCGACATGGAAGATGCTAAGGGAAAATACCCCACTATTGTTGACAACAAAGATGGAGATGAAGTCTTTATCGTCACTTCATACCGCTGGGGCGAATACGTCGGCTATATCGATGTCACCTATGATCCCCAGGGCAAGATTGTCGCTTACCATGGCGCTCCTATCCACCTCACAAACACCACTAAGCAAGATGAGGACCTTCAGAAAGAGATTGATGCATGGCGCGTTCCTTTCGAGGAGTTTGCCGCCGAAGTTCTTGGCACCAGCTCGGTTGAGCTCGATCAGACTACCTGTCAACAGAAAGAATGTCTTCTTGGCGATTTCATGGCCAATGCCATGCTCGACTACCGCAAGAACAACACCCAAGATGTAGACTTCGCTCTCATCAACGCAGGCGGCATCCGCGCCACAATCGACCAAGGCGACATCACCCGCGGCGAAGTGCTGACGTCATTTCCCTTTGGAAACGCAATCGTCCAAGTCGAAATCGACGGAAAGACTCTATGGGAGTCTCTGGAGGGCATCGTAACCGGTGTCAATGTTGGCAACGGTCGGGAAGTCACTTCCTTCTTCCAAATCAGCACAGGCATCAAAGTCGAATACAACCCCGAGAACGGCAACAACAGCAAGCTTATCGCTGTTACCATTGGAGACGAGCCCCTAAAGAATGAGACCAAGTACCAGATGGTCACCTTGGACTTTATTGCGGGCGGCGGCGATAACTTCTTCGAGCCATCAACGGATTTCATCACGTTGGATACGCAGGATGAGGTTTTGACTGCATATATTCTGAGCAAGAGCCCAGTCGATATTAAGCTTGACGGAAGGATTGAAGAGGTGGACCGTCAGAGGGATGATGTTGCTCCCGGATCTGGCAATGGCACTACGAACAGTACGCGACCTACGACTGGTGCGCCGCCTCAGCAGACTACCAACTCGGCCGCTCGGGTCGGCCAGGACACTGTTGGTGCGAGTGCATTTGGGCTACTGGTTGCGTTGTTGATGCTTTAAGTGGGTGGTCCTTGGCTGCTCCATATTTGATGGCATGAAATGGAACAGGTAGAAAACAATAATATTGAGACATTAATTCACGCTGCAAGGTGCGTCTGACATCTGGAAGAGTGCCACTAACATCATATCTAGCACATAGCCTACACAGCAGCGAGCATGAAGAACCCTTCAGCGATGTTTCAAACAATGTAACATGACTGCGTGCCTTCGGAGGTGTCAAAGTTTGCGCTAAGCTGTACGTGAAATGTCGTCCCTTTCACGCGCCTCGGTTATCGCCAAGACCAGCAACTGATCAATACGACTCAGCCAAGAAAATGAAAGAGAATTGCGCAACAATAGAATTTTGTGAATGACGCGCAAGGCGACTACTCCGCCCGGAAGTCTCTGCCTGATGCGCGCCTGACACAATAGACAACACGCCAACCATCTCCACACCTACACAACCACCGCTTACCACCCACCCCCTCTACCATTGCTCGTCGCCCTCCCATTGCTCGTCCAATACTTATAAGTCATGTTCTTTACAGCCTAAGATGGAAACCCCCAAGACACGCAGGAACTTGGGAAAGCAAGTTGTCCGCCTTAACGGTCTCAACGACATCAGGATCGGTACACCAGCGCATCCAGTCACATACCCACCGCCGCCCACCTACGCAACCGTAACACAAGCCACTGCAATTCCCAAGCCACTCAAGAGCGTCGCAGACTGCACCTTCGAGCAATACCAAGCGGCCAACCTGGGCGTCGGCGAGAAACACGCTCTCATCGGCCAGCTACGCGATGAAATGCCCATCATGGACCGCGACGAGATCGACGAATTGACTCTCCGCGAGCTGAGCACTGTACTCGAACACTGCATCTTCCCGACATGCAAGATGATGCAGATCGACCCCGTTGCCGTGAAGCGCATGCTAGACGACCAGTTCCGCAAAGCCTACGGTGTGGAGACCGAGACGGAGGTGCTTGGGAAGTTGGGCTTGGGTCGTTTGGAGGATTTCGACAAGGCGATGGCGATGCAGAAAAAAGAGGCTGCTGCTGCGTATGTTAAGTCAGACGTTGCAGATGATGTCACGTTAATTGGAGATGGTGGTGTTCAAGCAGAAACGCCGGTTTCCAAAGCGCCCCCAAACAAGAAGATCAAGCAGATGCCGTTGATCGACACAGAAAAGGATATCAAGGCATATATTACTAGGAGGAAGCGCGGAAGGTATGAGGTCAAGGTGGTTTGCTTGAGGTCCAGGGCTGTGTGTGTGAAGTGGTTGGATATGGATACTGTGTCCTAAATTGATGCGCTGGCGCACTGGGTTGAAATGGACATGTAAATGATGGATCCAAGCGTAGATCTGGAAGATGGTGAGAGTGATATGAGCGAGAGTTATAGGCCAAGTGGTACTGAACGGATGCGTCTCGTTGCAGGTTTGAAGACCGGATAGACCAGTATATATCAATCGTAAGAAACTTAAACAGATTCTAGTGGTTTTTTTATAATAGTGATAGGTTTGTATGGAAGTCAACATGCTGAATCTCATTGCTGCGCGTTGTGAAGTTGGATGGTGCATGCACATGTGCAGGGACTAGTGAGAGCGCGTGACGTCATGGGCTGGTTAGTCATCCGCAGTTCCACCAAGACGCGTCTTCGCCTACCTAAGTAGGCATCGACAAGCTATCCATTCTATAATTTATAATTGCACCACGGTTACATTCACAGTGATCTACCGCAACGGTTGCATTTAGGGAACAAAAGAAAGCCATGTCAAGAACTAGCGCGATGAGCTCGAGATCTTTGGGACCCTAAATAGCTTTTATCACGAGATGATTCGGACGATGCCACTGACAACCAGCCGACCTGTTCATTTATTAATGATCTTTCGGGACGGGAATGAATGCGGTGCCACTAGTGCTGCCAATAAAGCCGCGTATTGTAGGTACCGACAAATCTCGAGATTTCCTCCCTGCAACATCTCGCTTGCTGTCTTGATCATTCCTAAGGTAGTGTGATTCACGATGTGTCTGATGCCGTCAAGCGACGATCACAAACTTAGCGATCCTTCTAGATCTGAGAAATTTCGTACTGTACGCTGGTTCTGGAAGTAATATGACTTGTAGCAATCAGCTCGTGGTGTTGGGCTAGCAAAGCAATGAGGTCCTGTATGGAGATCAGCAGACACTCAAGGCATGACACTGACAAACCAGAACCTTGGCGCAGAAAAATGATAAATAGGGGCCTGAGACGACATGTAAGGTTCATTACAGAAACTTGCTTCATTCATTCTATTCGATCCGAGAAACGGAATGTCTCGACGAGGCAAGCCTAAGCAGCAAACCAAGCCGCCCGGCGATGAAAACAACGTCCCAGAGTTTATCGGTAAACGACTTGATAATAGACCTGTATCATGGGAAGTTCAACCACCAAGCAAGACTGCTATATGTCATGTAGACTACCGTCTGGGGGATTCTGCAGTGCTTTGTGTTGTACCCATTCAAGTCTGTACGAAAGATGAAACAACTGGTAAACTCGTCCCTGTTACTAGCCGGAAGTTACGACGCGACGCAATCACCGAGTATTTAAATAGGCTTGCGTCTAATAAGAACATCGCTCTACATCTAGCCCAGAAGACCATCAAAGCAGAAGGAGATAGCGATGAGGAAACATTTCCGGATGACCAGCTGATTTTGTTTGGATCGGACAAGACTGATCTCCTTAAGGTCTCTAAAGACACCTACAGTACTTTGCAAAACCGGCCTCACCCTTTGCGCACTCTCAGCTTTGACAGAATCCCTGTTGTACTAGGATAGCCCTATCCGAGCTTGACGAATAACCATTCTGCCGGTAGCCAAGATCCTGGAATAGCTAGCCTGTGTTTCTAAGCTAGTGGCTTGCACAACGCTTACTCACACAGTACAGTAATACAGCATTGATAAAACGTACAATCACAAAGAATAAATACCATCAAGTGCAGAGGATAAGCGCAATCGCATTTCCTTCACAAGTTTTCAGCATATATTCCTGTCATTATAGCAGCAGTTCCATGACAGATTACTCGCTTCGTGAGACTAGAGCTGATGTGATAGTTTTTTTCTGCCTTGATTGCGGCGGTGAGATGGAAGGTACGTATCATATGCGCACCCACACGAACACTTACATTACTATACATTTGCCTTTGACAACTGCCTGAGGCTCTGCCTCCCACTGAGCTAACGATTCTGTGTAAGATACCAAATCAGGATGATCAGCTCTAAACCCATGCTGGGAAAGCTGTACGCATTCTCTCAACAATCCAAGAGCCTCTTTGTTTTTTCCAAGTGATTTCCGCGTAAAAGCGAGATTGTTTACGCTGCGCAGCGTGTCTGGATGGTCCGATCCCAGCTTCGTCTTGAGAGTCTCCGTCACCTGTACAAAGAGCTTCTCAGCCTCCTCCCAGCGGCCTTGATTGTTGTATGTCGACGCTAAGTTGTTCATGCTAGTCAGCGTGTCTGGATGGTCTGCTCCGAGCTTCGTCTTGCGAGTCTTCATGACCTGCACAAATAGCTTCTCAGCCTCCTCCCAGCGGCCTTGAAATCTGTATGTCGACGCAAGGTTGGCTATGCTAGCCAGCGTGTCTGGATGGTCTGCCCCGAGCTTCGTCTTACAGGTCTCCGTCACCTGCACCTGTAGCTTTTCAGCCTCCTCCCAGCGGCCTTGATTGCTGTATGTCGACGCTAAATTGTTCATACTGCCTAGCGTGTCTGGATGGTCTGCTCCGAGCTTCATCTTGCAAGTCTCCATCACTTGGACATTTAGCTTCTCAGCCTCTTCCCAGCGGCCTTGATTGCTGTATGTCGACGCTAAATTGTTCATACTGCCTATCGTGTCTGGATGGTCTGCTCCGAGCTTCGTCTTGAAAGTCTCCATCACCTGCACAAATAGCTCTTCCGCTTCATTATACCGTCCGTCACTGTACAACGCCATGGCAGATTTCCTCGCTAGATGTAGCCAGTCAATATTCTCGTCTTCAGCACAACCATATGACAGAGCGCACTTGGCATGTTGAAGTAGTCGTCCCCACTTGCTTCTATTGCCATGACCATGATCTGGGAACACCTGGAGTAGCTTTGCAATAGTATCCTGAGTCCACTGGGCTAGTTTTTCTTGACTTTCAAGGCACTCCCGCAGAGCGAGATGCACAAGTCTGTGAACATCGAATGCAGTCTCAGCTGGTCTCCTGGTAACGGCCTTGTAATTGCTAAGTACCTGTACCGCAGCATCCATCCCAAGTGAGTACGCTCGTACAAGATCAAGCGGAATATCTTTCGAGTCTACGCAGGCGGCGATGTATAGACAGTTCACTGCAATCGGATTCTCAATGCGGATCATGTCCATCGAGATGAACAACGTAGTAGCTATAGGACTCTTTATATTGTAGCCCCTTAGCTTGACGTCAGTCACTTCGTCGCTGTTTTCGAAAGCATCATACTTCTGCAGGCCCATTTGTGATCGGTACTGGGGGACTTTTAATTCTGTGTTGTTGATACACGCTGCTGCTTGGACAATGGCTAGTGGAAGATAGGATAGCTCTTGTAGCAACAGCTTTGCCTCCTGCTCCTCACTTTCAGAAAGCACGGCGTCCAAGTACTTTTCGAACATCCTCTGAGCCGTAGTAGGTGTCAGATTCTGCAGCTCTACAAGATTCTGCGATGCGAGCTTCTTAGCTATGTTTCTGTTGGTTGTTGTGAAGACGATAGAACACAGTTCAGACTGAGGTAAGTAGCTAATCAAACTTGCAGCTTGTGGTCCAGATAACCCTGGAGATCCTAAGCTTATGTCCTCTGTGTTGTCAAAAATGAGCAGACACTGTCTTGCACCTCTTTCCTCTAGACAAAGCCTTACTAGCTGCTTAAGGTTTGCCTTCTCATCGTCCCAGCTGGGAATTTTGAGCTTTTGGGCAATCCCTGCATATGACTGATCGAGACTGTCTAGATTGCTTGCATCAATCCAGAAGACTGAGCAATTCTGATTGTTTTGCCGTGTCCTGTGTGCGAGCTCAAGCGCTAGCTGTGATTTGCCTGTTCCTCCAGGTCCTACAATCGCGAATGTGGTGGTTTGCTTGTCGCTGAAGAGCTTTTCTTCTAGTTTAGCAAGCTGTGACTCCTGACCCACAAAACGATCGTTCTGGGAAAACGGAATGATAGAGGGTGCGCTGTTGGCTTCGCCTACTTCAGCTAGTAGTCTTCCTAATGCTTTCTCCTTTCCCTCGCCGTAAGATACAGGCATAGAGATATTAAATATTCCAAGAAGGCAGTACACAATATCTTCATCTTCAGTAGTTTTGCGTTTTTTGGCCCAGTGCATTCGTTCAGATGTAGTAAATTGGTCCAATGGACAATTTCGCAATACTGTGATTGGAATGCTAGTTACATCGTGCACGAGCTGCTCAAGAGACCTTTTGTCGCCGATTTGCCGTCGTTCGCAGGAGTAGAACTCGACTGATATTGGCGCAATGAGCTCCTGAAGTGTCCAGCCTCGACGAAACCAATCGCTTTCCCGGAAGGAAGCTTCCCAGTCGCTTTGTTGAAGTGTCGAGGGTGCAGATACGTCTGATAGGAATACGTAGCATCTTGTTGCATTCTTGTACCAAACAAACATTGAGTATCGAGCTTGAGAGCTCACGGACGTTCCATTTGTCAATGCAACATGTGTCGATCCAGAAGTACCGGAGCTGATCCTCGGCCGCCTGTGTAGCGCAGAACTTGATCTTTCGATAGCCGTCTTTCTTGTGATAGGCCCCGTTTTCAATGTCTTCAAAGAGAACCTCAGAATTGGGATGCCCCCATCTGTGTGAAAGGATAGCATATGGTGGGATGATTTGACTGCGAAAATCTGTCAGAACAAGTCTGCCAGACGGGTCAAAGTGAAGAAGTCGCATGGCTGCTACAATGATGCTTCAACGGAAAAGCAGATATCGCAAACAAGTTGAAGTCAGAGAGTACTTGCCATGGCGGATTAAGAGATAATATAAGTAGTTGAGGGCTGTGATAGCCTGTGACGTCTTCTAATAGCTTGTAATAGCAGCCTGTGGAGGCAGTGCACGCTAGGCTGTGCTGATCAGCTCAGCTCTCAGCGCTTCTCTCCGTGCAGAGAAGTCAACAAACAAAACAACCAACATTTGAGGCGTAGATGTTGATTGACTGGCTCATTTCTTAGGGCTACAGTTTGTTTGTTTGAGTTGATGAGACTGAAGAGCCAATTTTTGGTTGGTTGATTGATTGAATATTGATAGACTTAAGGTTCTGAAGGGACGTTTCTATGACAATTCTGCAGGCGGCTCTTCCCACGTTCCTATCGCAAACTCTTCCGTGAGCTCCTCATCAGTATGCTTTGCTGCTGTTGTCGTGCTTGGTGTTGTAAAACCTGCACGAGTCCACCGTTGCAAGCACACCAAAGCAGCCAGTAACTGCGCGCCAATTTTCCGCCTTTGTGGCTCAATTATATCGCCAGTTCCCGCAAAAACGCGCTCACAATCAGAGCTGGAGGCGGGTATAGTCAACACGTCGATCGCCAATCGTGAAAGATGTGGATACTTCGGCTTCAACGATAACCAGTACTGTACAGCTGTTGGACCCTCCTTGTGTTGATCAGACGTCCACATAGGCTCTTTTAACCAGCTATCGTACTCATCCTCCACCTCCAATGTATGCTCGCCGTCCTCATCTAGTATAGCGTCGATAGCGTCGTCAAAGCTGCTCATGGTAGGTTTTGGCGCAGGGGTTGGTGTTGTGGCAGCAGCGGCAGGCTTGTAGGCAGCCCAAACCCGCAGAAACTTCGCGTGCGCGGTGCTCAATTGTGTAGGTTTGTCGCGCCAGAAGCGCTTAGAGTATGTTTTATATCGTGGATGTAGTGCCGTAGCTGCGTAGTAAATGGGACTTTGGAGGATCTTAGTAAAGTAATTGCTCGCTTTTCGCCTCGCGGCTCGCAGGTTGATCGGGATGTGATCTTCGGGCGCCTCAGATGGCTCGTGGTTGACCGATTCGTATGGCCGAAGGCGTGCATCCAGCTCAGTTATCACACTCTCAAATACTGGGATGACCTCGTAGAGTGCGCCAAAACGGCCACACTTGCCGCGGCCTTGGAGGCGATCTGTAGCAAACTTGAGCGGCTGCAGTATCGCCATGTACTCAGTAATCACCGCCCAGTCAGCCGCCGTAAGGCCGTCTGACCTCATCCACCGCGGCACATCAGGCAGCTTGTTTCCTCTAATAGCTGCCTGTTCGTCAGCCTGTTCAGTCTCGCGAATGTGGTACGTGGCGTATGCGTTGATAGCTTGTTGGAGCTGAACTCCGCGCTTAAAGCAGTCGTAATAGCTGTTCCAACGTGTAACACACGGCTTAATTGGCTCGCGAGTGCCGCCGCTGGCGCCTGTGGGCATGCTGTTAACTGCCTCGCGTTGGCAATCTTCAAAAATACTCCACTGCTTCGGCGTGTTGATGTAGTTGATAATATCAAGATACACGCCAAGCGGTCCTTCTTTCCGCCACTCCTTCATGTAAAAATCCTCCATCTTTGTGTTCTCCAGGGCGTTGTTATACGCGTCAGCATCCCTCCCGAACATAATCGTTTGGCCAACAAGGTTAAGTATGTGGCAAGCGCAGCGGAGGCGGCGATCGGAGGCAGAAAAGTGGTACATCGCGGCGAGTTTGTTAACAGCGGTGTCGTTATTGTAAGCGTTATCGAGCACAAAGTAGCCGAGTTTGCTGCGATTAATGCTGAAGGATTGCAGGATTTTGGTTACAGCGTCAGCTATCGCCTCACCAGTGTGGGCACCCACCAGCTGCGGCAGCGCGATGGGTAGGTCAACTATCGCGCCCTTACTGTTGGCGTAGTGAGCAACTACAGAAAAGAAGCCACGTTTGCCGCCTTTTGTCGTCCACCCATCGAAGCTTATATGTACCTTGCTCTCGGCTTCAGCCAACGCGCGCACCACCTGAGGCCGTAGCCAACTGTACAACCTCATCACGAACGCTGACACGCTGTTATGAGACCTCCATAACGCCGCCTCTGCCTCAGGATTAGCAAGCCTGATCATCTTGCGAAAAGCCGGCGTCTCAAACTCGCGGAGTGGTCTGTTGTTGTCGACCAGCCAGAGCGCAGCTGCCTGCCGAAATTCTTGTACGTCGAAGTTTCCTATAGTCTTGTACGCCTCTAGACTAAATTTGACACCGCTTAGAGCTGCCTGACGAAGTGATTGTTGTCCATGTTTGCGGAGAGGTTTGCTTAGGATTGGACCATCTTTGCTGAGCCGATGACCAGGTTTATCAAGCTGGAGGTGCCCGTTGGCGGCAGTGGTTGACTTCGTTACTCGGTGTACACCATTAGGTAGCTTATGAATATGACAGTACTTGCACACAAAGTACAACTCATCTGGGTGGTGAGTACCCTCCTTCCAGACACGCCAGCCGTGTTGAAAAATCCAGCTTGCCTTGCCTCGTGGAGTGCTCAGCGGCGCGACAAACCCCTTTAATCGCGACCAATCGACGCCCTCAAAGTCGCGAAAATCGACGCTCACAGCGCTATCCTCCTCCACCGAAGCCTCAGTGGCAGCGCTAGAGAAAGCTAAAGGCTGTACAATAGAGTCCTCTGGCTTATCAAACATTAACTGCGACTCCCAGGCTGGCTCATCAGTGAGCCGAGAGGCTTGTGAGGCAGCCAAAATAGGCAGTGGTGATGCCCGCCGAGGGCGCTCCTCGGGTTGTTGTACAGGCTTACATGGCGGTTCAATAGCCCGTGTGGGCGGCTCGATAACTTGTGTAGGCGGCTCTGTAGGCGGATCCGGCGTACTTTCTGGCAGCTCTATCGGCTGGGTTGGCTGGCTGCCGTCACCCAACAGCGCTTTGAGCGTAGGTTTGCGCGTACGTTGTGCTCGCTTGAAGGGAGTATCAGCTTCTTCGGCAGCCTCGGGCTTGCGTTTTGCTGGTATAGAGGGCATGGATAAGGCTAAAAGTAAGCCGGAGCCGCGAGAAAGTAAGGTGTTGTTAAATGTTATAAGCCTGATGTCAGTAGCACTAGGAATAGAACATGTGTGAATCGTGTTGTGTATTGTGCTACAGGAATTGAGATCTATGTCTCTGCCAGCTAGCGTTGTGGGCGCTAAGCCTCGTACGTACTAGCCTGGAGTGAGTGAGAGATGGGATGGAACCTAGGTCATATAACTTACACGCGAGTAGGCTTAGTAAGCAAGATCCAACACTAAGAATTCGTCGTTGAGCAGCTATCCCAGAGGCCTCACCTAGGTATCCCCCTCCCTCGCTTACTATCAAACAACACCAATCCTATCAACATTTTGTTCTCAAGATTGGTTGATTGATTGACAGAAATACAGTGGCTAACTGTTGGTTAGTTGGTTGGCTCCGAATCAAACAAATCAAACAACAATATTGATGAGATATTGATTACTGACAACCTTGTCTCCGTGCGACCACGCTTACACTGCACCCTGCAGGCGACGCAGTGTGACTTCCAGTTGAGAAACAACAGCCACACCTCACCGGCACATTCTGCTCTATTCGTGTGGCATGTTGAAGGCAAGAAGAAGTCCCCTGCAATGATATTGTGCATTTCCTATTTATCCCTAATGTTAAGTTTAAAGTACGCAACTGTCTATTCCTAGGAACAAGCGTGTCTTGTGGTGGCTAAAGGTTGTTGATGATGTGCCTACTAACGTATCGTGAACTCCAGCAGACTAAGAGCATTGCATACCGGTACAGGATGCACTAGGACAGCAGGGCAATTCCATTATTTAACATCCGACGCAAATAGAGCAGAGGGTTGGTGAGGTGTGGCTGTTTTCTCTTCACTAGAAGGCACACTGCGTCGCCTGCAGGGTGCAGTGCAAGCGTGGTCGCACGGCGAGAAGCGCTGGAACTGAGCTGATCAGCACAGCCTAGCGTGAACTGCTGCATTGACAGGCTGCCATCACAGGCCATCACAGCCATGAGCAGCTTAAGTACAATTAGTGACTTGTATCACAGTGTAACTTTGTTTTGTGTAGTAAGCCTATATCATCACCTTCAACCTGTTTTACAAACAAGAGTGCCTCGAGATTCTGAGCTAGCTCACTTAAGCTAGTAGAGCTCGGTACTCTGCGACTGGCTTAAGTTAGCAAGGGTATCCTAGGCTAGCAGGGGTCTTACGGAATCGTCGCTTGCGCAAAGGGTGAGGGCGGTTTTGCAAAGTACTGTACGAGTTGAACGTCACAGTCACGACAATTAGGAAAGCCAATGGGGAAAAGAGTGACAAGCCCATCTATTGCAGCCTCAATGCCGCTGCACTGAAAGAGTTGACTGCCACCAACGCCGATACCACTGAGTATTGGCAGAAACTCCAGGTCATTCTGCGCAAAAGCACGCAGACAGCTTCCTTCGGTCTTACCGATAAAACTGCACAGTTCTGCACGAGGACGGGGTCTTTGCTCAGCGACGCTAGCAGCAAGTCCATTGACAGCAAGAGTGCCATTAAAGAAGTTGCCACTCATCCAGATGGCAAGGCTACGCTTAGAGAAGCTCCAATACTGAATTACTTGTTCCGCACCACGCTTAAGCTCGACCCCAACGACCGAAAGATGCGCGCGGAAACCGATCTTGTGGCTGGCATGAGGGGAGGCACCAACCTCTCTGCTTTGGTTCTAAGCACGTTTGGTTTTACTATAGTTGATTCCAGTAACCCCAATGTCTTAGACAAAACAAAGGCTATGCTAGTCGGTCTCAGCGTCACCCGTACTTACGGTCGACAGACTAATTCTACCCAAGACCCAAAGGTAGCGGCGAATGGGATGTCACACGAAAATGGATCCATATCGACTTCACCACCTGCCAAGACTAGAGTTTTGTCGGATATCACAAGGGCTACGAACAATGCAGCCGCACGACTATTTGGACTTGGCTTCGGGAACACTACACAGCAAAATCCGAACTGTTTTTCTGCTTCTATCGTTATTGACCTGAAGCGATCTAGCGAGGTTCCTGACTTCTGGAAGGGTAATGTGAGGTATTCCGTAGCCAAATACCTCAAGGAATACTACGATCAAACGCTGCCTTCGAACCTTCTAAATATGCCTCTTGCCAATATCTGTAAAGACATTTGGATCCCACTGCACCTTCTAGAAACCGTTGGCTGCAGCACAGAGCTTCAAAAGATTCCATCTGTTGGTCTCATGACTGCATCACTTCTGAACAGACTGACGAACGAAAATGTAGAAGCTACCAGGGGCTTTTTGTGCTTACGCCACGAAGTGGTTCATCAGCACTGGCGCAGGCACTGGCCACTATTGTGAGCAATGAGCCGGCATATATATTGTCCATATTGGCGATAGCTTCTTGTTTGGTCTTTGCGTCATCCGAAATGATACAGAGGGCATCAACCCATAGATATCGGTCGCCTAAGCTTTCCACTAACGCCATTGCGTCGCGGATGGTTTGTGGAATCGATGCACCAGATAGTCCCATATCCTGTGATATCTTGTGGATATTATTCGTACTGAGCTGTAATTGCATTGTGTTTCCCCATACATAGCTTAACGCTACGTAGCGGCAATCGTTCGGTGCCGACACAATACATTTCCGACAGACATCAATGACTATCAACTGGCTCGTGGAACTTCCCAAGTTCGAGATCTCAGAGCACTGAGTGTGTTCGAGGTCACATTTCTGCAACCAGTGACGTATTAATGGTATATCAAGGGATGCCGGCTTCTGTGGAAGAAGACGACTGAAACCAGGATACTTCAAGGGGTCTTCCGAGGCCGATCTGATTGCTGCACAAGTATATCCAAGAGGAGATCGTATCTTGATATAAATACAGGGTACTTTCATTGGTAGGGTATGAGTTTTTTCTTTAGCCTTCTGTAAGAAGAAGGTCGCCGTAATGCCCTTCATCCAGGTTGTTTCAGAAATGTATTCAACCAAATTTGTATTCTCAATCATCTCGAGAATCATTCCACAGAGATCGTATTCCTTTCGAAGCTGTTGGTCTTCTTCTGGGCCGTACGCAATTATTGGATACAGCCCCTCGAAGCAACGATTAGCACCCGAGGTAAAGCTCTCCAGCGAAATATTGTAACTGGAACAAGGCTCACAGAAGCCCATGTCTGGATACAGTGGCTTGCGAACGCGAATAGAACAGATGTAGTGTGTTGTGGTTTGGGATCGGCGTGATCGAAGAATATGAGACAATAACCCTCACTCCCACTAAGAATTGCGGCACAGTTGGGTCGCGGGACCGCCAATAACAACCATGCTCAGAGCGCAGCTATACCAAGTTGGATGGGTCCACATTATTTTCCTACTTCTGCGATAAGCGACAGCTCGTATGCACGGTATGCGGGAGAAAACACGATGGTGCGATGTCAAGGTGAAGTGCTGTACGGCGGAGCGATTGAGATGATCACAACTCGACGACATGAGTGTCAAAAAATCACCAGAGAAAACATAAAAAACTTTACAGTATAACTATGAGTTTAGTGAAAAGTCTTCCAAGTGGTGTCATCCGCGATGAAGTGATGCAGGAAGACAGGCCGTTGTGACTGCTAATCACCCGTTCATGATGTCATCGATCACGTGACCATGCATCACCAAATGAATCTTCCGCACATGCGCACCGTTACTGCTGCTAGAGATCGACATAAACAAGCGACGTGATGGAAATTCTATGCCAATAATTACAAAATGCAATTTTGCTACTCTTCAAAGACAGGTAAAGTCATTACCGAGAACGCCACGTTGAGCCGAAAGTACCGTGAACCACCAGGGCTTCCCCAAAGTATCTTCAATCTAAGAGCAACTCACCCCCCTCAAACTTCTACTGGTGTTTAACTCAATGTTCCCTGGCGACTTCTCTCCATTCCCGCCGGTGCAGTTCCCACCTGGCTCACCAACTCCGCTTCCTCGGTCCTGGACCGTTTGATGAGCTCATCATCAAGCCCTGTGCTCCTGGTACGCATCGGGCTGGTAGCATCCGCAGCACTATCGTCCACATCTAGTTCCTTTTCTTTCCTCCTCGCTATGCCCATGCTAGCTACACTAGCATCGTCGCCATCGTTCTTCTTGCGGCGATCCCCTTCACCATTCTGGACTTCAATGGTGACATCGGTGTTGTCTTTGCTGAAAACGCGGAGGCTGACGACGCAGACTGCGTTCCAGGGATCGCTCTCAAACTCATCCTCTTCGACATGTGTATAGCGTGCGCTGTTGTACCCAACGTACCGCGGATGCCGGTCAGAGAAAATTCGCGGAGTGTCTTCATCATCATCTGAAAGGCCCGAATCGGCCGAACAAGGACCATCAATCTCGGAATCCCATGAAGAATCGTCAGATATATCATTGGGAGTGTGTGCACGATGCGAGCATACGCTAATGCCTCGACCGCGGCTGACCTGTATACCTGGGCGTACACCAGGGATTGGTGTGAGGGTTGCGCGGCGAGATTGAGCGGGAGATCGACGAGGGCTGTAAGCTATCTGGGATGGAGTACCCGGCCGGAATTCATCGGTCATGGGTGTTGGAAGAGGTGTTGGCAGTGGCGTTGGCATTGGCGAATCCGTCAAGGGCCCATCGTTGTATCCATCGCGGCCATTATAGCCATCCCGGCCTTGATACATGCCGGGTAACTCCGTGTTGTACCCTCCTCTACCCTGGAGTTCTCCAGGCATATTTTGATTGTAGCCTCCTCTACCTTGAAGCTCACCGGGCATGTTTTGGTTGTACCCTCCCCTGCCCTGTAGCTCGCCAGACATGTTCTGGTTGTAACCTCCACGTCCTTGGAAACCTTGGCTGTGAGCATTGGAAGACCCTTGTGGGCTGTGATTGTATCCACCGCGGCCTTGGAGAGCCAACGTTTCGGACATGGCGTTGCCATGAGTGTCGCGATTGTAACCACCACGACCTTGTAGTGCTCCTGGCAACGCCACGTTGTATCCATCACGGCCTTTGTTGTATCCCCCTCGGCCCCCGAAACCGCCACTAGGGCTTTCCGACCGCTCGCGGAGAGAGCCTGTACTTGATCCGCGATGATGTCTTGAAACAGCTTGGTGAAGTGGTTTGGCTTCGTCGTCACCCGAGACACGGTTCTCTTCCTCGACATTGATACCAAGGCCAGGCAGGTCTTGCAGCTTTCTCGTAATTTCCTGCATATCGCCGGCCCTGTTGAGTCTACGAGTTTCCTTGGCAGCCTTCTTTTGTTCACGGAGCTCAGCCCTTTTCCGTAGTCTCTTGCCGCGCTCGTACGATTGCTTCATCTCCAGTTTCTTGCGTTCGATCTTCTGCTCCTTGAGACGCTGTTGCATGTCCTCTTCTTGCTCTCTGAATTGTCCCTTGGCGTGGGCAAGATCATAGGACAGACCAATCGATAGCAGCTTCTCGCGCCGTTTGGTGCACGTTTCCCGGATAACTTCATCTGGCGTGGGCTTTTCCGCGCTCCGAGTGGCTTTGATCTTGAGCAAGACAGTGTAATTGCCGGCTTCAAGATCCAGCTCAGTAGAGACAGACCGTTTCATGTAGTATGTACCGTTGCTGCGGACAATGTATTCTTCCTCGTCGTCTTTGTGCAGACGAAACTGCAAGTTGAATTCATACTGCCCCTCGAGACCCTCGTAGTAGCGATCATCGAGCTGGCTAAGCACGATGACGACAGGACCACCCTTGGCGAGATGGATTTTGAACTTGGTATCGAGGTAGTCAACACTCCAAGGAACGTTGACGCTCGTCCACTGCTGAGACACGGTCCACTCTGGTCCGAAGAGCCTTGTGCGATCAAAATGTTGATAGGTGCGCAAAATATCTTGGTAGGAGATCCAGAAGACACCATCGTCACCGAACTTATGGTTGAGCTTCTTCATCCACTCCGGAGTCCACTCCTCGGATCCATCACTCCAGCGACCAGTCCACTCTGAACGCCCCCAGGGGTTGCGGAGCTTCAATAGTCGCTGACCATCAACTTCACGAGCCTCCATGATGGAGTAAGCGTGCTTCTCTTGGATGCCTTTTCGTGCCCCGTAGATGCCACCCATCTGACCACATCCGAACAGAAAAGTCTTGTTGACATTCATGAGCTCCTCGCGCCAAAACTTGTCCTTGTCCAGGATATCTGTTGCGAAGATTTCGGAGGTAACTCCTCCTGTGAGGTCTTCAATACCTTCGCCCACGAAGCCTCCTTCGATCGCACTGTAGTCGCCGTGCGCCTTTGCGAAAGCTTTTTCGAGTAACGGAAGCCAGGTCTCATTGGGATCGCTACACTGTGCAAAATATAGCGCTCGGGAACCAGTCTGCATGACTGTACGGTATTCATCCTCTGGACTTTTACGGTTCTGTAATTCTAGCCAGTGGTGGCGTTCGAGTTTTGCCTCGTCGAAGTCCTCTTTGATAAGATACAATTTGTCGTCGATAACCTCGGATATCCATTCGCCGTCTGTAATGAGTTAGATGGGATTTTCAGGCGCGCGCTGCAGGTACATGCCTCTGTGGAAAACGAAACCGTATACGCCGACCTTCTCGTCCCGTGCCACACATACCCGTTGTATCAGGCCATCTTTATTCGATATTGTTGCCAATGCAGACATAAACCAGCAATCACCGTCATTCCCTTGCCGTACGTCGTTGGCTGTGGCGCCTTCTATGAGGAACTGTGGATGGTCGAAAATGTCCTAAGACGCGTCAACAAAAGTGTATCGTTGAAGATAGGTATACATACCTCTACCCGCTTGACTGACAAGGGATTGAATTCAGTCTTTTCTTCATTAAGACCGGTAAGACAGTCGGGTGGTGTATCTGGGAACGCCTGGTGGCGCTTGAAATCGGCTTCTATGTCAAAATGCGGGTCTCGGTACTTTTGGTTCAGGCGTCGGCATTCCTTGACGATCTTGGCCACCTTTCTAGTGCATGCCTCCCTAGCTTCCTCGTAGGACGCAAGTGCATTGACTCCGGCAATGGAGCCCCTAGGCGCATGTGCAGCGGCGCGCTTGGCATAAAGGTTGTCGGGTAAGATAGTAAATATCTTGCCAGGGTGTTTCGTAGTGAACTTGTGCCAGAATTCATCAATGTTTCTCTGAGGGGCTTGTTTCCTCACTGGAAAACGTGGACGTAGAGCGGGTGCTGGCGCCTCCTGAACCATACTGGGCGCCCTAGAGTGTGGGGTTGTGATATGGATGAAGTCGTGAGTACCGTTGGATGCCATGATCAGTGATGAAGGAGACCGGCTTAGTGAGGGGCCGTGTGCTAATGGGGCGTATGAGATTCATTGGGGGCCGCGGATAATTTATATATCTTTTGCTATATGTACGTCCTTTCAGCCCCCATACCATCTTGACGAGCTGCGAAGTATGGTGTGGTATTCTCAGAGCTTACAAGAAAATAAGTGGGGCAGTCAGACATGTAGGCAGTGCTCGGCGCAGCCGCTGGAGCCCCGCTCCCCATCCCGCTGCAAATCAGCTGTTCGCGGAGCTCCCGAAATCATGCATTTTGACTGGAGTCGTCGCCGTTTTCAAAGAGCGGAGAGGCAGAGAACGATGATCGGATTTGGCTGCATTGTCCTCTGTCTCGAGCTGCAGGCTCGGGCTGGCCACGAATAGAACGGCGAGATCATTGTGTCATGCTGTTGGTGGGGATCTTGTTGTTCGTTCGAGAACGGGATGGACAGCCAATGCGCGATGCAAGATTAGCTAGGGGCTGCCCACTAGCCGTTCCTAGTCGACTACTGCCGGGAGCCTGACCGACTCCTCGTCTTGTAACATGTCAAAGAAGGCGCCATCTGCTAGCAAACTGGAGGTGAGTGGCTTGCCTACTAACATGCGTGCATGCAATAGTGACGCCGGGACGCTTCCCGTGGTCTTGGTTGATTGACGCACTGTAGATAGCTGCCGTGGTGTGATATATTTGTTTCTGGTTTACAGGCTTAGTATAGCACTGGTGCAACGGTCCGTGGATGAGCTGATGTTGGACATTTGCTGAGAATTAAGAGATGCTGCGGGGTGCTTTGCAAGACCACGATCTGATGATGTAGATATTTCCATATCGGAATCTAATGCGTGCTGCTGAGATCGTATCAAGGTGTTGACAAAATACGTAGAGTGACGCAGGGACGCCTGCCCTGCTCAAGCTGCGGCAGTCTCTTCCACGCCCTCGATCCCGGAAATTTGGCGATGTCTCATTTTGCCCAGAGTCCTGGTAGTAACGTCGCTCCAAACTCGCTGTACCTGCATGAGTTAGGAGGGGTGCTGATTTTCAGCCGACCCACCTCAGCTGAAGAGTGGTGACGGCCACAAACACTCGAGCCAAAGTCCACAAAGCGAAAGAGGACCGACGCATTACTTTCACGTCACCGATAGCATCTTCGGTGCATGTCAGCCGTAGTGCTCAGCCCTATGAGCGACACTGTGAGCCTCCTGCACTCCTTTGGCGAGGGTATAATCTCACCGTAATTCCTGAGCATCAGCCCAATCATGCGGCTAATGTCGATAACACAGAGATCTCCCTTGGAAGCGAGAAAAAAGTCCAGGGTTGATTGGTAAAGTATGAACGCCGACCGATGGCACTGCGCGCATGCTGTTGCAACGCTTGTGCATGTGCGCAGACGGAAGCTGACCACTCGGGGGGGAAATTCCAGACCAACGGCGACCTCCTGGTCATCTTATCGTGTCCATGTGCACAGTGTCCTACGAACTTGCGGTAGGTAAGAGCAGGCGGTAATTGCCCCATATCACAAGGTCTAGAACACGCGTCGAAGTCGACATCGAACGCAATGTCGTAGGGCTAACTCCAAGGCTGAGATGAAGGGGTATTTGGTGATGGCGAGCCGAATTGCCGAAGTTTGAGCCCCCACGAGACATTCCTTTCGATTACGTCATCGGACTCTCGACAATTGCCGCACCCGATCTCGTCTCCTCGCCCAGCCGTGCACTACCTACACTCAAACAAAATCATCTATACATATGCTGTGGCAGGATGGCCGAGCTTTCAGCCCCTACGCCGAGCCCCAAGATCAATCAGAACAACATTGATTCAGTTTTTTCGCATTCCTACCTAGGTAGAAACATATCTCTCGGCTCGACACCTTTTCTGTTGCCCTCTTTGCCTTCTCCAAACCATCATTCGCCGGCGCGCAAAAGTACTTATCCACCCATCAAACGAGCAACGAAGCGGCTGTAAATTGATAAAGGAACACATTTTTTGCGCGCTGTTAAGCGTGGATTGACTTAGAATCTGTCGCCTCAATATTTGATCGCCTATGTATCAATGAATTCCAATTGTATCTGACATGTTTAATTATAGGGTGCTCATCACCAAAGCCATGATAAATATTCGAAAGTAGTCTAAGTTGGACAGGCTTCTGCGGTGTCGCAATATAAAAGTCTCGAGCCGGATCCCCGCCGGCACGCGCATATCAGCTGCACCCCAGCTATTGTCAGCTTCCGCATCTTTCACACTTCAGCTATCTTCGTGGTCTTCCAAGAACATGTGTTCGCCACTAGTGACTCTGCAATGTTCCTGTCCAATCATCTAATTCGTACGGTTTATTGGCTTGTTAGCCTATTTTAGGGATATTCATTCAATACACTCTATGGGTCGTCATTCGTATTTCCCCCAATCTCTTCTTACGCAAGTTAATATGATGTCCACTTCTGAGGAAATTGTTGATACGGCAAAGGTGAGGTTGAATCAAGTAACGGTCGTTGCAACGAGTTGAAGTAGATGGTTATGATTGATTAGAGGAGGTGGGCTGCAGCTCGCGTACGAACTGAATCCCACCCCACGGCACGGGCCACGCACGTAGTCACGTGCTCGCCACGTACGTACGGTGGCTCGAAAACTAAGAGCAACCAACAGAAATCTTCGTGACCAGCTACCCTTTTTTTCTTGCTCGAATCTATTGACTTTTTTGTTCTCTACAACTTAACATGTTTTATAAGCGAGTGCACATTACAAGCGAGTGAGCACCCCACCAACTTTCTACAGCTTTAAAGCGACGTATCTTAACAACGCAATAATATTACTACTAGATATTGATACAGTAGATTACTTTATATCAACAGTATTAGCGTTGCATGTGCGCGAGTTGTGCCCAGTCTCCTTGCACCTAGTGCAGCGCCTTTGAGCGCGCTGGCTGAGGCCTAATCGCGCTCCTCCTTGACGCTCTTCATGAGCAATCTGCTGGTCAGCCTCATTTTGAGCCAGTATATCCTCTCCAGCTCCCTTTATAAGTACTCCATGCTTCTGTATATGCCTTTTAGAGCGCTGCCTACGCGCTGAGGCTGCGCTGTTAGCCTTCTCAAGACTGGAGATCCGATCGCGCATCAGCTCAGCAGCGCTGATAGCAGCGATCAGCGTTACCCACTCGCAATTGCCTGGCTGAATACTCTTCGGCCTGCCTTTCCTCTCTGCTCCTGTTATAACTAGCTGCGTTGTAATCTTGCCCATTATAAAGCCAGCTTCATCAAAGTTGTAGACGTCCTCATCGCAGATACTAAGCTCAGCCTTTGTCTCTTCTACAAGCTTAAACCACCTCTTATTAATGTCGCATCCTCACATAGAGCTCTCTGCCTATCGTACGCTTGGTTGAAACACGTCTGAAGACTGTCTGTACGCTTAACAAAGTTGCGTAGCTAGTGGATGCCGACAGGGCTAGCGCCGCGCGCAGCTATCAGCTTATTAGCTATATCTCGTACATCAGCGTAGGTAGGCCCATATCCGTTCTTATCCAGCTGAAGTATATAGTCAAAAATCACCTCCTCTTCTCTCTAGGTAAGCCTTCTTGAGTTAGGCTGGCAATCGCGTCGTGCAGGCTTGCCAGCGCGTCGGCGGTGGAGTGTATGGCGAGAGACATTAAACATCTGCGCAGCACGAGATTCAGTCTGAATTTGTTTCTGCTAGATAGCTAAGATAGCAAGGCCTATATTAGCCTCACAAGAAGCTTTCTAGGCTTGAGTTGGGGGTGCCATAATTATTTAAAGTTTGCGCGTTGAAGAAAGTTGGTGGGGTGCTCACTCGCTTGTAATGTGCACTCGCTTATAAAACATATTACTGTACAATGTGCCATGACAATTGGATAGGTCCTGAGTCTTGCCATGCTGCATTTACAATTGAGCTTCAATCATATAAGGCTGTATTCGGGTAGCACCCCTGTTTTATCTTATGTCCACTCCGACCAGTCCACTCCGTCGCACATAATGTGCTCGGTTACCGCATCCGTTAGGAAAAGCAATTCTTCTACTTTAGATTTGCCCCTTCTTCAAAGCTAATTGACTTTGCTGTCTGTGTTCCATGCTCTAGAAACTGGGCCTCTTTCTCCCTAGATGTTTCAAATCTCACTTCCTTTTTACCTCAAACCTAACTTTGACGCTGAAAATCTCACTAGTGCTATTATCTGTCTTAGACGCTGTAGGCTCCACGTCGCAGGCCCAGTTGTTATTATAATATTCAGAGCGCGAATACTTCGCGTAAGACATTACTAGCCCACAAAGCCCTTTATTAGTCCTATATTTGCAGCATATGCTCATACTCATTCGTTGGCTATTTACATCTGCTTCCTTAACCACCACATCATATAAACTGAAATACCGTTTGTACGATCAAGGCCACCATCTAGCAATTTATCTCATATCTTATACTCTCTTGGATATGAAATTGCAATTTTCGTTAGTATGGTCCGCAGTAAAAATTGTTATCTTGGGATGTGTGTTCCACATTCGCCGACTCGCAACTCCAGAAATCCTGAGCTCACTTGCTTCTAATCGTAGCCCCTTTATCTCAATAGAACCGAAGGAATAAATCCAGATGCCCGGGGTGCTCAATAATTTGTTAGCCCCACAGAAATTTAGTTAAGCAACCTCCATCACCAGAAAGCAGCATTCAGTTATAGTCCGGGACTTATGTATTTGTTCTGACCTCCGGTAATATGCCTAGCGAAACTCCTTGTGGTAGATGCGTGCAACACGACTGCGTGATTACATTGAAGCTATATTAATACGCAACCTTCCTCAGAAATGTAATGTATAATCTAGACTTGGTGAAACTAGGTTGTTATGCTGGCTGACATGTCTTGCAAGCTTGATAAACCTGCACGCTACATGGATGAGCCTGCACTAACGCTAGATATCTCCGTCCGCTTGACAGGAAGATAATCACCTGGCGGTCTTGTATTTAGATACGGTCATGAGAAAAGAGTTCTTCCTTGTGCGCGCGAAAGTTTTATATCCTCTACAGTACCACGCTAGCTACCCCTAACATAATGATGTGGGCGAACAACGGAAAAGAGAGAACTGGTTGATTATTCTACGGAGTATAGATGTGTGCTTATATACGTAAGTACATGATGTAGATAGTAAGATAGTGAAGGTAGTAGAAGATGCTAGAAGATCTGATAAGCGTATCGGGCTAACGCACGGACACCCAACCGTGTTGGCTGACAAATGAACTAAAGAATCATCGCGTACATGATTTCGACAAGAGCTCTGCCGACCTTACCGACCCTGTCCTTCTACTATCTGAATCTTAAAACAGCTTAGGAGAAAACGACCGAAAGCGCGGTAATAAGCAGTCTTAGACCTTAGGGACAAGGTCTGTTCCAGTCGACTGTCCAAACAGGATGTGCATCCGGGTCATTATTACACCGTCCGCCAGTATTCCATTGTAGATTGCCTACGCCCTCCGTGTACACATCATACTGCCAGCACTGGTCCGTTCCGTCACGGAGGAAGCACTAGAGAGAAGTAAGTTAAGATGAAGAAAAAAAAAACTGTAGAACACTTACACAATGTTCGATTCCAACGCGGCATGTTCCGTCGCTCTGACGGAACGTGCCCTCTCGACGGTGGTTTGGATCACAGCAGCCAAATCGTGGCGGATCCAGCGGTCCGACGTAATCAGCTGCAAGCACCTGGGAATAGACTCCGCAACAATCAATTCAATCCGGTCACTCTCCTAGACCCACTTACCTATCTAGGTAGGGCTTAAACTCCTATAGGTAACTACTAGGCTTAAAGCGGTAATCAATCAATCCAATCTGAACCTTCTAGGACCCACTTAATTGATTGTTGCGGACTGTGCCTGGGAAACCATCACCAATGCCGAAACGGTATGAAAGATGATTTTCATGGTGATTTAGATGGCTTTATGGAAGGTCGGGTGATCTGAAGTGGTTTCGGTTGACGAAGGTAACAGTCGGGTGTCACCGATTAGTGATAAGTGTATAGGAATGTGGAACTGGTGGGATGTTACACAGTGCGTATATAGTGATATGCGGGAATTCGAAGATAGTGATCGAATAAGCTATTGGATTGATTTATAGTACGCAGAGGGAAAAACTATGAGTTTATTGAATGCGTTGGAAAGCGCCACAGCGCAGCATTAGATTGAAGACATGGGTCGCCTTGGCCGCCAGATGATATGTGCTCGATGAGATGCTAAGCTGACGTCAACAATTTGACACGAAGAGGCTGCGTTGCCCAGGTATTGTCTAACCTAGATAGGCGCGTAAGACGGAGAAAAAGGGACTCTACAAGAGGACGAGATTTCTCACTCGTCGTCCAAGTCTGCAAAACACAGAGATGATATAAAACAAGAAAGCATGTTTGTTCGCAGCGAAAGTAGTGAAGTTGTATAAAGAGTGGCAAGACATTAAATCTTGGATCAGAGCTAATTTGTAGGTGTCATTTGGCATACGTTTCCAGTGAGTCGCGGTATGTTCCGTCCGCTTACTTCCTCTGGCTTACGCATGACCATCTTACTTCTAAGTAGCCGACATGCTGCCGAGTACAGTGTCGCCGCAAGCCGATAACAAAATTCGGATTATAAGAAATATGCCGGAAAAACTTGCAAGCCATGGAAACCTGTGACGGGAAAGCTTTTATCATTCACCGGTTCGTTATCGCAAGTGACATCGATGCGCTGCTACTGATATCGCTGTGTCATAGACCTCCGAGTTGCCTTATCAGCCCGTCTATCTAAAACTCAAGTATACGGGGAACGGTGAGACTTCTTGATCCGTGCATGCGCAAACATGCGGGGTAACTGTTAGTTACCTCTTCATTGTGCACAATTTAGTGTGACTGCAGATACGAGTTGTGGAGTCTGAACTGAAAATCTCAACGGCTGCCTTCGGAAAACCGCACCCAAATGACTTCAAAGAATTACACCGACGGAGCAAATTGGCGATCGAAAAGAACCCCTAGCCAAGCCAACCTCATAATTCTCTGTGCAGGGATGAAGGATGCAGAAGTCGAGGCTTCCTCAACACCACCGCGCCCAGGGGCGTTCTGCAACATTAGTGCCCTCGCTAAACCCTGTGATATTGGTGGAAATGGTACACATACGAGCAAGGCCAGTCGTATCCCTCGACCAGTCGCTCTCTCGGAACGAAAGGTACAATTCGACACCAGTGCTGTACTATATTACGAGGACGCAGTCAGCAAAGACGACCATGGCACGAAATCGATGCCTGATTCCAGTTGTAGCTCTAGCGACAGGGAACGACGCTCGTTTCAAGGTCATTCCAGTACGGAAGCGCAAGATGTGTCTGGAGTACCATAGCAGGACTCAAGCCTTAGATAACTGTGTTCAAGATCATGCTTGGATAAGTCTTTACGGCGTACTATCCCATCACAACATTACGACTACTTAGGCGTTTTACTACCACTAGATCATTCCAGCCTAAATTGGGCTATCCTTTTTTTCCTAAGGGGACTGTGTTAATGTAATACTTTGGTTGTAGTGGAGTAATGACAGGCTGCCTCGCTCGCTACCATGAAGCTCAGCGCCTGTGTAACCTACAACAGCACCTCAGTTTTAACGAATGAGTGCATGGCGCCAAACGCTGGCAACTCATGGCATAATCAAAAATAAACAGTCGCGATTGATTTTTTACTATATCAAGGCCCGCGTACTGGAGTAGGGGGGACATAGAGTACGTGTAGTATGAAGCTATACCGACGCATCGATGATACTAACCTAATGAGGTTAGCGCTTGCCAGATCGAGTGGACGAAATCGTGGTCGACTTTGGCTATACATGGATGAACGAAGAAGTTTACGAAGTACTACGCTCTCTGTCACATTGCAGCAGAGATTCCTTGCTTGTGCATAGTCGTTTTCCGTGTTTCATCTCTGTCCTATGCCCGATGCCTACGTGTCTTCTCTCTACATCCACAGTGCGGTTGCCGCTCTAGTCCGCGTCCTGTCGCACACTCTCTTCCTGGTCATTATTGTGCGACAACCAGTCTTGCAGCGAATGCCTTCATTTTTTCATTTCTATATTAAGCCTTTCCAGCTTGCCATCCATATTACGATAATATCCATACTAGTAGATATGGATGAAGTGTGGTTACCCTAGATGTAGCTCACAACTGATGTGACATGATATTTGTAACCTTGCTGCTATCGAAGCTTCCTGATTTTGGTTTTGTCTCTTTCCACGAGTGTGACTAAGTTGGATGCATGGGGCGGTATATGTCATTTTTGGTAGCATTTGAATACTTTTTTGAAAATATTTTCGCTGCAAATACCTTCTCTGGCTACGAGTTTACTAGAGCAAGTTACATCACTATGCATTGTTACTTACACATGATGTACAAGGATAGCTTCAATACAATACTTGCTTGCTTGCACAGTTCGGCACCTTTCATATTCTCCTGTGCCAGAGATGCCAACAATCAAATCAATCAAGCTTCAGGCCCTATACTTGCTTTGATTGACGTTTTCTTGGTGTTGAGCTTGCTTTAATGGGCTTGATAGGTCGATCAGTGAGGCTTAATTAGTGAGCTTAATAGGCTTGATCGCTAGGTAGCCTTAGGAAGCTCCGAAGAGTGAAAAAGGCGGTTTCTGGAGCCAAAAAAAGGCAAAACGAGAAGTTAGTATAGAGTTTCGAACACAAAGCAAAAAAGGCCGCAACTATCTGCTCTAGAGAGAGGTCCTTCTAGGAGCGCGTTTGAGGGAGAATAGCAGTGTTGCGTAGTATATAACCTAAAGTCTTATTGCGCGCGAGTAATCAAGAAAAGATAAGATTGTATCGCTATCGCCGTTGAAACTTAGCTACTCGGGAGTCTCTACGTTGAGCAGAGTGCTCACAAGCTATCCTTATCGTTCACTAGCAGTATATGCCCCTAACAGCAGTATACAGCAGGGCAGTGATCGGAATGGTCTGGTCTGACTTGGTCTTGGTCTGGTCTAGACCGCCAAGACTTGGTCTGGTCTGGCGATTTTTTGAGACCGTGGTCGGACCGGTCTAGATGATCGGACCGGTCCGGCTATAAATAGGTCCACGTGACTAGATCTTAGACTAATCTAGCCAGAAAATTTAGCACAATATGAGTCATTAAGATCAAGGTAAGTCTTCTACTTACATAGAACAATCAAGTCCTTAACAACCTACTTATATACTATTGTTATGGAGCCTTCAACACCAACCTTACCGTCCCCATCGAATATTATAAGACTAGATTTAACGTCTCTTACTCCATCTCCTATCCCCACGTCATCACCCACCCCTATACTATCACCCACTCCTATTCAATATCACGAATCTCCAGATGAGTTCGTGCAGGGCGGTATCACGTACGTGAAACGTGCAATAATTGCAAGGAAGGATTTCCGTCAAGGTACATCACACATCTGGAAGTACGGACTCCAATACATTCGAGATAGCGATAAGAAAGAGGTGTATTACTGCCATGAGTGCAGGGTTGGGAAGAGCAAGCAAGAGTTGTTTGTCATCAATGGCACTTCTAGGATCCGGAATCACCTGGAACAGAAGCACCAGATTGATCCCCAGAGTGGCATCAAGCGAAAGGGTTCTGTACGGAAGTCTATAATCGACCAGCAAAAGGATGGGGCTGCTTCCAGCATCTTTTTCTGGAAGGAGTCAGTAGAGAAGTTTAAAGAGCTTCTAATTCGTTGGATTGTGTACTGCCATATCGCCTTCTTTCAATTAGAGAACCAGTACTTTCGTGAACTACTCCTCTTTTTAAATCCGGCACTACTCAACCACCTCCCGAAGGCTGCGAAGACTATCCGAAGCTGGGTAATGAATGCATTCATATCGAAGAAGCAACAGCTTAGGGAGGACCTACACCATTCACGGAGTAGGATCTCTATCTCCTTTGATCTCTGGACTTTACCAAACCCTTACGCTATCCTAGGCGTCGTCGCTATGTGGACTGATACTACCGGCATGCGACGTGTTACCGCTTTAGGTAGTGCGACGTATATACGGCGAACATGCAACAGCTTAGGGAGGACCTACACCATTCACGGAGTAGGATCTCTATCTCCTTTGATCTCTGGACTTCACCAAACCCTTACGCTATCCTAGGCGTCGTCGCTATGTGGATTGATACTACCGGCATGCGACGTGTTACCGCTTTAGGTATGCGACGTATATACGGCGAACATACTGGAGAGAATCTTGGATCGGTGGTCCTTGAATTGCTGGAAGAATACGACATTAGCGGAGATCAGATTGGATACTTTATGCTGGATAATGCCTCGGCAAATGATACCGCTGTTGAGTTTATACTCAAGGATCTCTGCCCATGGATGAAGTCAAAACAACGTCGTCATCGCCGGCTGCGTTGCTTGGGCCATGTCATCAACCTCTGTTGCCAGGCGTTCCTTATGGGGCGAAACTGTGAGAAGTATCTTGCGAAGCTGGAGAAGCATCATCAACGTGGCGACTATACGAAGGTGGAAGAGCTCTGGAAGAAGTTCGGATGTTTGGGTCGTCTTCACAACCTGGTGCGATACATCAGGCTTACTCCACAACGGCGTGAGGAGTTTGCTACAATTATTATCGGCGGAGATCTTTCGCAATTCGACGGGCTTGAGCTTATCCAGAACAACTCGACCCGCTGGAACTCATGGTTTTATTCGATTACACGTGCATTAAATGTTCGAGAACGTTTAGAGCTCTTCTCGGCTCGTCATGTACCTGGAAAGGGCTCCGTAGGGATCGCGAACTTTAAGCTTGATGGACAGCACTGGTTTGAGCTTTGAAAAGATTGAACTCGCTCTCAAAGACTTCTATGCTGCAACTTTGCTTTTCTGAAGGTAAGAAGACGTTCACTTGGCGGACTGGGTTTTCAACTTTGGACTGCCTTCCTCCGGGAGATAGCGAGACGAAGGATCACTACCACGACATCCACCACTGAGGACGATACACTTTACATGGAGTACATTAAGGCTGCGCTGATGCTGCTTGGTTAAAGTGCGTTGAGTACTATAACAATCAGCAGCTGAATTGGCAAAATCGATTCCCTGAAGATACTGACCTTCCACCGGCATATTATGCGGCTCAAATCCTTGATCCATATCGCAAGTGGGGATGGTTCAGGCAAGAGTGGGTTCTTCATGGCGACGAAGAGAAGAAGAGGTGGTTTGAAAACGCACAATTAGCGGTGAAGCATCTCTGGGAGACAGAGTATAAGGGAAGGTACCCTGTCGAGATGCTGCCACCACCAGCCAGGAAGGAGAGAGATCCTGACCCAGCATTTGATCGCCAGCGGGAACATAAGCGCATTCGAATAGACGCTCCAGTTTCTACAACTGATTTGTATGAACAATACATCTCTACTGACCGGCTTCATAACGAAGAGGCAGGTTGCAATGAGGCTATTGCGTACTGGCTATCTCGCTACGACTCCCAACGAGATCTCGCTCGCTTCGCTCTAGACATGTTTGCGATCTCGCCTATGTCGGATGAATGCGAACGTCTTTTTAGTAGCGCGAAGCTTACTATCGTCGATCGCCGTGGTAGGCTGAAGGCAGATATTATAGAAGCGTGCGAGTGTCTCCGGGCCTGGTATGGAAAGCCCCAAGCTGAGGGGAACAGCGATATCGAGGATAGTGAGAACGAAGACGACTAGATTGACAGTCAGTAGTAAAACACATTTCCTCGGCTTCCTTCTTTGCTTCAGCCTCATTCTTGGCGGTCTTGTTGGTCGGACCGGTCTGGTCGGACCGGTCCTTATGTAAGCACCTGGTCTGGTCTGGTCTGTACCCTCAGACCAGACCAGACCAGACCATTCCGATCACTGCAGCAGGGACAGTAACCTCTCTAAGGCCTTTAGATAGGATATATTAAAGCTTAAGACTTATTAATTAACGCGGAGGCAGGCGGTATTATTTAGTAGATAGGCGTTGTAAGGTGGGCGAGACGTCTATTTTAAGAAGTAGTTAGCTACGCTCTGCTAGGTATATTAAAGCTGTAAGAAGCAGCTATCCTAATAACCCTAGAGGTCGTAGACGAGGATAGAGATAGGCTATACTTACTAGAATCGCTAGGTTGCTCCCACGCTGTGAGGTTGTACAACTGCTTAAGGTCGTGATCTAAGAGTTAGCTTGTAGCTAACGTCGGCAGCTTTATGCTAGCGGCATTCTAAGCCTATACATATTAAAGCGCGGCGAGTAGTTGTAACCTAATCTTGCGCCGTCGCGGAGTAAGTAGATCTCCTAGTTCACTAAACATGCGCTCGCACTCGCAACTGCTCGCTAGAATATTTAACACGTTAATCGCAAAGCGTGAAAGGTTAGGATACTTAGACTAAAGCTGTACCTAGTACTTAATAGGGTTACTATCAACGTTAGGGCTGTTGTGCTACTTACTCGTCCACTTTAGCTCTAATTTGCGCCACCTGTCGTACTTATCTGTGAGCTTATTATCGTCCTCGCTATCGCTTATAATATACGAGATAGCCTCGTTAATAGTGCTGTTATTACGCTCTTTTAAGGGCTTTGTTAGAGGAGTAGAGGTCGTATACTCTGCCTAAAGAGCACGAAAGTCAGCTATACAGGCGACGAGCCACTTAGGCTTATTACGCCACGCCTTCTCGCAATAGCGTCGATAGTACGGGTGAAGAGCGCAGGCCGCAAAGTACGCGGGTGAGTCGTTAAGTTTACTGTAGTAGTCGTTGAGCTTCTCCTACGCTGCGCGAAAGTTGATAGAGATGTGATCTTCAGGCGCCTCGCGCTGCTCAAAATTAACCCTCTCGTACTGCCGGAGACGCTGCTTAAAGCGCCCTGTAAGGAACTCAAACACTGGTATAACCTCGTATATCGCACCAAAACAGCTATATTTGCCTCTACCTTTAAGGCGCTTTATAGCATCTTTCAGCAGCTTTAGCACCTTAATATACTTAGTTATAACAGCCTAATTAGCAGCTGTAAGGCCCTTAGATCTTATCTAAGCAGGCGCCTAGGGCTTCTTATTATTCTTCGTTTAGGCGTGTAAGTTGGCAACGCGCTGCTGTTCCACGTAGAAACAAACGTAGGAGTTAAACGCGGGTTGTAGTAATACAGCTCTCTTAAACGCTGAACAAAAGGAGTTCTAGCGCGTAACGCAAGGCTTTATAGGCTCGAGTATTTAGAATTTAGCGTCGTCGTCGGCTAGTAAGTCCTGCCTTGCGAGGCGCTGAAAGTTCGCGAACATGTCGTACTGTTGTGGCGTTTTGATGTAGCTAATAACGTCTATAAGCGTGCCTAATAGGCCCTACTTACGCTACTCGTTAAGGTATTTCTCTTCCTCCTGTACAGCGTTAGAAAGCTTTATTAAAAAGAACAGGTAGACTTACAGCTAAGTTCTCGTCGTTGTTAAAGGCGTCCTTGTTTAAGCTAAATATAATCAACTAGCTAACTAAGTTAATTGTATAAGCGCTACAACGTAGCCGGCGATGCTTAGACTTAAAGCTAAACTTCGCTCTAAGGGTCGCGATAGCAGTGTCGTTATTAAACTCGTTGTTAAGTATGAAGTAGCTAACGTTCTGCGCAGTTATATTAAACTTCTGCAGAGTTTCAGCGACACAATTAGCTATCCTGTCGCTAGTATAGGCACCTAAGAGCTGCGGCAGGTTAATAGCAACGTCCCTAAGGTCGCCCTTAGCCGTGGCAAAGTGAGCGACAATACCGAAGAAGCCACGCTTGCCACCTTTAACGGTCCACCTATCAAAGCTTATATGTATCTTGCTTGCCGCGCAACGCAGCTTATCAACGACCTAAGGCTGTATAAAGTTGTACAGCCTTATCATAAACTGCGCAACGCTTATGCGACTACTCTAGAGCGCCTACTTAGCTTTAGGATTCGCGAAATGTATTATCCTGCGGAAAGCTAGATCTTCGAACTAGCAGAGGGCGAGGTTGTTGTTAACAAGCTAGCTAACAGCTGCTATTTAAAAGGACTATACGTCAAAGTTTCCTATCTTATTCGCAACCCTTTAGCTAACGCCGAAGCCGCCCTTTAGCATTATTTCTAGCGATTTCTGGCCTCTAAGAAGCTGCTAAGGCAGTTGCTCGCTAGCGTTTGCTATTCTATGATCCCTATTTAGGTGCCTCGCAGTAGTACTAGTTGCCTCCGTCGTCTCCGCAAAGCCAGCAGTCGCTGCTTTACGCTTGTGACAGATGTAGCACAGCTAGAATATCCTGTTAGTATTACTGCGGAGAGTAAGCTAATAACCGTAGTTGTATACCCAGCTTTTCTTCTACTTCTGTGTCCGAAGAGGCTTCATATACCGTGGCAGGCAACTCTAGTTAATGCTATTAAAGTTATCGGCCATACGCGGGTCGAAGTTAGGCTTTAGCTCGCCTTTATCTACCGCTTTAGACGCCGCTGTAGCTACCTTAGAGGCTTTAATAGGCGCGACAATCGCATCTTCGGGTATAGAGTCGCGCAACTGCATCTCGAAATCAACGCCTTAGCTCGCGGCTAGTATAGCTTAACGCGGCGACGTTGGCGGAGTCTCGCGCTGTGTATCCTCGTTGATAACGAAAGGGTGAGATAGCTGCGAAGCTTCGATAGTTATAGGCTGTTATTTACTGCCTTTCTAGCGTTTTAAGCGACCAGCGGCGGCAACAGGAGCGGCAGCAAGGCGTTTACGAGGATGTCTAGGGTCTAGCATAATAGCAACAGGTAGCACTAGGAATAAAATATGTAGAGAATCGTGTTAATTATTGTGCTACGGGAACTAAGATCTATATCTCCGCTAGCTAACGTTGTAGGCGCTATGCCCTATACGTACTAGCCTTTAAGTGAAAGAAGATAGGATAGAACCTAGGTTATACCAAAATCTACGACTTCACGTTCTACGATATAGCCAGGATCAAGCCTATCAAGCTCACCAATCAAGCCTGCTTAATGGGCTTGATTTGCTTGTACTTTTGAGCAGTCTGGGCTTGATTTGGCTTGATTGTATTCACTCAATCAAATCAATCAAGCCCATCAAGCAGGCTTGATTGTTGGCATCTCTGTCCTGTGCATTGTTCATACATTGTGTGTAACGATAATCGTAGTAGCTTCAATATGAGATGTCTCTGTGCACTACGTCTGGTACTGACTCTAGTTGCATGGTACGACCGACCTGATGAGTCGCCCAAAATGATTGCTCGCAGATGACTCTGAACGATTACAGCTACATCTCGGCTTCTTGATCCCAGACCCACTTATTTGGATCTCGAACCATAGTTCTCCATTACAGTAGATTTGAAAATCCAATCACAATAACCGCATCTAATCGATGGTAGAATGCGGAATCAGCTATCCAACTACTTCAGCAAGTGCAGCCTCTTCTTTGGGGAAGCGAGCACTAGCGTTGTGTGATTTACCTCCCCTACCGTTAACGTCCGTGTGAATACGTAATGATAGAATTTCTACCACTCAGTGCCATAGTTACAGCTGCCATTAGCGTTACCTCGACTCTATAATACAGCTCAAATCTTTCCCTTCCTTCGCATCAACATACAGTGTGCAACTCCTCTGTACCCCTCATCACAACCAACACCGAGTCCGCAACAGCTACTTTGCGCTACTGAAGCACGAACTTGATACAGACCCCTACCTTAACTACACACTTCCTATTCCTCGAGATGTCGATCTCTTCCGCAAAGTGGGCGGAACTTTATCACGCCAGCACGAACCCCAAACTCCACACAGATCCTGTTCATGGCATATACTTCAATGACAGCGTTACTGGCACGCACATATACAGACATACGCCAGCCAAGCCAAGGGACGATAACTGGTATGCATGGATGTACACCAATGCAGACGAAACCAAAGTCGTGTGGGAGGTGGCGAGCGATGAGATTCAACCAGCCCAGGCGAACATTTCGTCGAGCGGAAACTACTCCCTCTTGAGTAGTTACAGCTTCATGAATAGAGATGTTCCAACGATCTCTGTTCCTGGTTCCCCACCACTATTCGTCTTGCCAAAGCCAGAAGCCTTCCCGCTGACCGTCGCCTCCGATACTGGCACATTTTTCATGGACGAGCACACTGAACGTGCACCTAAGCACTAGTACGAGCCCGCCTTCCAGGCGATGGCGATCATGAACCCCAATGTCCGCTTCAACGACATCGACATCGTCATGAATAGGGCGACGATCCTTACACTCCTCAAATTTGTCAAGGGCGTCTCTTTCCAGGCATTTCATCTGGATCTCGACTTTGAGGGCAATACCCTCTTCATTGGCAGGAGGGTGCTCCATGTAAAGGGGCACTCGAAGCCAGGATCATACGGCCGCAACTTCGAAGCCGCGCTTACGGAAAACGAGATAGAGGGCGCAACATCTCAACATCGTATGTTGCAATACATGCTTGGTCCTCTGAGCATCGTAGTTCGGCACGAAGCAGATGCATACGATCCAAGCGGTGCGCTGCAAGATCCCGACGCTCCTTCCGACACCTATCCCGGACCCATCCCCAGCGATACGAAAGTTGAGGCAACCTAGCATGGTAGTTCCTGCGTCACTACTGTCATTGCGCAGGGCAAGCTGGTTCCACAGCGCCAGGTCCTCGAGTTGAAAAGCAACGACAGTGCCCAACCAAAGGACCAGATGTGGCTTGGACGCACACCAACTTGCTGCCTGGGAGGAAAACACAAGGCGGGCTTTGACGGAGTCTACAAGAAGACCAGCGTCAAGGTTAAGTCTATCCTCCAGAAAGGGGATGGTGGCTTTGAGGAATGGGAGACAAAGAACCAAGAGAGCTTGCAGAAGCTCGTTGCGCTACTGCAGATCTTGCGACAAAAGATTTCGGAAGGGACGGAAGATTGATCGGCGATCTTGGTTGCAAAGAACGAGACGGATCTCAAGGTCTTTGCGACGAAGGAGAGGATCGGAGCACTTCCGAAGGAGATTGTGGAACGTTTCTGGGATTGAGGTATACAATAGTCGTTTCTGTTACATGTTCAAAAAGTTTTGTTATAATATAGACTTCTTCGTTCGATGAGTGGATTTTGAGAATCGCGAAGATGAGATGTTGCTGCAGTGATGATGACTTAAGTAATGCCGTCGCGCTTGCTTCCCCTACGCGTGTCTTTCCACAAACTCAAACTTCACACTGATCAAACGTAGGCCCAAACACATTTGTATTCTTCAATGCTCTCAATGAATACTTTATTGTTCAAGAAATTTCTGGATATAGTCGCCAGACGACTCAATGAAGTTACCATCCGCATCCTTACATGCCCACCCTATATGACAAGCCTATCGCATGCCAACGTCCAAGCACCCGGAAAAAGTGTCGGCGGCTCCAAGTTCATAGGTATCTCATGCCACGTGGGTTCTCACTCACGCTTGTCGTAGTCGTCTTGGAAGCCACTGTAGTAACCAGCGTCCCCCAGGCCCACGTCCCTCAAGTATCCGTCCATCGGGTCGACGAGATTTCGATCAACTTCATCGTGCATGGAGTAGAAGCCATGTTGAGAGGGGCTTTCACCTCGTGGGCGACGGCCATATGCTCCCGCGCCCCCGTATACATAGCGTTGAGGATGGAATCGATTAGGATAGTGGATGTTGATGGTCTGTGGTGCATTTCCAGTGTTGATGCTGATAGTGTGGCCCTGTCCTTTAACGATGTTGATGACGGCTGATGGACCTTATTTGCGGGCAGCTGGGAGATTGATTGGGCTGTTTCTAGTGCTTTCGTCGTCTGCTACCTGAGTGTACGAGTCGCGGTGAGCTCTGTCGTTACTGCCGATCGCATCGTTACTGGCCACTCATGTCTGACCTCCAAAAGTACCCGACCGCTCGTCAACAACTTTTCTTCCTTCCTCTGCTGCACGCATGCGCTCGCCTTCTCGTACAAGCAGTGCGTCTCCTGACTCAAGATAATCGTCGATCATGTCATCTGCAGCTTCCTGGTTGCACGGAACCTGAGTGCGGTGCCACTGGAGAGCTTCCTGGTACAGTGCGACTACATCAAGATCTATGATGTCGGAGGCGGACTCGGACTCGGACTCGGATCCAAAGAGCGACCTATCCATAGTACTGCTGGTACAGTCCGGCATGGCAATCGCTTCTCTGGTTGCGCTGTGGACTTGGACGGTGGAGTAGGTAGACTCCGCAACAATCAATTCAATCCGGTCACTCTCCTAGACCCACTTACCTATCTAGGTAGGGCTTAAACTCCTATAGGTAACTACTAGGCTTAAAGCGGTAATCAATCAATCCAATCTGAACCTTCTAGGACCCACTTAATTGATTGTTGCGGACTGTGGGAGTAGGTGTAAGGGGGCGAATTGTAGAGAATTGGAGAAGTACTAATCAGGAACAGCGACTGTGGTGAGGCACTAGCTCTTTTTCAAATGACTTCCACGTGACCAAATAACATGCGACAGTCCTCACTTGTCGCTCTTCATTCACTTTGTAATTTTCCTAGGCCCAATCACTGCAGCGCAGTAGCAAACCACAGAATTAGTTGCCATTGTAACAGTTTCAAGCGCAGTCTAGCTTATTTCGACACTCCGATTCTTGCCAGTATTCACTGCGACCCGTTGTTGACAATGCTGTGTTAAGATGCCCCGAACAATTCTCTGTAACCCCTGCAACAAGCAAAAAAATCTTTTAGGATCCCATTGTGGTTTGCCAAACGCAGCCAAATACCTCAAATGCTCATGTTTAATGTATGCTTTGATATTTCAATGCACAGCCGTCACCATCGTAGACTTCACGGCATCGAGATGTACTTATAGATATTTTCACGAATTAGATAGAATACAGCATCAATTACACGAGAGAAGGTTTTTATACACAAACATAAATAATACACGCCTATCTGATACCTTAGACAAAGTCTGAATAAGAGCCCATTAGCATCAGCATCACCTAATAAACACCTATTTGCTCTGCTCCGTCAGACAGCCCCACACCGACACCAAACAAACAATCATGCCACAATGGCTCTGCCAAGAATGCCGCTGGCCCAACGAAGAAGCCGCAGAAACATGCACCCAGTGTAACCAATTAACATGCGATGGTACCCCGGGTATGACTGACGGCTCGTCAAGCGAGGAAGAAGAAGAAGAAGAAGAAGCCCAAACGCCAATGAGCGACGAGGTACCGCAGGAATATCAGTCAGAAGAAGACAATGAAGACGACGAAGAAGAGTAATAATAATAGACATAATCATTTCATCAATCTAACCCACAATCCACTACCCCAACACCCTCATCCCCCTACACGCTCAAACAACCATCCACACCGCCACCAACGCAGCCAACCCCACACTACCCAGCCCACTCACAACCACCGACGCAGCAGCATTAGGCTTCGTCGTCTCCGCCGTCGCATTCCCACTGCCCGCCGCCTCCCCCTCACTCTCAAGCGCCACACCCCCAACACCCGTCCCATTCTTGCACGTATCATCCCCCAGCGGCGTTGCACTAGAATTAAACACAATATCCGCACAATTATACAACGCACTGCCCCTCGTCCCCAACTGCACAACCTGAACAGACGCCAACATGCCCTCTAGTCTCTGATCCCCCGTCCCACTGTACCCAGCTGCTTTGAATGCTGCGTCCAATTGCGACTTTCCGGTTTCTTTGGTGCAGAAGATGCCGGCGCCGGTTTGGTTGAAGACGGGGAGGAGGGTGATGTTGAAGTTTGTGGCGTTTGAGCCGAGGGCCAGATTTACGTAGGTGAAGGCGTGAGCGTGGGAGCCGTTGATTATCAGGGAGCCGCCTGTCGTGGGCCATTGTGTTCCTAGTGGGAGTTAGGGAAGGTTTAGAGGTAGGAGACGGATGGGGAGGAAAGCGTACGGTTTGCAGCATCCGTGGTTTCGTTTACATTGGCGCAAGGGTAGATATACTGGCTTGCAGGCGCATCGAAAGAGGAGCCGCGCCAGATAGGTTCTAGGAGGCGGAAATGCGCATTTGCGCCTGTTGATAGGGCTGTGAGGGCGAGAAGGGTACTGAGTAGCATCTTGAAATCGATATACTACAGACGTAGGATTTGACTCTATGTATAGAAATGCACGTGAAAAGTGTAAGATCGAAGTAGATATCAAGACAGAGAAAGGTCTCAATCATACCACGCACGCTCCTTCCAAACATACACCTCAAGCCTACCCTTTATACCACCCCAACCTCAAACCAAGCTTTCCCCAAATGCCCCCAATTCAAGCCAAGCACCTTCCCGAGGTCAGCTCTGGCAGCGCTAGATGCCCTCTATCCCGCTGCCAAGGACTAACTATCTCAAGCTTCTTCCAGCGCAGCGACAAGCACGCATACGATTAACCAATCACCAAGTTACACCGCCGAACAAACATGCGTTTGTCAAGTCGCAGTGCGCACGCGAAATTAGTCGTGGCGCGAGCTACAGCTGCGGCCCTGCATATGCATCCTAGGATAATGTGCTCAGTGAGCAAGTTTTTGACTTGGCGGGCTGGTTTGTGCGGTGGTTTGATGGGGGGCTAGAACGTTGGTGCGTGGAAGGAGAGGAGCTGGGGAAGGAGAAGGTGGAATGAGCGCTGGAATATGTCAGGAGATGTTCGTCAAGTTTGGGTAGGAATACAATGGTGGGACGTGAAGCCAAGATGCCTACGCTTCAGCGGGGAAGGTACTGTCTACCTACCTGCGCCAACACTAGCCCCGATCGCGACAAGCGCACTGAAACACAGAAAACATCGTAGAATGAACTTGAACTCCAATAATAGGATTGTTTTTGAATTCAAAAGAGCTGGAATCATCACGACTACTACTGCTCATAAGTCTAAACTCCATACCCAATGCCATACCCAAAACCGAAACTCCAATGCTACGTCATGCTAAAACAGGCTACTTTTCTTCTTCTTCATCAACTTTTCTGCGCTCTCACAACTCTGCGTGCGCAGTCCCCAGAAACTCTTCTTCGCCTTTGCTACCGGCTTCGGCAGGCCGTTACTAAAGAAACTGCTACTGCTCTGGCTTGCGGCTGGGCGTGGCTGAGGTGGTGTTTGGAGGAATGAAACCTTTGCTTGCGGGCGCGCGGGTTGTGCAAGTACAGGGGCGGGTCGCTGGTTTGGTCGTGGTGCTTGAATCTGGATGAGCGGTGCCGATTGTCGCTGAGGTTGAGGTGAGGGCCGCATGAGATTGGACTGGTCTCCAAACTGCTTCTTTAGACGTTCAGTCTCCTTGTCAACTTCGGCTTCCTTCCTTCGTCGCTCCTTCTCTTCCAACTCCTTTTGCTTGCGCTCTTGTTCGAGAAACTGCAAAGTCTTGCGCTCTGCCTCTTGTTCCTGCTTCCGTCGCGCTTTCCGGGCGGCTTCGGCTTGGCGCTTTTGCTCGCGTTCCTCAGCCTCAACTTGTGCTTTGAGACGAGCAGTCTCGGCCTCAATCTCCCACTGCGAGCGTGGGTCCAGTCTCGGTCCCTCCTGGCGCTGCTGTGTCGGTCGCTGTGACTGCATGGGCCGCTGTGGTTGCGTAGGCCGCTGTGGCTGCATAGGTCGTTGTGGCTGTGTAGGCCGCTGTGCCTGGGTTGGACGCTGAGGCTGTGGTTGTGGCTGTATCGGGCGACCTTGGTTGGGACGGTTCTCATTCGGACGGTTGGGGCTGGTGACTAGCGGAGGTAGCGAGGCGCGCTTCGCAGCGTTGTTGTTGGAGTATGAAGGGGGTGGCACTTGGGCGTTCACTCCCGCGCCGCTTGCAGGCTGCAGCGGTGCCTTCTCAACTGGGTACTGTGACGACGAAGGGGTGTATGCCGGCGGAGGCGGAGGCTGTGGTGTCATGACTGGCGGAATGATGCTGGGACCACCGTCCAATGGTGATGAACCCTTCCTCGTCCGTAGCCCTCCGCTGTTCTTGCGAGCCGTGGCGCTGTTGATGTGAAACTGCTCGTTGAGGTCGCTGAAGAAGAGATCGCGAATAACAGCCGCACCAATGAGCAGTGCTACCTCCAAGCCCTTGTAGTCCTCAATCTCGACGCGGTATAAGTTCGACTCGAGGATAGTCAATTCTCTCAGTCCAGAGAACATGGCCACAGCGATATCCGGCTCCTTGCTCCTCTTTGCCTTTTTGCCTGTTGGGTCTGTAGACTTGCCCGTCATGTAGCACGTCATGTCCTTGCCCAGCCTTCCCTCCTTGCGCCAGGCGAAGTTGACTCGCGGGGTATTTACATCGGCGCCAGGGTCGGTTTGTGTGCGGTCGAGATCGGAATTGCTGGGCATCCTGAAAGTGACCTGGGGTAAGCTGAATTCCCAGCTCACGGTGCTGCTCCATTTTGCTGTCGAGTGCTTAACAATGACCTGTGTGTCGGGGTTGTACAGCTGAATCGCGAACTCGGTGGGGTAGATGGGCTGAGGAGGGGGCGGGACTCCGCCATTCCTTCGAATCTCGTCCTGGGACAGTGTTGGGTGCGACCAGCCTGGCTTTGCAAGGACCTCGCCATAGAGGATCTCTGGGTTGCGTGAATCGAACAGAGCTACCGCATATGTGTTTTTCGCCGTATTTGAGGCTGGGTCGACGTGGTGCAGAGCATATTGCGCTTCTGGCTCAGTGCCGTTTTGGGTGAAATAGAAAGATTCGTGGTGTTTGAGCTTATCCGTCGAGGGCTTAAGAAAGAAAGCTAGACACTAGTAATTAGCACGCCGACAACTGCAACGCTCGTAGTGGCCATTGGCCGACATGGGGGGACGTACTGGGGAGATTCTCGTCTAACATTGCGTCATGCCGCAGGAACGCCCGTTTTCTGGAATGTGTGGTTTGAGTGTATGTATACCCCGGAATTTGGAGAGGTGATGTGTTGGTAGCGATTGAACGGCGGGTGTCGGCCTGCTTATGGTGGTCCTAATACGCGTCGTACTTATGAGGCTGTACAAGCATCCCTGCACGTGCGCCGGAAGCCGCTGCCCAATGACGAAGACCCACCCCCGCTTACGGGGGGCTATTGATAGTCTTTTCAGCCTCGCGCGAACCGTTCTTTCGACAAGCCTGCTGATCACGGGCATTCACTCGTCGACTCGTACATTATCACCCCCTATCATCTCATCTACAATTGACTTTCCACCAGCACACCCATCTCCCCTTCTTCGCCACAAACCTAGTCTGTGCCAGATTAACCAGGCTTGCGCAATGCACTTCCAAATAATGTTTCACCACCACCCGCAGCACAGCCGCCGGCAATTCCTCCTCGAAACTAGCAAAGCCTCCCAAGATAAAGCAGCATCAGCTACAGATGACATGCCTGACGAGGCAAACTGCGCCACCATCTCATTTTTACCTTTCCTCATGCTAGTGTCTTGATTATCTGTTCATCTACGACGCTTCGTCGCTTACGCGTCCTGGCGGAAGTGATGCTCCCGCTCATCGTAAAAATTCGCTGATCGATCTGGCTAACTGCAGTTGTATCCGTCTGAGCCTCATGGGGCCATGTCAACGTACTCATTGTCTAGTGGCGCTTGGCATGCCAAGGGGCTCGCCTCAAAGAAACCCGGGGGTCCGGACGACGACAACAACAACAAAAACAGCATGCATCTCATTGTTGACATGTCTTTGACAGTATAGCTTTCTGTATCTTCAAGGAACCGTTATATTGATAATTGTCTTGTTCATGCCCACACCTCAGTCTTCACATTAAAGCCATCACACAATATTGATAATCAGGACCGGAAGATACCATCTACATACGACAGCTGTCATGCGGACTCCACAATTACAACATCACTCCGCTTCGGCGAAATACCCAAAGCGCCAAGCAGAGGCGGAAATGAAGCCCGACAGAAACACGAAGAAGCAAAAGCGTGCATGGGGCCAATACGTCAGCACCAAAGAATTTCGCGCTCCCAGCGATTGGGGAATGAAGCAACCCATTGGCATCACGCAAGCGGAAATCCCGCTTACGAATGCCCAGGCTTTTAGACTGCGGGGCTGGTTCTGGAGAAGGGGCCCTAAGGATGCACCTGTCCCAGGCGGGGAAGAGGATAGTACGACATGTGAGAGTCCGCGAGGAACAAGATTTCAGTAGGTCAATCTTTAGGTATGGCCTTTCACGTATTCAATACAGTCAAACACAATTTCAGACTTCATCTCATTCATTTCGTGTTATCCACTGTCCATTGCCCATGTATATGCAAAACCCTCTAAGACGCCACGCAATGCTGTAGTAAAAGACTACCAGGTGGTTGGGATGCTGTGAAGGAAAAAGGTACATCACCTGTGGAAGCTACAGGCCTCCTACTGGGTGTTGCTCGGCCGCTTGTTGGCGCCGCCGGAAGGAGATGCATCTCTCTTCCTCTTCAACTCATCTCGAGAAGTAGGCATCGCGGTCGTCACCGGAGCAGTGGTGCTTGTCGCTGCGGGAGCGCCCGGGGACGGTGCCTGGTACAAGTCATCATTGTCTCCACTGTGATGCTTGTTGTTGTTCTCGTCGTTGCCCTCGGTATTGCCATCGTCGTCTGAAGTTGCCAAAGAATCCTCAACGTCCTTCTTTAGGTTCAGAATGGCCTTCCTGTAGTCGTAGTCGAGGTATCCGCCGCTACGTCTGGGAGTGAGCTCATAAATGTTGTTGACCATGTAAGCACCATGCTCGCCTTCGGCCTTCTGCTTCATGTGCTTCGACAGCGACGGGAGGTTCAGGAGCCTCCTTGTTGACTCTTCCGTCAGCTCTCCGATAGGGCTGCACGTGAAGTCGAAGCTCTTGGAGTTGAGGCGGAAGAACTGTACGGCGCTATCCCGTTCCAATGGCCGACATTCTCGATAATAATGGTCGACGCGGAGCGGTTCGTATATCGATCGGAATAGCTCACTCTGTTCGTTCTCCGGGTCGTACTCGCCAGCGTTGACCTTAGTGATCACTCCGCAGCGCTCCAAGAGTCCATAGAGCGATAGACCTTCGAACACGCGGTTACTCCGTCGCCCCATCTCTGCGACTACACAATGTTTCTCAAGAACGTCGACGATAATTGCCGGACGCCACTTGCCAGCCAGAAGGCCTACGCTCGTTCTCACGGCAGTGTGTCCTTGTTCCTTCTTGAGATGAGGATTCGCTGAGGGCTCGAGCACGTAGACCATGCAGATCTGGCCCACCTTGTAATCGCTTTGGTCGCGCTCTTTGACGGGCTCATTCATGGCAGCATCCCATAGAGTGATGCCTGCTATGGGCTCATCGGGGAAAGGATGCTGGACAGTACTGTTGAAGGGCCTGTCAACTGCAGCGCTGAACACGACGTCCGCAACCTCGTTTACAATTTGTTCGAGGCCTGCCGGGACCTCACGCCGAGGATATCGGTCGTCAAATGAAGGTCGGGGACTGTCGTCACGGTCGCTGTTGGAGCAAGGGCTTCGTCGATCCTCGGGTCTTGATTTGTACTGCGGTTTTACATGGACCGTCGGACCAGAGCCACGAACGTCGGTAGCATTGCTGATACCGATAAGCACTTGAACGCTGTTCGTACTCCTTGTGCCTCCAAAGTTGATGGTCACAGAATTTGGAGATTCTGTGCCAGGAACTATTGGTGCAACTGGTCCTGCGGTCTTAGGTATAACTTCACTGTCCGTGGGTTCTCGAGACGAGCTGGATGGCAACCGTGGAGAGGAGTCGCGGCCGGCTACAAAATTAGATTTCAGGGAACCATACTTGTCTGAGTCAAGAGCTTACCAGAGGCGTTCTCATTCGATTGTGATGCCATGTCGACAACTAGGTGAATATAGTCGAGTTGCGGATGATTATACGAGGCAGTGTCAAGTATGCAGCTGTTGCGGTCGAGAGTGCAGTGTCACTCTTGTCGCAATCGCCGCTGCAGGTGCTTGTGTCGCAACTGTCAAAGTTTCTGGGGGGGATTGGCTCTTTATATACTAGGCGGGAGTTGCTCGCAACTTCCTAATCGGTCAAGGGTCTGTGCGTTGGAGGTGAAAGTGAAGGAGGGTCTGACACCCAGCCAATGAGCTGCCCAGCAATTACGCATTCAGCGGCTTTTCTTTGACTCAAAATTGAGTCTTGTTACTGTCGGCTTTAAGCCTAAGCATACAGGCTTGGATTTGCGGATGGGTGCCCAGGTGGCGACACTGACTACGGGTGGATGAGGGGATTCATATAGCTCAGCTCTGCTCTACGGGCTTTGCGATGGGACATCAGGGGATACTGTCATGAGAGATTGCGCAATAGCGTGTAGAAGGCAAATAACAATGAAGCTGGTCCTGGGTGCTGCTGCTGTGGTGGCTTCTCACAAACATCCAAGCTCTTGTGACCCTCACAAATACTGCGACAGCTTGTCAGGAGAGACAAAGCTTAGATTATCCGTGTTATGAGACATGCGATATCAAAAGGTCACAAATACTATGCAGTACGTCCATGGCCTATGTGGTTCCTTTCACCATCTTGTCACACCCCATATGTCTACATAGCTAGCTCCCGACCAACACATCAACATGTCCATCTATCCTACTTACACCGGAAAAAACAGCAGAAACCCTATTCCCTACGATGTTCGCATCCAGCGCGACCTCCCGCAAAGAAACAACCGGTTTAGAAGGCGCGAACTTAGAAGGCGCGAAATGGCTAGTATCAACACCAGCAACACTGCCTTGAAGCTAACGTCAACGACAAGACAGTATAACCACGCCTAACCCCGTCTTTGCGTCTATCAAAGCAGCGCTTTCGGTCCAGACGATAACAGCCACGCCGGCAATCTCATGAGCGGGCGCAACGGCCGACGTCACACGCGATCAACTGGAGCTCACACTGCGAGACGGATTTCCGGCAGCGGAAGAATATAGATCAAGGATATAAACGATGAGTTTGGATAGCAGATCACTGTGATCGGATCTATGGGGTCGAGCATTCGTCCCGCAGCTCTATGATGCAACTACATCGACGCCGCAGATCCGCGAGATCGAAGAGAACCCCCCTGCCTGTGATGCGAGCACTCCCTTCCAGCCTGCGTGAGCTGTTTCCGGATTGCCCCCGGGGTTAGTCTGCATATATTTTGGGGCAATTACTGGCATCGCAAATGGTTGCGGTGGTGGTTCCGGTGACTGAGGGGAGAGTGTGCTGGGAAGTGGTGTGCACACGGATGGGATGCGAAGAGGTGAGAGTTTAGGTAGGTGGTGGGGCTACGGTCTGACCAGAGTTACGAAGGTTTAGATAGTTATGGGTACCGGTTGCTGTGATTTATTCAGCCAGGGGGTCAGGTAGTCGTCGCGGTAGGTAGAGAGATTATGGACGGTCAGTGATGGGCGGTCTCTCTGCCTTAGGCGCTTTGGTCTGCAGGTGTGATGAGCAGGGCGAGTGGCTGTCGGCAAGTGAGATAACCTGTGGAGGGAGATGATAGTTCATTTTAAATGTATTTCCGTATTGTTAGATGGGTATCTAGGCGGTATTTTGCCCTGCGCTTGTGTACACGGCACGATATGCGCAGGCACACCGTATGTAGTGATCTCAACCTCTCATGCAAAATTCTCGAATACGCTTCAGCTGTCTAGCCATAAGGTCTTAACCATCTGTTTCCTGGTCACGAAAGTATCATACGGTAGAGAAATCCGAAAAAATGCAACCCGAGAAACGCGCCGAGATGTGAAGGATGCGCGGGAGACGCTCGCGACGGACATTCCTCAGGCTATCGACAACAATACCATTATCCGTAAATAATTCATCTAAAACAAGTCCCTGTGCTCGTTTTATCCACCGCTACAGCAAAAAATGCGAGCAAGTTCCTCCAGATCCAGTCTTGAGTGACGTAACGTCAACACAACCCATCGCAAGACCAACACCCAATGCCCAAACCACAGTGTACCATCCACAATAAACGATATCGCAGTTCCCCATATCTTCAGTTTCGAGTTGATCTCGCGCGCTCCGACGCCTTGTAGCGAACCCACCATACCATCCCGACTTACAAGATGCTCGCCGAGATACTCTTGGCTAATTTTTGAGTCAGCTAAGTACACCGGTACCATGGTTCTTCATACGAAAAAAAACGTGTCTTGGACGGAAATGGCAGACTATGACGAACGAGCTTCTCGGTTGATAGGCACGCTCTCTTGATGATTTGTCCATGGCTAGGTTCGCGCGAAGCGACTTCGTACCATTTCCCGATAGAGTAGGCAATTGTGTAAAAGGACGAGAGAAACTTTGGTTCAGTGTAGAAGCGACGGCGTGTCACTCAGCGGGTCGACGCAGTTAGTCTCGTGATGCGAACTTTGGTTGATTGCTTGGGCGCGATCTCACCTGTGCTTCTCTTGAGTATAAGTGCGCTGGGCGCCGTGTCTGAGTATCTCTTTCTGAGTTATAGTATAGTACAAAACGCCGCATTAGAGTGACACATATATCATCGAAGCCTTCGAAATTTCCAAAGAGAAACTCACGACTGTAAGGCACCGGTTTCCTTATCGCGAGCGTTGCGCGTACCCTTCTTTCTATTTCACTCTTCCCACCCCCGCCGCCGCCCACCCCCGCGCAAACGCGGGGGGGCTCATCGTGTGCACGAAACCCTCTACGTGTTAGCGCGAGCTGACCGGTTCTTATAGTCCCGTGCTGTTAGTAGCAATGTGCAAATATCTGCACAAACACTCCCGGTGTCCCCCACCCACCCCACGGAGGAGCCTCGATATTGGAACTTTACACAGTATCGACTGTCCGGATTGCACCATTTTGACTAGACCTCGTGCTGCTCCATTGTTTCCGGACCACCGCACAATGACCACGACATCGAAGCCGCCCCTCGGGAGGAAGGATTCCCATACAACGATTGAGGCAGCCGGTACGCCAGTCAACGGCTCGAGCAACACTACAGCACAACACTCCGGCGGTACTTCAGGTAGCCCGTCGATCGTATCCGGATCCGCTGCGTTCGAAGCGCTCAAGAGCCGGTTTGGGGAGGCGACCGATCTGGAGATACTCGTCCACTGCATGGGAGGCCCCCGAGTTTCTAATATTCCCGACATTGCCAAGGAACTTTCCGAGCACATTATCGTCATCTGTCTTGACTGCGAGCACTGGTCTGACAATACTGACGAACAAACTGAAATCGGTATTGCCACCTTCTCCAGAAAAGATCTGAGTCCTTTTGTCGCCCGGGGCGAGTTTGGCGACCACGGCGAGGACCTCTTGCAACGAGTCAAGTTCTACCTCCTCCGCCTGATTGAGAGTGCTCATCTGCCATGCATGAACCAAGCGTCTAGGGGTGTCAACGGCAATCGGTTTGGTGAAGGCCGCTTCGTCACGAACATCCAAGCTCACAAGATCATGGAGGATCTCTTCGTCCAGCCCATCAAAGGTGTACCCAGTGTCCAGGAAAACCATCCCATCATCGTCCTCGGTCATGACGTGCGCCACGACAAAGAAAATTTGAAGGAGAAGTCCACCTCTTTCGACATAGAGAGCTGTGGTACCGTTGTTCGAACGATAGATACGCAGGTGATCGTGCGCGAACGTGGATACTGGATGGCGCCGCACAATGAGCAAATTGGGCTCACTAATCTTGTGAAGGAACTCTGGTTCCAACATAGTGATCCCCACACTGCGAGCAATGATGCAGCTCGCACTTTGATATGCGCATTTCAGATGGCCCTCGGTGGGCACGCGTGCAAGGACGAGGCCGAAAAAACCATGTTGGAGGTTGCCAGCGGAATCGAGAAGTATAGCGTCGAAAACTTCACATCTATCGGCGGCGTCAAGGAATACTGCTGGAGGTGCGGTAATTCTGGCCACATGAATGCCGCGTGCACGGCGACGGGCCTCGTATGCAACGAGTGCGGGACAACAGAACCAGGAAAGGAACACGTTACCTTGCATTGCCTGCCTAAAGCCATAGAGAACGCTCAAGCACGTCGTAAACGAGATGCTGACAACCGTACCATGAGGGCCCAGAACGGAACTGGGAGAGCCCGGGGCAGAGCTGGGAGGCCCCAGGACAGAACCGGGAGAGTTGCACCTACAACTGCGAGTCGCGATTTTCAATCGTCCCGGTCGACCAGGAGTATCTCCACAGTGGTTGCCAATCGGAGCCAATCTGGCTGTGGAGAATACCCTTCCGCTAGAGACCATGGAGGACACTCTTTCTTTGGAGGCAGTGGAGGACACCCTTCCCATGCAGGCCATGGAGGCGGCTCCTATATACCTCCCATAGACAGGTCCCAATCCCGTCAGGCGGAGAACAACCAGACACCCGTCAGGAGGCGCTACTGGAGGCCTCGGGGGCGAAACCAAGGGAACCCTCAATCCTAGGGTAGTCCCGCTGTTCACCCTTCTTGCGTTGATGTCGTCTCCGAGGTTGGACATGAGGTCCACGTTGGTGAGTGGACGGTGCTTTCATACTATGTTGAACGCAATACGCGTATTAAAAGAGTCTGTTGTGTGGGATTAGGAGTGGATGGCGTTCAGCGTTCTTTGCATTTTTTTTAATATTTAGCCTAACTGGGCAACGTCACGCCTACCGCTGCAGGAGAAAGGAGATTTTGTTCAGATACAGGATCATAGGTTACATGTTGCGAATTTAAGAGATATATACAAACAGAGACTAGGCTGGTAGAGAATGGATATCCAAACTTGACAAGAAATCTGCAGCAATTCTGAAGATGAGATAGAAGTGTGCGTGACGTCTGACGCGTCGAGGATTGCGATAGGCAATGCTGACTAAGACGGTACTTCGTCGTCGGTGGGGAGCGGCACCGCGGAAGGCACAGCCCTGCCGTTGCGCCCGTTTACCAACACCAGGCATCCGCCATGTCACAACGCTTGCGCTTGTCCTCCACCTGGGACTGCAGTTGAATAGAAGATATCCCGATATTCTTCAGCGCCGCCTTTGTCACCATGATCGAAAATACAGTACCTAGGTACCTCTTCATCCGGACGTGCATTCTCGGCTTGCGCGCCATTACGCCCTTTAGTGTCTTTTGGGTATCTTTCAGTATTGCAGAGCTGCCGCATACGCCTTTTCGTCGCTTTTTGCTCGCGTGGAGCATCATCGAAACAGCGTTTTGGCTGTTGGGTTACCTACCCCGCAAGCGCTCGCTCCAAGCCTCTGCCCAACACCCCCCACTGCTCAATAAAGAAGAGAGGAAGGAGCTCTTCTGGCGATGCTGGGATAAGATTCCACATCCAGAGTATTACATCAGCAGGTGGTTTCTGGGTGCGCGCCTCGGAGAGGTGCGGCGAGAGAATGTGCGTGAGTTCTTCTCGTGGGCGCTGCTGAACCGGGGCACCGAGAACGAGGATGAGCGGAAGAAGAGAAGACTCGCAAACCTGGAAGAAAGCGCGGCCGAAGAAGACGAACTGAACGAATATGCCGATGGTATAGAAACGATGCTGGGGAGGAAACTTGCGCCAGGCTTGGGGAGCGCAAAGAGCCTGCGGTTGACTATAGACCAAGTAAACATGGCGCATCGCCCGTTCTTGTGGTATATGGTATGTCTGCCAGACTTATACCATATAAGTTGCTAACAACGGTAGACTGTAATGCTAGTAGACACAGCGACAGCCGTACGGCTCCGCTTAGCCGGATTTATGCTATTCCGCACCCATCTCCGCTCGTCCCTCTCCGTCTTTCCACCGCGACTTACAAACCTCACTACACGAAAAATATCAACTGCGCCCGATTTGAACTATTGGTATAGACCGCATACATCTAGAACGCGATTGCCTATTCTCTTTATACATGGAATCGGCATTGGCCTGTACCCATATGTCGAGCTCTTCAATGAGATAAACAAGCATGATCCGCTTGCAGCGCAAGATGGCCAAGTAGGAATCATCGCTATTGAGCTTTTACCAATCAGCTTCCGCATCACTGGCCCGATTCTCGACAGGGACAGCATGTGCCGTCAAATCAACATGATCCTCCAACGTCATGGCTTTGACAAAGTTGTCCTAGCCAGTCATTCTTACGGCTCCGTCATCTCCACTCAGCTCCTTCGGGATTCTACAACTGCGCCTAAGATCGGACCTATACTCTTCATCGACCCAGTCACATTTCTCTTACACCTCCCAGACGTGGCTTACAACTTTACTGCACGCGCGCCGAGAGGTGCCAATGAGCATCAGCTCTACTATTTTGCCTCAACTGACATGATGGTTGCGCATACGCTGGCGCGCCATTTCTTCTGGGCTCAGAACATTCTGTGGAAGGAAGATCTCAGAGGTCACGACGTGACTGTCAGTCTCGGTGGAAGAGACCTTATAGTTGATACCCAAACTGTAGGAATGTACGTGAACGGCGTAGATCTCAAAGGCGAGGATCAGAGCTGGAAGGATTTGGAGTGGAGAGGCCATGGCTTGGAGACTCTGTGGTGGCCAACCGTGGATCATGCACAAGTTTTTGAAAGGAGAGAATGCAGAGCAAAGCTAGTACAAGTCCTTCGGGAATACGTCAAGCGGAATCCTACAGAGGAAGAGGTGGACGAGCTGCTGTGAGTATATTACGTCACCAAAGCAAGCGCGAGTATGCAGGTTCCTTAACACCTGTCACATAATTCAACGATTAATCCTTGGTGCACTCCCGCTTCCCAGTTGCTTGGGTGTGGTTTAGGTTGCAGGCGTCGATTGTGGGGGTCCGTCCGGGACTGCCGGATTTGGATAGCCTAGTGGTGGTTGATAAGTGGAGCCGGCTCCGCCAACCCGAACGTCGATGTAATTCGAAGTATATACATGAGCACCAGAAATAGCAAAAGCAAGTAGTTTACTCTCAAACGTTTTCACATTCAAAATATTCATATTGACCAGTTAATCATGCCAAACGGAAACTGGATCCTCGGCGACCTTTTCGAGAAAGAGTACGGCCATCGCGGTAGCATCCAGAAGCTCTGGGAGCAGCGATGGAAGTTTCCATGCACCAAAGGCGTTTATCCGTTTCATGATGGAAAATTCGAGGACTTTGAGCCCATCTTTAAGCACCTCATCGATAACAAAATCAATGACCCCTTTGACGATGCATACACCAATGCATTCCTGCCAACAGCACAACGTCTTGCAAAGGAAGCAAAGGAGATGGAGAGCAAAAACAAAGAAGCAGCGAAGAAGTTGTACCTCAACGCAAACGCTGTTTTCCGACTCGCCCGATTCCCCTACATCGGGACCGAACTGAAGAAGAAGGTATACGAGGAGCAAAAAGAAGTCTACTTCCGCGGTGCCCAACTCTGGGACATTCCAATCGAAGAATTCGTCGTACCGCACACCCACGCCTCTAACGGTGACGGTCCAGAAATTCCCCTCTACATTCGTAAACCCCCCGGCAATGGCCCCTTCCCCACCGTCCTCCTGATCACCGGCCTCGACGGCCACCGCCCAGACAACACGGAACGCACCCAAGAGCACCTAAATCGCGGTTGGGCAACTGTAATCTGCGACATACCCGGAACAACCGTCGACTGCCCCGCCAACAAGCGCGACCCCCTCAGCCCTGACCGCCTCTTCACCAGTATCCTAGACTGGATAAAAGAAACCCCGTATCTCAACGAGAACAAAGTAATTGCCTGGGGCCTCTCCGCAGGCGGCTACTACGCCATCCGCCTGGCCCACACTCACCGCACACAACTCATCGGCAGCATCGGCCACGGCGCCGGAACCCACCACTACATCAGCCGCGAGTGGCTATCTCAAATCAACAAGCACGAGTACCCCTTCGGCCTCGAAGAAGCGTACACGCAGAAATACGGTTACTCCTCCTTCGAAGAGATGAAGGAAAAGTGCCAGGATGAATTCAGTCTAGTTAGTGGCAAGGGAGAGGGCGTGGCGGTCGTGGGCATGGGCATGAAGAGTTGTAGGTTGTTGCTTGTGAATGGCGTGCTAGATGGATGTATGCCGATTGAGGATTCCATGTTACTGGCCGAGTATGGGAGTCCAAAAGAAATGCGGTTTATGAAGGACAGGCTGCATATGGGGTATCCGGAGGCAAATGGGAGTGTGTATCCGTGGATGGAGGAGGTTGTTGCTGGCAAGTAAAGTCGGTGGACCGGAGGGAAGGAGTGTGACGGGCAATGTTTGCTCGTGTGAGTGGGTTTGTGAAGAAGGTGCGAAGCAAAAGTTGGAGATGGCAGTGTTGTCAAAACAATAAACGAGTGATTATTTGCTAGGATAAATGTAAAGTTAAAACCATTATATACAGGGCAATCGAAAACACAAGACTATACCCAAGAGGGTAGGGAGGTCGATCGATGAAAGCTTATGTAAAGTCAAGATCATTGGCGTTGGAATCGTAGTTGCACTTCCCAGAGTACCAGGCGAATGCACCCTATATTGCACACATTCGCTCCTGTCACCCTTTATCCGCACTGCCTCCATCATGGTAACTTCGTTTTCATAACCACTGTCGCCATAGGTCCAAAATACGTTGCCCTTTCCAATGTACATATGCCGGGCACCTACTCAAGCTTGCCACCAGTCTTGCCCCCAGGCTTGTTCCAGGGTTGGTCGTTCCAGGGCTGCTTGTTCCAGGGCTGGTCGTTCCAGGGCTGCTTGTTCCAGGGCTGGTCGCCTCCAGTGTTGCCACCAGGGTTGCCGCCAGATTTGCCGCCAGATTTGTCGTCAGATTTGCCGCCAGATTTACCGCCAGATTTACCGCCAGGGTTGCCGCCAGGGTTGGCTGGGCTCGTGCCGTTGAATTGAGGAACCTCAGCACCAGTACCAGTGCCAATGCCAGTGCCAGTTTCAGTGCCAGTGCCAGTGCCAGTGCCAGTTTCAGCACCAGTGCCAGTGCCAGTGCCAGTTTCAGCACCAGTGCCAGTGCCAGTTTCAGCACCAGTGCCAGTGCCAGTTTCAGCACCAGTGCCAGTGCCAGTTTCAGTACCAGCACCTGTTGGATCCGTGCCGTTGATTTGAGGCATCTGACGATGACTTATGTGAGGGCTAGTAGTTGCTGCTCCCGTGGAGTTGAATGGAGGAACCTGGGGTACCTCAGCACCAGTGCCAGTACCAGTTTCAGCTCCAATGCCAGTACCAGTTTCAGCTCCAGTGCCTGTTGTTTCCGTGCCGTTGAATTGAGGAACCTTGGGCTGGGGCTTAGGCTGAGGAACCTGGGGCTGGGGCTTAGGCTGAGGAACCTGGGGCTGGGGCTTAGGCTGAGGAACCTGGGGCTGGGGCTTAGGCTGAGGAACCTGGGGGTGGGGCTCAGGTTTCGGTGCGCCACCACCTTTGGGTCCAACCCAGTAGGGCTGTTTGGTGTCCTTCCACCAGTTGTTGTCACCGGGAAGGGCGGCGGCGTTTACAACGCTCGCCGTGAGGAGTAGGACGGGGAGCGAGATATGCATCTTGAATGGGACGAGGGAGGTTTTGAACAAGAAATATTGTTGAGAACTTTGGAAGCTTGGAGTGGTGGTGGTTGGAAGATGGATCTGGTGAGTGAAGATGCTCTCTTCTACTTGGTGTTGGTAGACTTCTTATATGCATGATTTCTCTACAACATAACGTGGTTGGCAAGCGAGTCGGTCAGACAAGCGAGTCGGTCACCCCACCAACTTTAATCACCTACTCTATCTCAACACATAATGCCTCCACGCCGCGCTCCTCTTGTGCCTTCAAATGAAGCAGATATTCAGCTTGCTCTCTTATCTATAGATTCTGCCCAAATTCAGAGTACGCGACGCGCTGCTACAGTCTTCGATATCCCAAAATCAACCCTAATTGACCGGCGCGCTGGAAAGCGCGCGCGACGCGATTGCCAGCCTAACTCAAGGAAGCTTACCCAGAGAGAAGAGGAGGTGATTGTTAGCTATATACTTCATCTAGATCAGCGCGGGTTTGCGCCTACCTACGCAGCTGCACGCGATATGGCTGATAAGCTGCTGGCTGCGCGCGGCGCTGGCCAGGTTGGGCAGAAGTGGCCAGCCAACTTTGTCAAGCGGACAGATAGTCTTCGGACGTGTTTCAACCGAGCGTACGATAGGCAGAGAGCTCTCTGTGAGAATCCAGCCCTTATTAGAAGCTGGTTTGAGCTTATAGAGAAGACAAAGGCTGAGCTTGGTATCTGCGATGAGGATATATACAACTTTGATGAAGCTGGCTTTATGATGGGCAAGATTACAACGCAGCTGGTTATAACAGGAGCAGAGAGGAGAGGCAGGCCGAAGACTCTTCAGCCAGGCAATCGCGAGTGGGTAACGCTGATCGCTGCTATCAGCGCTGCTGGCTGGTCAGTCCCACCGTTCCTCATCTTCGCTGGCCAGTACCACCTATTAGCCTGGTACGAGGAAGCTGAGATCCCACGCGACTGGGCAATCGCAGTCAGCGACAATGGCTGGACAAATAATGAGCTTGGAGTTGAGTGGCTAAAGCACTTCAACGCTCACACGCAGGCTCGTACTATAGGCGCGCGTCGCCTGCTTATTATTGATGGCCATAAGAGCCACCAATCTCTAGCGTTCTAGGAGCTCTGCAAGGAGAACAATATCTATACGCTCTGTATGCCTCCTCACTCATCTCACCTACTCCAGCCACTTGATGTTGGCTGCTTCTCGCCATTGAAGCGCGCGTACAGCCGTGAGGTGGAGAGCCTCATGCGCAACCACATCAACCACATCACCAAGCTAGAGTTTCTGCCAGCATTCAAGATAGCATTTGATCAAGCGTTCACGCCAGCCAACATCTGCTCAGCCTTCCGCGGCGCAGGCCTTGTTCCTCTACAACCAGAGGCTGTTCTATCAAAGCTAGATGTACAGCTGCGTACACCTACTCCTCCAGCAGCAGCTCTGCCAGAGGCTCCCTGGGTAGCTCAAACGCCGAGCAACGCGCGTGAGCTTGAAGCTCAGTCAAGCCTAATACGTGAGCGCGTGCGCCAGCACAAGAGCTCATCACCAGCATCAATTATTGAGGCAATTGACCAGCTGAAGAAGGGCGCTGAGGTGATAATGCTCTCTGCTGAGCTAATGCGCGATCGGATCTCCAGTCTTGAGAAGGCTAACAGCGCAGCCTCAGCGCGTAGGCGGCGCTCTAAAAGGCGTATACAGAAGCACGGAGTACTTATAAAAGGAACTGGAGAGGATATACTAGCTCAAAATGAGGCTGACCAGCAGATTGCTCATGAAGAGCGTCGAGGAGGAGCGCGATCAGGCCTCAGCCAGCGCGCTCAAAGGCGCTGCACTAGATGCAAAGAGACCGGGCACAACTCGCGCACATGCAACACTAATACTATTAATATAGAGTAGTCTACTATATCAATATCTAGCAATAATATTATCGTGTTGTTGAGATATATCGCTTTAAAGTTGCAAAAGTTGGTGGGGTGACCGACTCGCTTGTCTGACCGACTCGCTTGCCAACCACGTTACCTATTCCCCAGCAACACTAGTCGCTCGACTTGCCAACAGACTTATCGGCAAAATATCCGGTGTATCGCCGGGAGCAGCAGTTCACGACTCGGTTGAGGCTGGGGTAATGTTAGTTAGTATCAGCAGAATCGCAGCAGCCCTCGCATTAGCATAGTGATAGCTTGATAGGGTAGGTGCACGATATCTCGAGTTACCTTCTTCCGATGTCAAGTCCACTTCTTCCATCTGTGATGTTGGTGGATACCCACATGTCAGCCTAGGAGTGACATACTGTGCTGGTCTGTGCGCTCGCATATTCTTACGTATGCTTAGGTATCCGTGATGGTCAGAAAGCTTAATTCGTAGGCGAGAAAAGAATGACGTGTTCGGGTTGGTTCCAACTGTCCAAGTGGAGTACCATCACTGACGATCCTTTTCCCACCTGCATCACTACGTTAGCTTGCGCTGTCCCTAGATGCTTACCCGCACACCCAACTGTTATGCGTTTTGGTAGCGATAGATATTATGACAAGTTCCGATGAGATGCATAACGACACCTGGCATATTTTCGAGATAATCTGTGATCAACAACACACTCATGGATTATGAGCATAATCATGCTGCAACAAGACTCTTTCGTGTTCTCCATCCATCACGGTATCTGTCGATAAAGATGAGGATTCAAAGTCGTACACCATATCCAAATCGCAAGTGAGTTCTCTAATCACCTATTACCCACAACAGGCCCACGCACGACACGAATCTCGCAGAACGGCCATATCATAGCCAATCACCGGCCTGTCCGTTGACCGTTAACTGTCACGCCCCACTGGCTCACCGACATACATAGGTACGAACGCATGATCTGCAGCAAGGTGTAGCGACTACATGGAGCCTCAGTATCGCAGTGAAGCCTCCCGAGGTCGGCAAACATGCCCAGGCACTCCATCTCCAACATCCACTAGGTAATTAGGTAACGCGGCCGGTTGATACAGTCTTAGCATCGTATAGCTTTCACCAATGCGTCAATGTAAGCGCCCTGTGTTTTGCCAGGTTCTCACCATGGACTCTTGTTTAGGTATCCTCTAAACCTGAAGATGCTAATTCCCTACTGTTCCCTCTATCGGCCCGCACCACACCCGTCATGGCCTGTCTAGTTACCGATAGGCTTATAACCAACAAATCAGCATTTCAGGCAACTCTTCCTGACATTGATCTCCAAGCTCTGGAGATGTGCGATAATAATAAAAAACCGGTACTCTAGCAACTGATGCTTGCGATGTTCTCGACGTGAGCTGCGTAGGCTATACCCATTCACACGCACGTGGCAACTGAATCGTTTGGCAGTAGTAGTGGTGTTAGCCGGCCCAAATAGGTCCGATTGCGAAACCGGCTACTTAGCCAGTTTCCATCTCTCGGGCCGAACCTAAGCCTCAATCTAGCCTTAGTGGTTGCTTAGCGCGTGTTGGCTCATGACATGCAAAACCAATGTCGCGGTCGACCTTCCTGTGCGTTGAATTTGGCGAGAGAACCAGAAAAGACCAGATCAAAACAGGGGGAAAGAGCTGACCCATTGACAGACCCATCGCTTTATCTTCTCAGCCTTACATATATGCACCTGATGCAAAGTAATGTAAAATAAACTGACATGCGAAGCACCATGAAACAATAAGGCTATCGCAGGATTACGACGATATGGCAAATTCAGAATGACAGAAGATTAACTAGTGCCTTCTACAAGAAAAGATCAACACACTGTGCATCGCTATTACCTATTCCCCGCCGAACTCTAACCCCGGCTCCCTTTCCGTACACGAATGCACACTGACCCCGAGTCTGACGCTCCATCAACCTCAATCTGAGGAGTAATTATGCAATCCACCGTGCACGCAATTGCTGAAATGAAAGAGGCACTACCCTGATCAATTTCTTGGGGAATCACGATAATCCCCATGGTAAACAGCAACAAACGCATCACGGAGAGATGATTGCCGCCTTGTTATTGCACGTCTGTATCCATCCAAATGCACGCAAACTCAAAGGTTACTGGACATTCCGATAACGACGTACGCATCAACACCACGCTATCTGCCGTTTCATCTGGGGAAAAGCGGCTAGATTCACATTCCATCCACATGTTTCATGACTAGTTAGGTTGCTTCTTGCTCTTGCGGAGAACATCGTTATCGATGGATTAGCCCTGTTTTACTACTGAGTACAAAGAAACTTGGTAGCATCGGTCCGAGCGGTGATCTACCTTGGTTTTTACCCCAGTTACTCGGGTTCTGGAGTGAGGAGCCGATTGTTGAGTCAGTGGAGGGGGGTTGGTCATCATGTGCTCCGTTATGTTTGTGGAGCTTGAGTGGATTGGCCAAGGGTCACGAGATTTTGATGCTTATGGTGTTGTTGGGAAAATTTAGGAGACATGAAGAATAGTTAGGTGTGAGATTCTCTGGGCGTCATTTGCCTGCGAATCAATTACGCTTTTGAAAATACTGTGTATTGGATAGTCAGACTTCCGTCTTACTCTGCATTTCCAAATCTTACCTGGTAATCAAAAGAACTCCCGTACCGACGATAATCTGAAGCAGCATTGCGCTGTATGTTTCATGAATCGATGCGCAGGTTATCAGAGGTAATTACTGTTGGTACTTGCATTCCATCTAGTAAGCGCTGACGCGTTTTATTATCTACAGTATTCCATTGGCACGTTGCTTCATGAAACTAGGATAACTGCTCCATATTAGTGCCAGGACAGGAGATAGACCAGTCATCTAGTCGATCATCACATATGCTAACTCCAGCCATGGAGCGTTTTGTTCTGAATTATTTCGAAGACGTGAACGAACAATGTTTCTACAGAACAGTGTAACGGGCTGAGCCTCGAGTCACATGACTAGGCTGCTAGCCTAGTCGCTTCCCCGGCAACGTGAGGGCCGTGCGCCAACCCAAACAAAGCAGGCTCGCCGCTTGCGTCTTACCTTCTTTCTTCATCTTGACTGTAAATAGCATCTGGACTAGGTAGCTGGAATACAGTCCCTACAGACCGTTCACAAACAGTTGTTCGCCACTGATGGAGTCTATTGAGTAGTAGTGACTGTGACCTGTCTCTGGTTCTTCTCCTTGGACTGGTATCGCTGATTATCATAATATCCCGAGTAGTTTGGCATAAGATACAGTCAAGTTTCTATGCACGAACAATCTGAGCAGCGATGATCTTCTCGATAGCTTGGCATAAGATACAGTCATACGGACAATTTGAACGAACACATCTATGTCCCATTGATCCTCAGTCCAACATCGAACCCCTCTGACCTAAGAACACTCTTCGCCTATTTCCAGCGGCCAGAATGGAGTTCTCGCCGTCCGTCATCTATCTCATACCTCATCACCGCCCAAGCACGCGCCCACTACTGGTCATGTCACTGCTATAATCGCAATGGCGTCCCCAACAACACCATCAAAAAATTCTGCGAAGATCTCCGAGCAGCTCATCACATTATGCGAGGTGATAGCCAGCATTCTGATGAATACGAGTACAGAGTACCAAAAGCTACACAACACAACAAAAGCACCCAGCTCCAGTGCTGTTAATTAGCGGGGCTAATAGGCCGGCTTAGCTTAAGCCGCGCAATGTGGCAATGGTAGGATTCGAGGTTTACGATCTACAATTCCCTCTATAGGTACTATGGACAGATAAACCACAAGCACGATACGGGTTTACTCTTACAATGATATCGGAATCGCAATGACGCTCTCAATTGCCGATTCGCCTAACGCCACCTATTCAATACTAGTGTAATCTCCCCCAGCGCACGACCGCTTTTTTTTGAGTGCGTGCTAGACTGGTGGGTTCTGATTGGGGAATTCGCTTGCGAGGAGAGATGTAAGCCGGTGTTTCAGGGCATGCACACCGTGCGCTCGATCGCTACAGTTCCTGCTTACTGCTTACTTCCCCCCGCCTCTCCAACATGTGATGACGCCATTGTACCCTTGTTACCGCAATCGCGCATACGAGGCCATTGTGTACAAGACGCGCGCTGCGTTGGGCCCATTGTATCCGATAGCAGCTGCCCTGCCTCCTTTGCCGTCGTGCACGATCTTGAGCCCGCTTCTATCTTCCTCTTCCAGGCAATCTTTGCCAAAGCCTGGGAAGAATATTCTTTCAAGGACGGACTCTCGTGGCAGATATAATTCTACCTTCCAGTGGGTGATCTTTTTATACTCTTTTGCTAGCCTTTCCAGTAGATGGGTCCAATTTGATGCTTCTGTGTCTGGTTGTAGTCTCACATCTCGAAACGACAAAGAGGCCAGCGTATCCTTTGAGTTGGATAAGAGATTCAGTATAGGGGTCGCGGCCAAGCTTGTGTCGTCGAGATGTAGTCTCTTGAGCTGAAAACATGGTGCGAGAGATGGTAGATGATTGTTGGACCTACATGCCGACTTTGCACCTCCGCACCGAGCGGATAGGAATAGGTCTTCCAGTATTGGTGCATGGAGAAGATGTTCAGTCCAGTACAAGGACGGTTCGTCACATCCTAGTCTTATTTTAGCTTTCTTTAGGATGGTAAGGCCTAGGTCCCGCTCCTGGTGTTCTGGGATCAAACACGCTGTTGCCTCTACCCTGTAAGTTCCCCCTCTTGTTCCCATGCGCAGATTGGCAACAGCCAGTTTAGAATCGAGAAGTATATGTCGGGCCAGAATAGTGCAGGGCTGTGCGATTGAGCACCAGCCCGGTGTTCTGTCATTGAAATCTCGGATAGTTAACTCATCAGGGCGTAACTTACATGTCCTCAAGATGTTCCTCAAAGTTGCGAATCCAATCATGTCGATGTCAATATCGCCTCGCTCATCCAGTGGCCAGACACGATACGATGGCCTCCTCTTTCCATGTATCTGTTCTTCCTGTTGTGTTCTTTCCGCGTCCTTGATCTTCTCGGAATCATCTAGAACCAGGATTTTCTTAACATACTTTGCGAATCTTCCGCAAGCGAGCTGTTCTAGCTTTTGTATATCTGAGCCTATAAGACTAGTCTGTACTTTGGAGAAGAACCGCTCGCCGACGATACGCGCGGTTTGTGCATCGAGCTTTACACAGGATAGGCGGAATGCGATCAGATCTTCGTCGTCTAGGTACTCTGCTATTATTTCGACCAGTTCAGTGGGCATCTTGCTAAATGTTGAGTCCGACATGTTGCTGTTCTTTCGAAGTTAACAGGCTATGGCGATACATGAAGAGAAGTGAAGAGAGACCGCTATGCCAAGATGGCAGCCTAAAGTGGGTCACTCGCATCGAACCAGCTCTTACGTCATCACAACCAAGTTTCTACGATTAGAATCTCACATACAGAACTATGTTAGAACAGAACTCAAAGACCAAACCTAAAATCACAAAGTTACGCAACAGGATATTAGAACAAGCATTATACCAGACCACACCCATCATAATGCAGTGCACCATTACAGTCACGTGACACCCTTCGAATCCTTTCTCCAAACATATCCTCTAGGGCATACAAGCAGCAAAGCAACAAAGAGACAGTAAAAGACCACAAGTGACGAAGATTGAGACCAGTATTGACAGTCGTGGGTGTGGAATTCGAAAGTTAGATCCTCTACATGTAGTAAAGCTTAGTAAAAGATTGCGCAAGGCATCTAACACCCCATAGAGACATACAATCCCCCACTCCAACATACCCCACTATCTCTCCCCCAAACCATTCCATCCAACGCTCAATATCCACTATAACAATGCGCCCCCCAGACCCTCCACACACACTCCTCCTCCACATGTCCCCAGGCAGCCCCTGCCATATATCGCCTCGGATCCGTACTTGCAATGCAGTACTGGCATGGACAAGGATTTTTTGTTTGCATCGCCCGCTACACCTCCATTCCCTGCTCTATCTCCTCCACCTCCCGTTCTTTGTCCTTCAGTCGCTCCTGCGTCAGAACCTTCTCCTCCCACGCCTTCTCCGCCAAAGCCCTCGCCCTAACAACCCGCTTACAAAACCCCTCCTCACGCCCCTCGTCACTACAAAACTCACACCACAACCCCGCTGTTCTACGCATGTCTTCTAAATGTCCATCCTGACCGCATTTTACGCAAAACGCCACGTTACCGTAGACGCGACTAGATCCGTTTTCAAATCCCGTGGTCTATTTATTTTGCGCTTGTTTGTTCAACTCTTCGTACTTACCCTGATCCCCCCTAGTCATAGTAGTAGGAGCACCAGTACACCCCAACACCAACGCCCCGACAAAAGTCCCCACAATATCATTCCCCGCATTATGCAAAAACGCCTCTTCCACACCCAAACTACCCAACAGCCGTCCAAGACCCATTTTCCTCCCTGGTTCAGCAATCTCGCACTCGGTCGCCAAAACCTGTGTATCTAGCGTCGCAACCACTACACCCATCGCCTCGATATCGACGCCAAACGCTGCTTTCAACATCGCTGTGTCGTTGTCTACGGCGTGGCCGAGCAGGATGATGGGCCGCGGCGGGGGGCTGGATTGGGAGTCGTCTTGCTGGAGGAAGATGTCGTAAAGCATGGCTTGGGCGACGGGAATGGAGGAAAAGGTAGTGGTGCCGAAATGGTAGGCGGAAGGGTGGGAGGGGCAGAGTTCGGTGTTTGTGAGGTGGGCATGGGGTTTTAGGCAGATGTGGTAGTTTTGTAGGGCGGAGAGGATTGGCCAGGGAGATGAGGATGATGATGATGATGAGGGAGGGGCCATGTCGCGCGGGTCTGGGATGGATATTCCTAGCTCGGTGATGTAGGATGAGTCGTGTTCGTACCATTCTGCGTCTAAACCTATGATAACTGCGTCGCGAAGGGAGGCGGCTAAGGCCGTAGTGGGGAGAGAGACGGCACAGTCGGGAAATCCGAGCCAGTGCTGTAGAATTGTGGTTTGTGTGAGGCCGCGAGCGAGTTCGGTATCGAGAGTGTGTTTCAACTCGGTGGGTAGAGGTGGTAGAGGTATGATCTGCACGGCAGAGTCCGCCCTGGGTTGTGATAGGGGTGCAGCCTGGACGGGGATTTCAAACATGTCATCGGATTCTTGGATATCAATTATACAGTCTTGGCAAGGACGTGACAAGAGGGTATAATATCCCAAAGTCTCCAAGCAATATAGGAAAGAAGACATTGTGAGTGTGTAGTCTTGCTATAAAAAGCGGATATAAGTCTCGATCAAGAAGTCCTCTTGTGGTGAGATCTGAGATATTGTGAAACTCATGTTGGTCGAGTAGTGTGTTTTACTTCGGTAGAGGACGTGATAAATAAAGAAGATGGGAGATGAGAGACATTCTGCTGAACGAAAAGACAATGTCTTATACTTATACTCCATACTGTACCCAGTCATCATGTTTCGTGTACCAGAGTTCTTACAATTGTAGCATGAGGCAGATACTTTGATGTTCCAAAATCATTGGCTCCGGGTTGGACGGTACAGCTGTACCACGGTTTGCGCACCATGGCCCGACGACGCTAGTCATCCTTCAAATAGGCAACTTATCACAGCCAGACTTGACGTATAATTGTCTTAATACTTTCTTGGTCGTATGTCGGGTGCATTTTTACTGCTTGGTTTGTTGGACGTTGTGTAACTACCCCTGGACCGAACGCAGTACGATTGTAGGCATCTCTATTTGCATAGTACAATCCAATCACGAAGGATAATCAAGGGATTAGGCATCATTCTGCAGCTTAGAGTACCCACACTTTGGTCTACAGATGTGTCCACTGCAGCCTAATCGGACCCAGTTGTGTTCATGTCATATCGGAAGGGCAGCCGGAACCACTGATCTAACCTCTGATGTGCACAGACATGCTGCACGACTTGGATCGGAATGTTAAGATGGAAATGTATCGGAAGGACTGTTAGTTTGGAGTTCGGGGTAATGGTATGGGATGAAGTTTGGATGGACTGGAGGAGACTGCCGATGCGATGCTAGGAAGGATGTGCGGAATTAAAGTGGGGTCGAAACGGAAGAGTATGATGTTCAGGAGTGAAAAGAAACTGCATAAATTGAGAAATTGCTCGAAAATGAGACTGAGATTGGACCAGAATGGTAGACGTGTAATTCTTTCGTATGCAATACATAATGCGACGTGACAGTTTGTAGGACTTGAAAAGTCGAAACCCAGAGGCGCCGGTACGCCAAACTTCCCAAGATTCAGAAAATGACCAATGATGATCCTATGCAACGTCTTATGTAATGTAAATGAGGTATAAAGTAATGCTGAATGCTGACTGTGTGATGAAGAAGGAAAACGCCAAACGCTATGACGAGTTAAAGATATGCGACCGTGAATCATTAGACGGCGACAGTGTGCGCGCGGAACAACATTTTCAAGCCAGAGGGCTCTTTTTCCTTTTTGCGGCTGCTCTCCTTGCCAGACCTGCTTGAAGCCTTGCTTGGAGCCACGCTGGGGGCTTTACTCGAGGGGCGTTTGCTCTCTGAGGTCTTGGTGGTCTTTGAAGTCTTTTCAGACTTGGTGCGATGTGACTTGTGTTTTGATTCGCTATGGGTGGTTCTCCTAGACCGAGTGCTACGTCGGGACTTGAGATCGTCTTCGTCAAGGACACCAGCATCGCAGAGTTGACGCGATGCTCCGGGGGTGATGAATTCGCCGTCGACACTGGTACCGGCGGAGTTTGCCTCGACGTCCGCAATGCCGCGACGCCACATCTCGACACGGCTGAGTTCCTGGGGCTGAAGTTCGTCCAATTCAAGGTTGGTATCTTCTATCGCGGCGACAGGGGGAGGGGCAGAGACCGGGGCAGTGGCGGCACGTGCGAGCATGGGCTGTGGGGGTGGTGCATCGTTCTGCTCTTGAATCTTCTTGATGATCTTGTATCCTCCAAGGGCGACGATGGTGACACCGACAGCGACACCGCCGGCAATCATGAACTGAGGACTAAGGAGGAGAGCAGCGACGGCGGGGAAGCTGCCCTTGAGCGTCATCAGGACGCCTGGACCCATCTTTCCTACAAGGGCGCTGAGCTCGGCAAGGGTGAGCGAGACAGCAGCAAGGGCTTCGGGGTTCTTCTGGAGGTTCTCGATCATAGCTGTGGCACTATGCTGCAGGCAGTTGGCCTCGTCGAGGAGGAGTTCAATCTTGGACGCCTTTTCCTGGAGCTCAAGGTCGTCATACTTCTTATCTGGCAGAGGGGGAGGGACATCGCCGTATGCGAGGTCCATGTCGATGTGAGCTTCCGACTTGGAGCGTTTTTTCTGGACCTGATGTTCTGAGCTGCGCCGGGCAATCTCCATGTTCTGACCTTCAGGCGCACTGTAGCCTCGCTCTATTGCTGGCCGGCCGGACTGTGACTTGGCGTGATGCGACTTCTTCGAGCGGTGCGACACATGGGAGCGGGCATCATCGTCGATACGGACGGCCTTGACGCCCTTGGCCAGCTCCCTCTCCTTGACTTGAGCATCACGCTCTGCCTTGATTTCCGCCTTGCGCTCACGATAGGCAGCCTTGGCCTCCTTGAAGACGTTAAATACGTGCTTGCTCTGTAGGCGGGTTAGGACTAGTATCGCGTCATGTGCGGGGCTAGCGTGCGACGTTGTACTTACACTGCTCACAACTTTTCCGCTCTTGTTGATGACTGTAATGGTCTCTCCGAGTCCTACGGCCATGGTTGTAGGGGCTTGCAGGTCCTGCAGTACACTGAGCGCGGGATGACGGGGTTTTGTGCGACGTGTGTAGGGGTTGCGGTGAAGATGGCGTGGTTGGTACTTGTCGCACCGGCCGGTGAAGCGGTCAAGACGTATCAGTGCTCGCGGAAACGGCAGCTGGCGCAACTCCACAGGGTTCCACCTAGACGGTCAAGTCGTCGCAGCACCGGCAGAGGTTATATGGGACTATAAGGGATTTTGACTCTTGGACTCTGAGCGCCAGGCTACCGGCGGCACTTTATCGGGAGCGCGCGTGGAGTGAGGCGATTTTCTAGCGACTGAGGCTTGCAGATGATGATGGCAGTGGGTGGAGCGCGGGGGGGGGGGATAAAAAGAGTGGCCGAAGCGAGATGCATCGAAGCCATTCACGAGACTGCCCGCATCGTCGGCGCATACTTTTCGTCGTGACTACCTGACGTCTTGCCCTGGTTGATGGGCTGCAGCGTTTAGAGTCAGCCAGTACGATAGCGGAAAGGCAGATGCGCGTGTCGCTCTGTTACAGGCACAACCCTTGGGCGCTAGAAGGTCGGACGGATATGCGGGCAGCGAGACGCTGCAGCTGAATTTGTGCGGCAGCGCATGCCATTGGTGCAGATGCCCAGCTGGCGACGAAGCTGCAGCCATGGTGAACGTGTCGCTGCTGGGAGTGGACGACTAGTCTCTGCAGCCTCAACTCTCGCGCGTGCTGATGCCATGGTGCAGGGCCATCTGGCAGCACTGACCCGCGTCTTGCTGCCCAAACCCCATCCTGGCAATCTGTAGAATCGAGCAGAATCGATGAGACCTGAGTCGAATTGTCCAGCTGGCATGATCGTCCCCAGGTTCAGTTCCCAGTTGGGACAGACGATATGCTCACACAGCCGGTTGGGACCGTGGCTGAGTGTGGCGGTACGTCGTCAGCGCGTGGTCGAGATGAAATCACTTGATGGCTCCTGAAGCGATTGGCAGAAGTTTCCTGCTGCAGCTGTGTTCCTGGTCGCCAATCTGGTTGCGACTGTTGATTGCGAAGATGCGTAATGGCCTAGACTCTTGAAACCGGCTGTAGATGCACTAAGCGTTCTGGCCGCACCTGCCCTACTTACTCTACGGGATGCGACTTCCTCAGGGGCTTTTCCGCTTTTTCACGCTAGCCGCGTACAGTACTGCCTAGAGACTAGAGTACACCGGAGCGAGGCATTATCGGCAATCGGTAATCCGTTGTCCACGGGTCAATCACTCAATCAATCATCAATCTTACCCAACAAGCACGTGACCTTGGCATCTTACATTACCTGTTACACGTATATGCTCCAGTTTACTTGGCCTTGACACCCGCCACGGCCGCGGTTGCCATGTTCCCACTTTGATTCTCCAGTGACTCTCCTGCTCCACCGACTCTCCACCGACTCCCCACCGACTCCCCACCGACTCCCCACCCGACTCGGGTTGGCATGTTGTGGCTGGGAACGTCCCAATCAGGCCCGATGATCATGGCTCTGTGTTGGTGACCTGCAGGCGCCACGGCAAACTCCCGCGACTTTATGCATGCTCCCGCGAGCCTCTTCCACGTCTCCCTGTAGCTGCGGCCAGATGCTGGTTCAAGTTGGCTACGACGCATACCTACAGTGCTGGAGCATTGCAACAAGAACACGTATCCGGCATTACCAATGGCTACATGCATGGTTCGATTGAACAAAAGTAAACAGTTTGGGGCTAATGTGATCGTCGTGTGCTTGCTGCCACAGCTGCGAGATCATGGTGAAAAAGGAAGCATTGATAAAGCCAGTCTGCCTCAGCTTCTCACCGCGTTCTTCTGGTGGCACATACATCGATAGCAGAGATGACGCCATCGCAGGGACGTCGCTCGCCATGTAGAAGGCGCAATACTGTCGCCATGGATGAGCAACAAGGCTCGAGCTCCTCTGAAGAGTCATCATCTGGTGATGAGACGTCCTCCGACATTACGCTGCACGAGATAGAAGAGGTCAATGAGTGCCTGCCTTGTCCTCCTCGTGTCGAGCCCATAGCTGAAGCCCCGATTTCGCTCTCATCAGAGATCGATTCACGTTACATCTTTCCTTTTCATCTCATCTCGGCCTGTAGCTCAGCAGGCCGACGCGCCGTCATGTGCACGCTTACGTCGCAGCAAGTTGCGACAGCCGTCCTTGGACTAAGAGGTACGTCAAGGTGCGCTGGCGGCACTTTGAGGGCATGAGCCGTGAGGGCATCAAGGAATAGCCCCGCAACCGGCGCACATGGACCCTGAATCTGCCGTCATCGCTTCCTGCCATCGCGAAACATTTACACGCGGCCATGCACGCGCACCATCGCCAAACTTCAGACCAGGCTGACCATGCCAGCAGCAGTGCCTCCACACAATGACACCCCCGTGGAAACAAAGGGCACGGAAATTGCGGGGCCGAATGCCATTCGGACGCCTGTCCAGGCGCATCGCATGAAGCACGACAAGTCGATTCTTGCTCTAGCCGTATCTCCACGATATATTTTTGCCGGTACACAAGGCGGCGAGATCCTGGTACGAGGGCTGAATCATGTAGCGGCCGAAAAGCTGATGGCGTCTAGGTATACAGTCTCGACACGTATGAGCGCCGGAGCGTCATTCACGCGCACAAGGGCAGCGTACTCGGCTTATGCCTTTCGCAAGACCGGAATTGGCTCTTCTCGAGCGCGGCAGATCCCATAGTCAATGTTAGTGTATGCCAGAACGTAGACGGGACGAATACTGACCCTTCAGGTATGGTGCACATCAACCTTCAAGCACCTGTACGCCTTGTGGTCGCCCTACGACATCGGGGACATATTCTGCGTCGCATACTCGTCATACCACCGCGCCGTCTACTTTGGCGCTCAAAACACTAGTATACAGGTAGGGAGGCTTTTTGCGGTCCGTGTGCATGCTGACGGTGGCAGTGGTACGATTTGAAAGAGAAAGACACCCGACCAGCCCCGAGCCTATCCTCCCATCCAGCCGAACGCAAAAACAAATTCTTCGACTCGCTCGGTCCTGGTGGCGCACAAACACCGAGGCCAAGCGGTGCGGACAGCAAACCACGACATGCCGTGGGTGGACAAGAGCTTCAAGTTGACAGCCATGACATTTGTCAATTTGCGCACTATGGATATGTCCATTGCATGCTCTTGGGGACTGGTATACTGCCGGACGCACCATCGGAAGAAGTCCTCATCTCTGGAGGTGGAGATGGGCGCATATTGCTTTGGCGGATAGATCCGAAGCGGCGTGGAGCCATCTCGACTATCTGCACGCTCGAAGACGGAAGAGAAGAAGGGGAATCGATTCTGTCTCTCGCCAGGGAGGGCTCGTTCCTCTACAGTGGACGCTTCGACGGCGAAATCAACGTATGGGACCTAGAGACACGACAACTAGTCCGGAGTCTCAAAGCGAGCACTGGCGATGTGCATACGTTGACTTTGGGCGCCGGTATCCTCTACGCCGGCGGCAAGACGGGTATCATGCAGGTAAGAGTCAAGGCAGCAATGCGTCAGCAATTGCTAAAATTATCAGAAATTCAACGAACATTACGAATCCGTCACGACCTTCAAGGCGCATGACGGCCTGATTCTCGCTTCCGCAATTGCCAGGTACAGCGAAAAACCTATTCTCGTCACGGGCGGCAACGATAATACCGTGGTAATATGGGAAGTAAAGGATTGCGCTGAGCCGAGTGCCGCTACCCGAAGAAGCAATAATGGTGCGTACACGTCGGTATGCCTCATTTGCTCGACTAATGTATGACGCAGATCTCATGGTGGAGTCCTTGGGCCAGTTCGTCTCTTTTCGGACCGTATCTTCGCTGCCCAAGTACCGCGCAGACTGTCGCAGAGGTGCATCGTATCTCCGGTCCGTCTTTCAAAATTTTGGCGCTGTCACCGAGATGATAAATACAAGTGACTACAACCCTATTGTCTTCGCCAAGTTTCGCGGCAACCCGGCAACGGCGGCATCGCGGAAGAAGATTTTATTTTACGGTCACTACGATGTCATTGCTGCAGAAAACGAACATCGCAAGTGGAAACACGACCCCTTTACCTTGACTGGCGAAGGGGGTTATTTGTATGGTCGCGGTGCATCTGATAATAAAGGACCAATCATGGCCGCGATATATGCGGCACATGAACTGGCCAATGAGCAGAGCCTAGACTCCGATATCATCTTCCTCATCGAAGGAGAGGAGGAGAGTGGCTCGCGTGGGTTCGAAAAGGCTGTGAAAGCCAGAAAGGACCTCATTGGCGATGTTGACTGGATCCTCCTCGCCAACAGTTATTGGCTAGATGATCATGTGCCATGCCTGACGTACGGACTTCGGGGTGTCATCCATGCCACAGTACAGGTTGAGAGTAAGCATCCTGATTTGCACAGCGGTGTCGACGGTAGTGCGTTACTCGATGAGCCGCTCAAAGACCTCGTCATGCTGTTATCCAAGTTGACTGGCCGTCATGGCAAGGTCCATATCCCAGGCTTCTACGATCCAATTCTACCCCTGACAGCTGATGAAAAGGACCTGTACACTGAGATTACAGAGACTTTGTTGCGCAGCAATCCAGATCTAGGCGACCCAGAAGAACTGGCACAGTCGCTTATGCGTAGATGGCGAGAGGCCTCACTCACCATCCATCGCTTCCAAACTTCTGGTCCAGAGAACTCGACCATCATACCGCGACTTGCCAAGGCTGCTTTATCTATACGTCTAGTACCTAACCAAGAAGCCGGCAACGTGGCTGAGAGTTTAAAGGTATTCCTACAAGCTGAATTCGACGAGCTTGATTCAAAGAACAACCTCAAACTCACCATCGACCACCAAGCCGAGCCGTGGCTGGGCGACTTCAACAATGAAATCTTCCAAACACTCGAGCGCGCCATCATGAACGTATGGGGCCCCACTCTCGGCCAAAGAAGAGAAAGCACAGCAGCACCGGATTACTTCTCCTCGTCGTCAAAAACAGCAGATGAACCTCCAACGCCCACAACCAAACACACTCCCACACCCGCAACATCAAACACCCTTGCCAACTCCTCCGACCCAGCCCTCACCACCTCTACCCCATCATCCGGCACGTCAACGCCACACCCCACCACTGGAACTGACACCGCATCTCGCAAACCCCTGTACATCCGCGAGGGAGGCTCTATCCCCAGTATAAGGTTCCTGGAAAAAGAGTTCAACGCACCCGCTGCGCATCTACCCTGCGGTCAGGCGAGCGACAGCGCGCATTTAGATAACGAGCGTCTGAGATTGGTCAATTTGTACAATAGCAAGAAGATCTTTAAAGAAGTGTTTCGGGAGTTGCCTAAGCGATGAGAGAGAGCCCTTGTACTGCTCTCCAACTTGCGGGGGTAGCAGAAGTAATTTGCATTTCCAGGGATGTGTGTGGCGTGGATACTGGGAGGTTAGAAGGGAGGGGGCGTTGAGGGCGTTTGTGTATGTGACTTTTGCAGTAACCTCTAAGAAGGGGTGAAGGCCATACAGCCTACGATCTGCACGTTGCGTGATTGTGAATATGGAAAACGTCGCGATAAACACTGGTGTCTTCAAGTTCGTAGACTTGCACGTGTTTTTTGTCGCTGTTGAAATGGAGCTCACCTTTTTTCAAGGTGTTCTCCATGGTATAATACTCTCTTCATAGATCTGTTCATCCAACATGTTATTCTACCCTACTTTCGTTGTAAACATGACATAAGACACCTCGTTCTTCTCGGCCGGCTCAACATTCTCATCACACATGTACATCCTCGGTATTCCCCCATCGGGCCACCCCGCATTACCTACCAGTGCTAACGCTACCCTTCCATGGTTAACCGAACACCAACCCCGCAACTTTGTAGCACAACAACACTTGTCGCACATAGAGCCTCGTGCCTGCCTTGTGTGATTTCTGGAGACAGGGTGTAAATAGTTGAATTGTTGCTAGTAAACGTTGCTAGTAGAGAAGCACGGCGTACGCACGTGCAAAGCTGACGGGAGCCGATACCGGCCGCGGAGGGCTGAGGGATACACGAGTGTAAATCATAGCAAGTCTGTTTATGATATTTTGTGTTGGGGTTGGGTCGTACGTCTTTCTCTCTTTTGCAGTTTTTTTGTGTGAGAAAGGAAAAAAGAGAGAAATTGGTCTAGAAGATTCGTGAGATTAAAGACTTGAACGAGAAAAGAGTGGGAAGAACTGAGATTGGGGGAATAGGAGGAAAGAGACAAGGTACATATAAGGCGGGACACTCTTGAGACGGTTACTGTCGATATATAACTATCCAACCTACCTACCTACCGATCCCACAACGACCACGACTTTCGATTTTACCTCCACCCACCCACCACCAAAATGGGTGTGTTCTACGAAACCATCCCCCCATCCCTCCACCCATGGATCCTCTCTCAACAACTCCTCTTTGTAGCCACGGCGCCCCTCTCCCCCACCGGCCACATCAACCTCTCCCCAAAAGGCGGCTCAAACTTTGGCATCCTCTCACCCACCAAATTCTGGTACATGGACCTAACCGGCTCCGGCGTAGAAACGCACGCACACCTACACGAGCCATCCAACGGTCGCATCTGCATCCTCTTCCTCGCCTTCAGCGGACCCCCCAAGATCGTGAGAATATGGGGCACTGGCCGCGCCATCGAGAACGGAACACCTGAATACGAGGCCTTTGTGCAGGAGCATAAAGTGGAAACGATTCCAGGGAGTAGAAGTATTATTATGGTGGATGTACACCAATGTGGGACAAGCTGTGGATTTAGCGTTCCTTACTATGATTTCGTTGGCCATAGGGATATTTTGAATGAGCATTTTCGCAAGAAAGATGAGAAGTTCAAGAAAGGAGAGGAGAAGGAGAGTATGGATTTTTATTGGGCGCTCAAGAGTCAGAGGAGTATTGATGGGTTGCCGGGTATGAGGAGGGGAGTCGCTTTTGCGGAAAGGAATGGAGTGGTGCCTATTAAGAAGATGGTGGGGAGGTGGGCGCCGGAGAATAGGAGGGAGAGGGGTGGGGAGAGGGAAAGGTTGGGGGTGCTGCATTTGTTGTTGGTTTTGGTGCTTGGGGCGGTTATTGGGGCGGCAGGGGTGTTGAGTTTAGTTTCGGAGGAGGGGCTGAGGGGGTTGAGGGAGATGGGGAAGGTGTTTTGAGATGGGGCTGTGAAAGAGCTGTGTGGATGTGCGCTTTCGAAGTCGTTTGCGCGATTGTTTGGTATCGCATAAGAGTTGTCAATTTAGACGGCTCGTTCGGTTTCCGTTAACTGGACTGTGTTACGGGTTTGTAGATGTGCATACTAAAATTCTAGTCAATGGGCGAATACACTGTTTGCTATGATCAACGACTGTGAGATCCAAGAAAGGGTCGTAGCATCTGGTCTGTTCGCTGCAGGATTTGCCAGGGCAGTAGTGACATTGCATCAAGAACGCTCGTACGAGATATCGTGGCGTTCCTAAGTCTTGTAAGACGTACCTGGACACCTCTGCCCTTCTTCGAACCATGTGGTGCACGCGACATGTCGTTTCACAACTGCCACCTCCTTCCTACCTTACACGTTGTCCCGGTCGATCAGGCGTCCTGTATATCCTCACTATTACGCAAGGCAAATGAGTAGTACATGTTGCCAAGCCTGAGCGCCATTGATGTTTGTCAATAGACGGAAGACCGGCATGTCGCTCTTACTTGATGAGGTGCTCCCTTCCCACATGTGAGACAAATGATAAGGAGTGCTGATCGGTGATTCTGTAGAAGTCTGCCAAGGTGTGAACTTGAGCCGTACTTGTGCATGTGTTTCATTCCCGAGCGGATATACTCGGTGACTTTGTTCAGCAGATACAGCAGGATCTACCGCTCCTCCTAGGCACAGCGAACAAGCCTAGGACAAAAGCTCGAACTATGTATAGCTGTGTATGGGATCGCTCTGTTTCTAATCAATGATTTATGGAGCGGCAGTTAAGCGATAGGTAGTGGATTGTCTAGTATATTGCTCGCGTAGTTGCTATAGGGTTTGGTAAGGTGTGTGTGGAGTCTGGGGAAGGTGGGAAGTTGCAAGTGGGCCGTTTTACCTAATCAATCCTCTTGGCTAGGCGGAGCGACAGTCTCGTACGGGTACACATGGAGATTTGAACGGTGCTGTTCACGGTTGCTGATGGTTCATCGGCACCGCCCGCGCGCCGAGCCTGGGCAGCATTTATAGTTTGAAGTGTTGCGACACCCACGTATGTGGACGGGCTCCGAGTCGTATCAATAGGTTGGCAGCCGTTGTTGGATACGGAGTGTTCACGTGCATCAATGCCTGCCTCGGTTTAATCAGCGTAGGGTTAAGCGAAATGGCGATCTTTAATCCTTCCAATCCCCGCCTTCCGCTCTATCATCCCAACACACCACACCTCATTAGCTGCAATCAGCGAAGGAGCAAGCCGCTGTGAGGGATGCGCATGTCTATCAACTGCACCGCTTCAACAACACCCACGGAGTCGTATTGTCTCTCGAAGGATTGGTTGAGTCAGGCCTTGCATACGCCCGTCTGGGTGTGTGGCACTAAACGTCCTCGAAAACTCTTGTTCCGTGGCTTTTCGACTGTTGGCCAAGACGGCAATGCTTATCTCGATGCTTCAAAGGTACCGTTGCATCCCCTTGCCGCGTGCTCATCTACGGGTGACAATAGTAGTAATAGAAGAGACGGCAGTCCCGTGGTCCAGGTCGTCGGCCATACACGCAAGCTTCGGGAACCAAATTGACTGGATAGTGCATCTCGACAGCCTGATGGACCTGGTGTTGGAGATGGCCTGGGTCCTGTAGTGCATGGGGCAAATCTTGGCATAGCGCTATAATTGGCTAAAGTCACAAGCTTCTAGCCCTGGACCTATCCTCCATCGGGAGCGGAGTCGTCTTTACAGACTTACCATCTCAACCAGTCCCGTCCCAAAAGCTTCTGGAAAAGCCCATGTTGGTTCTCAGGCGCTGGTTCGATACTATTGCCCGTAAATACCCGCCATTGCACGCCGAAAAGCAAGGGTGCTGATACCACGACAATGGCGTGTTTGGTCGTACCATACGCCGGGTCCGCGAGCGAAGCAAATGGTAGTTGGAGGCGTAAATTAGCGGTTCTAGGCATTGCTTGGGGTTGCTCGCGGGGTACTGGAGTCACCCGCATTAGGAAGGAGCTAAGTAGATGAAATGCATCAAAGGCGCCACTGCGAATTGTTATCTTGGAAATGGTAAGCTCTCTTGTGATGCTGCTTACCAGTGGTGGCTAGCTACTTGGCAAGGCTTGAGCTGACCATGACGCCTCGGCGATGCATTGCGAATTCAGTATCGTGCCGCACATGTTGCTCGCGCGCCGAGTACTGTCTGGGGCATATCAGCCGCCGTGGCGATATGTTTGCTGATGACGAGGCCGTGGTGAAGGAGTGAAGATGAAGCTAATACCTGCCCTAGTGTGCCCTCCTTCCTTATCAAGCCCGAGCCTATAGAGTACGACGCTGGACTCTCCCGTTGCGTGATCACATTAAATGCACCACCACCGCCCAACTTTTGGTTGAACAGGGTCTCTCTATTCCTCGCTGCATCCCCATCCTCTCTCTCGTGGCTGCTAGCAGCAACAGTCAACCACGATTCACCCCGACTGTCAATTCACACGCCCATCATGCCTATTGGTGACGCCGGTGAAGTTGTACGTGATACTGTCATATCAAACCGTTACCACTGCTAATTACCCCTGCAGCAAGCTGTAGGCTTGGACCCCTCTCTCATTGACGCCTCGGGAGACCCAACGCGCAAGCACCCCGAGCTTCACACAACTACTGCACCTGCCTACCTCCATTCTGAGGGCAAGGCGACACTCCAAGACAGCTACCTCGACGAGGCCGATGACTTCCCCACCACAGAGGAGCTCGCGACTCTTCGCCGTGTTCCTGCCAGGATCCCGTGGAAGATCTTCACTGTACGCAATTCCTATGCAGAGCGCACGTGACACAGTTGTTGACTTTGCAATTAGATTGCCTTTGTTGAATTGGTCGAGCGCATGAGTTACTACGGAACTATTGCTGTGTACTCCAACTTTATTGCCAAGCCATTAGTGACGCCTACTGGAGCTGCTCTTAACCCAGACGATGCTGAGGCTCAACCTGGTGCCTTGAACATGGGCAAACAGGTGGCTTTCAGCTTGACCACCTTCAACGCCTTCTGGGTCTACGTCTGCCCTCTCCTCGGAGCTTGGATCGCCGACACGTACCTTGGTCGTTACAAGACCATTCTCTACTCCGTCCTCGTTGCCGAGATTGGTCACTTGATCCTTGTCGCCTCCGCTGCCCCCTCTGTTCTCAAGAACTCGAACACTTCCCTCGGTGTTTTCATTCTCGGTCTCATCATCATGGGTCTCGGAACTGGAACATTCAAGCCCAACATCGCCCCTTTGATTGCCGAGCAAGTTCCTCAGGAGAAGATGCGTGTTGAGACCCGCGGTACAGAGCGTGTCATTGTTGATCCTGCTGTCACTGTCACACGTATTTACAGTAAGTCTTCGTTTTTGTGGAATCTACTGAATACCAACTAATTCTGTTTCTAGACTGGTTCTACTTCTTCATCAATATTGGTGCCCTGGTTGGTCAAATCAGCATGGTGTACGCGGAAAGATACGTTGGCTTCTGGCTGGCATACCTGATCCCCACCATCATGTTCATTATCGCTCTCCCAGTTCTCATCTTCTGCAAGAAGTTCTATATTCTCCGTCCCCCAAGCGGCAACGTCATGGGACCAGCTTTCAAGCTCCTCTTCAAGGCTCTCGGCAACGGAATGAGCGTCAACCCAGTCACCACCTACAAGAACTGGAACTCAGGCACTATGTGGAACGCCGTCAAGCCCTCCACTCTTGGCGCCAACAAGCCATCCTGGTACAACTTTGACGATGCCTGGGTTGATGAGGTTGCTCGTGGTTTTGCTGCCTGCTCCGTCTTCTTCTGGGTCCCCATCTTTTGGCTAGCTTACCGCCAGATGGACTCCAACTTGACTCAAATGTGCGGTACCATGCATCTAGGCGGTGTTCCCAACGACATTCTCTCCAACTTGGACCCTATTGCCATTATCATCATTGTGCCCAGTAAGCATTGCTCTTCTATATCGATCTGAATCAACTGACAACCTTCTAGTTATGGATAGCCTTATTTACCCATTCCTCCGCAAGCGAGGCATCCGTTTCACTCCCATCAAGAAGATTACCGCTGGTTTCATCCTCGGAGCTTTTGCCATGGTCTGGGCTGCCGTTCTCCAGCACTACATCTACAAGACCTCCGGTTACTACGAGACCCACGACCCCAAATACAAGTCCGGCATCACTGTCTGGGCCGTCACCGGTGTCTACGTTCTCATTGCCATCTCTGAGATTTTCGCATCCGTGACAACTCTCGAGTACGCCTTCACCAAGGCACCAAAGAACATGAGGTCGCTCGTCCAGTCCGTCCAGCTCTTCACCACCGCCTTCTCAGCTGCCATTGCCCAGGCCTTTACTCCCCTCACCGCCGATCCCCACATTACCTGGAACTACGGCAGTGTGGCCATCATCTCCTTCGTCACCGGTATCGCCTTCTTCTTTGCCTACCGCACTATGGACAAGCAGGAAGACCAGCTCAACCTGCTGCCCACCGGTCACCTTGGCACGGAGGGTCAGGCCGCTGACATCGAGGCACGCCAGAGCGTCAACGAGGAGAGGCGCGCGAGCCTTGCCGCAAACCACGCTTCTGAGAAGATCTAAGTTTGTGCACGTACATGGTTGTTAATGCAGTGATGCCGATGAGAGTTTGAATGGCTCTGGAACGAAATATACCCCATTTAGTCGTAATGTAGGAAGCTAGATATGATGGCAGTGAGTACACTGGTTCTTTAGAAGCCGTGCTATTTGCTGATTTATCTATCTAATGCGAACACCTAATACCAAACATAAAAAAATATTGCTGACATTAAATCGCCCACGTGATGTGTCTTTGTTGCGGGATGACGACGCTGGGATGGGCCGTGCGAGCTAGCGCATGACGCTACCCAGTTCTCTTCTTACCAGCCACTCCATTTCGTTCTCTTCTATCGTCCTAGTTCGCTCCACCCTTACGTGTCTGCGTCTTTCGCTTCTCTGATGGGCCATCTCCGGGAGACGCTTCGCGCTTCTTTCCCTTTTCTTTGGCCCCTTCTGGCCCTGCAAAAGGCTCAACCATCCAATTGAACGGCTCCCATTCCATTTTTCTACGCTTTTCGTAAGGCGTCGCAGCTAGACGCGTATATGTCAGATATGCATCTAGTAACATGTCAAAGCTATCAGCATCGAGACGAGACCAAGTCTGCTCAACACGATTAACGCGATACACTGGCGTCAGATGACTCAGTGAAATCAGAGAATACTCGCGCGGCTTAAAGAATGACCTTTTATCAAGTCTAGCCGCGAACTCGATTGGCACGTGGCGATGCCGCTCAGCAGCGTCCTTGATCGACGCGTCAGTCTCGTTACCCTTTTGTGCCTCCAGTAAGAGAATGTACTGAGTTGCTTCCTGCCAATGGTGCTTGTTCACACCCTTGTTTTCGAAGCTGTAGATTGGCAAGCAGGTATAGAAGCTGGAGGGCCCGCTATGAATGCCTATCACAACGGCGTATCGATCTCCATAGTACACAGGTACCTCGCCTCCATAATCTTTTCTATCAGCGTAGCAGAGACCATTCTTCTTGAAATCGTCTGGTCGTGGTTTCTCCACCCGGCACTGTTCGATGACAGGGATGTTGACGATATCTCCGCAGCGGATCTTGCGTTTATTACCAGTCCTATGAGGCTGGCATGGTTGTCGAGCAGGCGTGTCTTGTACACGAAAATCGGAGATCGCAACGCGAGATGAGGTAGCCGGGACGAACGGTTGTGCGTGGATTTTTCGATTTAGCGGTGTGAGATCAGGGCTGTTATGAAGTCCCTGGGGACATGTGCCGGCTATTGCTTCTGCATAGCTTCTACCACAATGGCACTCTTCGGACGTTTGGTTTCCAGGCATGTTCAAAGGTTTCTTTTGTCAGTTTCTATCTTTCGGTCTAATTATTGAAGGAAAAATATGGAACGACAGATATGGCGTACGGGAATCCGTATCTGAGACAATGTTGATATTTCCCGAGGCTGAGACTTCGACACCATGCTTCACAATTGAGACATGCTGTGTCTTCGATGATTGAGGAGGAGGGTTCCTGTCCACTCATTTTTGGCTCACAAATCAAATACCATCAAAGAGAAGGGGGTATCTGTACCGATTGGAAAGCTGCAATTCTACTGTTCAACTATGGAAAGTCGCTCTAGAAACTAGCTCACAATGTTGCTAGTGAACTTGAGACTCGCGCAATCTCTCTCTATTCACCACTACTATCGAATCGGAGTCGCCTAATCCTAGCCGCAAAATCTTCGCTAGTGGCAGCTGGAAATGATACCTCAAGCCCATACAGTATGGATACTCTATAGCACTGTTCTGCAGTTGTAGCTATCATTGATTGCTAAAGATCCCATAGAAGGTATGTTTCGGCGATACTTGCGTATCGTATCTAATCAGAATGGGTACGCAGAGCTCCAACATTGGAACCTGGATAGGATAGATGATGGCCATAACGAAGGTCACGAAATATGCCACACTATCGGTTTGTGAGTGATGCAGGGAATTTCAGAACGATGACGCAGGCCCCGCTACTGAAGCGTAAAGGCGGTGGTTCCGCACGTGATAACCATCTTTGAATGCGATTTTACGATGACACAGCTGCACAGTGAAGTCTTCTGCAGCATACCCGCCTTCACCGCGGTACCGTCCCCCAGCGACGACCCATGGAAACCCTCCTGCAGGGCCAACCACACCACCTTACCCGCCATTCGCAACAACTAAACCCACCCATCCAACACGCAACCTTGCTCAGCCACATCAGACCTAAAGCTCTTGCTAATACCAACCGCACTCATCTCACACACTTTACACGAAATATCAACAATCATTATGTCTACAGTCGGTGAAGGTACATCACCTTCCTACCGCATCGCCAGTTTCCTCGTCTCCGCACTGACAGACACCACAATCTACATCCAAAACCGGTACAACGAACATATGGAGAATGCACGTCTCCGGGCAATCAGGGAAGCGGAACGTGCCGAGGAGCTCCGGCGTCGACCTGCAGATTACGAAGAGGAAGAGTTGATGGGCGATCGCGAAGCTGCTGAAGGCATTCTCCGCCCACAGTGAAGGACTCTCAGAGAACCATTGGACTATTTCGGCGCTGGATTTATCGGCATAGTACCAGGAGCGGCATGGAAAGTCAACGGTAATGCCGCTATGGAGGTAGATTCTGCTGTCAACTTCTCCACATTTGCATTTTCTATCATCGGTATCGACACCGGGAGTTCTCGCGCAAAAGGCACACGGTGTGTTCGGATGGAATGGACAATTACGGCTCAGTACATGAGCATAGCACCGGGATACAACAATTACCGGATGTCAGCTAGGGATATGCAAGATGCAGGTGGTCTTGCGATCGCGAAGTAGGGCAGTGGGGTCTCATAAGTTCCGAATGATACACTCTCCTTGCGTATTTTTTTCAACATGCGCCAGCGTGGATGGCCGTGTCTTGGTACCGAGTACCAGTGTGCGCAACTTCCGAGCCTGTCTTGCTCTGTCTGAGCTCCGGTGAGTGATCTTCCGAATACTCTCTACCGGTAAATCGATGGATACCTAGCGGCTAATTAAATTACAAATATTCTATGAGGTGAATTCTCAATGTGAGAATTGTTGATATTGCGCTGTGATGCTGACGCACGTCTCCGAAGATACGTTTCGCTGTGCCAAGACGCTAGATGACGTAACATTGAATGGTGCATATGTTGTCACACCCAGCAAAGTTACTTCGATATCTCTTTGATGCTTTATATTCATTGGTATCATTATTGAATTGTTTCAAATGCTACCGCTCACTAATGCGATGTGCTTCATTGTTGCCCAAGAATGGTGGCTTGTTGATGTGATTTAGCGCACTTCCCGCTCTCAGCCACTCCCGTTGTCCATCGCTGTAAGTGTGGCTCAAAAGTACGCTCCACTTCTTTGGCTCCGTTGCGCGATACGATAAGATTATCATATGTATTGTGGTCGGCATTTTTACTTTTAGAAGAGGCGAGTATCGAAAGAGCTCAGTAGAGCTCTCGTCAAAATCACCTTTGGAAGACATGCGCTGATGGACATAGTGCCATAGTCGCTGCCGCATCATGACATTCAACTCAACTTGACTGGAAATCTAACAATATCTCTCCACACCTGATGTCCTGTGAATGTATAGGGGTGATTGTGGAGAATCTTTTCCGTCAAGGCTAACGGGTGTCACAAACCTTGCCCAACTGAGTCGAGCTGAAACCATGCGGTCATAATCGAGTGGCATATAAAGACTTAAAAGGATTACATCGACGCAGCAAATTCGCGGGCCATCGCAATACCACTCACTCCCTAGGGTGTCGATAGCGAGCGGGCTGTCGCGAGAAATCCACATGCGCATCATGGGCGAAGGCTGATGACACGCGTGGGGAGCCGATGACCAGAAGATTGCGCCACAAAGTTATTATGGATCTCAGCCGTAAAGTAGTCCCCTTATTCCAAGATGCGCTAGTACACCGTCCAGGGCACGCTCTGTTCGTTTTCTAACCTAAAGAAGACTTCCATCGACGAGACATCTGTGTCGCCTCAGCTTCTGTTTTCCTCACTCCGAAGCAAGCTGGGGTACGCTTACCGCCACTATATTCAGGAGCATATATTCTGAATAGCCAAGCCAAAGGTTATACGTTGATACATAGAAGAGCATGAAACGACGTCCTTACGGTCATCATTTGTCGGCTTACGGACTTGATATTGTTTTTGCGAATAAACTTCCTTTGGTTTACAGCAATCACGCGCTCAATCAATATGGTGATTCATTTGCTAAAAGACGCCCGAACTATAGACACAATCGAAAAGACTGAAGCAGTCGGACCAGTGGCATATACAGTACAGTGAATCACGTTTCTTCGTTGCCGATTCGCACGACTCATTCTCTTGATTCACGTCGACATGAAACATTGTCTCTGCTACTCAGCCCCAAATCACATCTCGCTCGTTGCTCCTGCTTGCCTTATCTTTCACTTCACATAAAAGGGCCTTTTAACAGTACTTGGCCGCTACCCGAATAGCAGATAACCAAAATCTAAAGTTGTGTTCTTTCTGCTAACCTTCACAAACCTGTTGCTTGGAAAATCATGTTTCGCAATCACTGCACAATGTCTCTTACTCGAGTGTGCAAGTAAGACAATGCCCAGCCACTAAGACAAAGGCGCCTCTTAGATCGCACGCTCGTCATGACGAATAGCTTGTATACAAAGAAGATTCCTTGTTCTTGAATTCATCTACCTTGTTCGCGTTCTGGCTTTGTCAATATTGGATTTTGATATCTCTCCGCAGCTCCCGCTTTGGTTCTCATCACGGGCTCGAAAACACACCATCGCAACGACACCCTCAGATCGCAATTCCCCACCAAGACTTGACTAGAAAGAGACCAGTGAACCAGGCACGGAATCATGTCTCCATCGCAGTCTTCCATACCTACCTCCCCATCATCCCTCATCCACTCTATCCAACAAAATTGGTCTCTTGAGACCTCTACCTCAATCCTTCCCCAATCCCTCCTTTCCAACGATACATCTACACAAATCCCCCTCCCCCTTCTACATGCCCTGGATACTCTCTCATCTCTGACTCCCGACCAGCCGGACCGCGCATATAGTTTGCTGAACACTTATTTCCACGCGCGCATCCGGCAAGGGTCATACAGAGGGACACAAGGAGCGATAGTCGCAGGGCTAGAAGTGGATGATGTAGAAGCGGCATGTGACAGTGTGAGAAGGATGATGAGGGGGAAGGAGATGCAGGGTGTAACTAGTGAGACAGAAAAGGGAAAAGGAAAGAGGAAGTACAGTATTCGACAGGAACGAGAGGATGGTGACGATGACGAGAATGACACCATGGTGTCCAAGACTCAAAAGCTATCCTACGAGTATACCAGCAGCGCAGTCGACGACAAATTTCACGCCCTCCCATCACCATCCCTGACCGTCTCCACTGCTACGATAGAAAAGGAACAAGACAACACAGCTACGGCCCTCGCACCCGTAACACCACGCACAAAACGCCTCATCCACCTCCCACCAATCCGCACATCCCATATCACTACGCCCATCACCGCCTCCCTACCCTCGGCACACACAACAAGTTTCACCCCCTTGTTCAACTCTTTGAAACAAGAAGTCGGATACACATATACCCCACCGCCGATAGTGTATACCCCGCATCCTTCCCACACTCCGAATCCCAATCGTCCTTACTACAGACCACAACAACAACAGCGACAGCCAATTCCCCAACATCACCATTACCCCACCACCGAAGAAATCATGAGAGAAAGGAAGCGCGAGCAAATACTCCAAGCCGCTCAACGCGCAACCCACAATTTCAACGTCTTGAGGCGGGACACGGAGCGCTTGGGTCGTGCGTACGAGGAAGCAAGGGGTAGGTGTGAGGAGGTGAGAGGCAGGATGGAGGGGCTCTGGTGGAGGGCTGGGTGGAGAGGATGAAATTTGAGTGTTGCATGTACAGGTTGAGTAGGGATTTCACATTCGCTAGAAACAGCATTGTCTACTATGTAGTCACGAATAAAATATTTGATTTATCAGAAGATCGTTACAGTGCCCCCGGATTTGGCCAATACAGGAGGTTCCTTCCCATCTCATTCATTCGTATATATAGACACTGTCCATTACCCTCCTTCTCCGTTCGCCTTCCACAACTAGCTCTCTCACCAAATCCCCACAGAAGTGTGTAACCGGTGTGCACAACAACTAAAATTTCGTCCTACATATAAACAGCTTCAGTAACGTCTGTAGTTGACGTAACAGCCCTTCGTGCTGTCACGGCGGAAAATGCATAAGTAAACAATTGGTTTCCGCAACAATTTCCCATTCTGGTTTGGCTTGCATGGAAAACTTGTGTCGTAATGATTACTTATACTAACAGTGAGGTAGTCTTATCTTGAGGCAGATGGGAAGGGTGGTCAGCCCTGTGCAAGTGCGATATCAGATGTTGCACTTGGGGTGTGCGGGGCATCGCTAGACTCCGCTGTGGAAGATGTTTAGCGTAGAAGGTATAGGTATGGAATGTTTTAGATCATGGAGCTTTCCCAATAAATGAAAGCAAAATTCTCGCTATTACTGCGCACGTGCTGTTGTTGGTAGTATGATGTGTTCCTAGGTCGCAGTGAGGGCCTCGCCAAAGCGACAATACTAGGGTGATCGGACCCTACATCTCATACAATCATGTTAACGCAACTGTGCCGTGTTTTACATTGGGGCTGGGTGGATGGAGTGAGTATGATGTGTCGTATGTGGTGGAACCTGGTTGGTGTTGGGTGTATGGGTTGACTGTTAGGGTTTGACTATATACTCATGACTTCACCTCGTTGGCTTTGCGTTCTGGTCAGCAACTTCCTTATTCTACGCTGCGACTGTACGCTCTTGGCCGTAACTTCCTGGTTCATCCCTCTTCGCTCCTTCCCTTCGACTCTACCCTCTTGGCATCTTTGTCTTGCCTCCTTCCTTTCGACTGCATCGTCTCAGATCCGCCGTATTGACTCATTTTCTTCCTACGTCTCTTGCTGCATGCCCTTGACTTCACCCTCATGGCTGTGCCTTCTCTTTCTTACAGTACACCGCCAGTTGCACCTTCTTGACTCCATCCTCTTGACTCCACCATGGACTCATGTCAATGCTCATGCTCATCTCCCACTTACCTCTTAGTCCCACATCCAACTCTCTATGACTCTCTCCTTCGCCATAGCCTACTTAATGCGTCCTCCAGCCTCTAAACTCGACCTCTGCAGCCAACCCTTTCCACATTCAGCAACACAAACACACCATCTTCTTCATATTTACGCAAGACCGACAAACCAAACAACCTCTCTCCCATCTACTCCACAAGCCCATCAAAATGTACGTTCCCACACCACCCCTTCCACCTTCCCATACCCATCCCCGCTAACCTCCTCTTAGGTGCTTCGACTCAGAGAAACAGGCCAGGATCGATTTCGATGGCAGAGGCAACCACCGAGTGCGTTGGCTAATAGTGAATCCAAATGACGACTGTTGGTCACCCCATTGCCCGACTTCGTCGCAACATCCGGATAATATAGGTCGGACGGCGGCCTCGACGGCGAATACGAGGAACACTACGTCGGGTGGTTCGGCTGGTTCGGCTGGTTCGGGTAGCGGTTCGAATACGAGGAATACTACGTCTGGTGGTTCGGGCAGTGGGGGGAGCTCGTCGAACACGGGGAACAACAGTTCTAGCTCTCGATCTCGATCTTAATCCGCCAAAGAACATGGATATATGATCTTGAGAGGGACAACATATCTAGCAAAGGGCAGGTGTAGTAATGTGCAATGGATAACAAATGACGGATGGTGAATAGTTGGTATGAAGTAATAGACTTGTAAAGTAGGTTCGAAATACAAACCTACACTCTTCACACATTCTCTACACCCACACACCCAATCCAAACCTTCCTCTACTTCACTCGCATATCACTCATATCTTTACCATCAAGTCTCACACCAAAGTAGCACTTTGCATAATCTTAACATTTCATTCATCATGACCATCATCCTTCTCGTGGTCTAGATCATTCACACCATCAAGATAGCCACTGTCTACTTAAACTCCTTCATAAACTCCTCATGAAACTTGACAATCCTGCCTGTCCAGTCCGTGCCTGGAGCCAAGAACGTAGTCCTGAAATGCAGAGTGTTTTCCTTTTGTCCAAACCCAGTACCAGCAACGACACAAACACCTGTGGCATCGAGCATGCGGAAGCAGTAGAATTCATCTGGTGCACGACCCTCCTTCTTAGCCTGCTCGATGGCCTTCTCAGGGAGGTGGATGGTGGGGAAGAGGTACATGGAGCCCTAAAAAATGTCAGTAAAGGATGTTGTGAGAGAGAGGGAATGATGGGGGTAAACTGACCTGTGGCTCACTGCACTCGACACCCTCCATCTGCTTGAACGCCTCATACAAAGCATACGCACGCTTCTTCAAGCCGTTGAAGATGCCATCGTACTCCTGCTTGTAGAGTTCGTAACTCGGCTCTCCTTCCTTGGGTGGGTTGACCATCATCTCGATGATGCACTGGCCGAGAACAGGGGGGCAGAGCTGAATGGAGACGAACTTGTATATTTCCTGTGCGACCTCTGGATCGAAACCGATGAGCTCAAAGTAGCCGCCGCGGTGTCCGCACTCGCCGACCATGCCCTTGGAGACCGAGTGTAGCGATGCAAGCTCGATGTGGTCGTACTGGCCTGGTGTCTCCTTTTGTAGTTCACGTAGCGCCTTCTTGAAGGAGATGAACTCGCCGATGAAGACGTTGGTTTGGTAGACTTCGTCGGCGATGACGACGAGGCCCTTTTCGGCGGCGAACTTGAGCACAGATTTGATGTCTTCGACAGGGAGGGATGCGCCAGTGGGGTTACCTGGGTTGATGACACAGATGGCCTTGACGTCGGTACCCTCCTTGACTGCCTTTTCGTATGCAGTCCGGATCGACTCGAGCGAGGTGCCCCATGCCGCCTCTTCATCTAGGTAGTATGGTACGCAGCGAGCGTCGAGGACGGACAGCGTCGCGGTGTAGAGAGGGTACTGTGGGATAGGGACCATGATGCCGGTCTCGGGCTTAGCGCAGATGGTGTGGAGAAGAGTGTTTACACCGGACGAGGCACCGTTGCTGAGGTAGATGTCCTCGAACTTTGCTGGGAAGCCATCTCGTCCTGTCTGTTGTCAGAAATCATCTTGAGTATGAATGTTTGCTACTCACGCTCAATGTACTCTGCAACGCTCTGCCTAATGCCTGGTGCACCCTGACTCTGGCTGTATGCGCCTACACTCTTGACTTCGTTCAAGAGCTTCCTCGCACGCTCCAGTACATCCGGCTTGTATCCCAAACTCTTGAGTAGAACATCCTCATGCTCCAACAGACCAGGGTTCTCGAGTATACTCGCAACCTGCCTGAAGAAAGTAATGGGCTTCTGGTCCAATTGCTGGGGGTTGCCAATGTTGGCGGCAATGACGGTGTCAAAGGGAAGGTCCTTGCCCTCGCCCTTTGCCAGCTTCGCGCGGTACTCCTCCGACTTTACAGCCAATTCACCGCGGACAGCATACTTGGCCGCCTTGACGTGGGGGTTGATGTTGCCAATCTGCAACACCTTCTGGGGTGCCTTGGACATGATGGGTCGAGAATGTGGAAAGGGCGATGGAGAGAGTGTAGGGTGGAAGGACCGGCCTGTTAAGTGTGCAAAGTATGGAGGGGTGTGTCCGGTGAGGCGTCTATACAGGACTAAAGTGGTGAGCGTAGGTCCAGACTATAAACTTAGCTCGGGCGAAAACTAGATGCAGGTGTCGTCGATTCTGTCTCCCGTCCCGCGACGTACTCGAAACGCTTGGGAGTATGGGTCAAAGGGTCGACCATTTTTTATGCTTGGGTTGCGTGGTGCCCCACCACTGGTGGTAGTAAGAGCCACTACAAAGCTACCCTGGAGCCCCCTCGTAGCTCGGCGTAATGCGGGTAAGGCATTCTCAGACACCAGTCGCGTCTAGGCGTCGGACATGCAAAAGCGGCGAAAATCAGAAAATACCTCGTGAAGCCATGCTGCCACCAATGGGTTGGCTTCTGGGGCTTTGGGCGCAGAGCGAGCGGATGGCCGATGGTGGCGACATTGTCATCGGACCCTGGCTTATCGGCGGTTGCTGGAGTCTGGTTGATCACCCCACTCTCTCCCGTGGGCCTTGTTCCTATCCGATCGCTTGGGTTCGACGTCGTAACGAGCAATGTAATGGAGCGTGGGTATGGCAGTGACAATGACGATGACACAGGTACATGTCAAAGTATGTGGGCATGGCTTAGGCTTATTAAAGAGGCGTCCATCTGCACCTTATCTCACCGCACATTCATGGCGGCATGCTGCGACGCGGGGATATCGGAGCTATGGCCGAAACGCGTATTTGGCAATGCGACGCGGGCCTTGCAGCTTTCATTCAGCTATATTCGACCTGGTCTCGTCTAAGTCTACATCATACACATGCACCGCTTCCAGACAACTATCCACGCTCACTGCCCCTCAACCTAACGGCTTGGCCGTACTTCTGTAGCTTGGTGATGAGCTGGTCACCCTGCTTGACCACATCCGCATACTGCTTGTTCTTGTCGTCGGGTCGGTTCGTCTCAATGATGCCCTTGACGCGGTCGATTGTGCAGGGTATGCGGTCCGCAGCGATGAATCGAGCAAGGTCCCTGGTTTCGTTAGCAACACATTGGTAGGGTGAATACATGCCACTTACTTGTCGAGGAAGTCGACGGTGACGCCAAAGTCCTTGGCCATGCTCTCCAGACCTACAACACGGTATGATTGCAGGAGCTGCTGGTATCCTCGCAGACGCATCTCACGGACATACCAGCCGCGATGCTCGTACATGTAGCGGTCCTGGCTGAGGAAGTTGGTCTCCACCTCACCCAGAGCGCCGAAGAAGCTCTTGTAGTCGCCCTCGTACAAGCTCTTGACAAGCTTGGACAGCGGTGTGAAGTCTACTGGTACCTCCTTCTCTTGTTGGCCGCCGAGAGTGGTGAGGTTGACGAGTGTCGGTACTGGGGTTGCTGTTGAGCCTGAAGCATCCGCCATCTCTTCGTCACCGGCTGAGGGTCCTGCCGAGGTCTGCCCAGTAATGGCAGAGAGCTTCTCTTCTGAGGTGCCAACAATGGCCTTGATCTCTGGGGCATCTACCACCTTTGACTTGAAGTCTACACGCTTAAGCGACACGGAGCCGGCAAGAATGGCGTAGACGACGAGGTTCGAGTAGCTGCATAGCTCGTAGCTTGTGAACGTAGACAGACTGTCGAGGAGAAGGGGCGCGGCTTGCGAGTGTGATCGGACGGTGAGGTAGTGCAGTCCAGTGTAGGCCTTGAGACGGTTGCGGCGATCCCAATCACCACCGCTCTCTACCAGTGCGCTGGCACGGTCAATCGACTTCTTTGCCAGTATCCTGTCGCCGAAGAAGAGGGCCACGCGTATTATGGCAAGAACGAGGTCAATCTTGGTGCCTAGGATGCCCGTCTTCTCGAAGATGGCCTCGTAGCTGGCAATGGCTTTGTCCTGTATCGATATTAGTCTCCCATTATAATCCACATGGTTTCTCTTCACCTACCTTGTCACCTATGCGGTTGTAGAGCTCTGCTCGCTTTCCCCGCGCAGCTTGCACTTCGGTCTCGCCTGCCTTCTCTTCGGCCTCTTCCTCCTCCTTTTGTATCGCCTCGAGCTCCTTCTCACTATCTGCCTTGAGGCTCTCGTATAGCTTCTCGTCCCATGACAGGGGCACCTCTAATGATGGATTCCGTGTGGCGAGCATAGTCGCTAAGCTCGCTGAAGGTCTCCGGTTTTTGGTCGGCTGCTCAGCGCTGCCCTCGCCTGTTGCATTCAGGACGCCATCGGTGGGATGAGCGAGATAGCGGTAGAGCGGCGCCATCTTGTTCTCGGTGATGGCATCTTGGACCGACTTCAAGGCAGACTGTTTTGCTTGTTTGGAGGCCGAGGGATTCGTGAGCTGGAAGATGTGCTGTGACAGCTGGAGGTCGGGATATTTGGCGAATTGAGGGTCGCCCATTGTGAAGGTTTGCTAGGCGAGTGAAGATTGGGCGTGTGGTGGACAAAGGGTGACGGGGTCTAGTCGTGTGCGATGTTGATATGATGATGGCAGCCACTGCCCGCCGCTCCCAAGTAAAGCTCTCGCACGGCCCCACCGCGGTCGATCAGTACCTGGGACCTGAACCAGAGCTACCCGGCCTCTCAAGGACCGGGACTAGCTGGTCTTTGATTCTCGTCTTTCCTTCAACCTTCTTTTGTTCTCTTCTCCCTGCACTTACTTGGCCAGTTGAACACTGCACAGAGCCTATTTCAACCTTATCAAGTGCAATTACTACAAAAGTCACACGCGTCACCCAAGGCTTCAACATGGCAGGTAACAATCAAAGCAACAAGCGCACTCGCTCGCCCTCGAGATCTCCTTCACGATCACCGCCGCGCCAGCGAAAGCGCCCTGGAGCCGGTGCGCGAGTATCGGCCGCTGACCGCGAGGCTGCCCGAAAGCGCCAGCAGGCAAGGGAGGAAGAGGCAGCTAGGAGGGCACATCAGGAAGCCGCGCAGCGCGGTGTACATGATGTCGTCAAGCAGCACTACAACATGGTGCCAGAGCGCGGCCGTGAATGGCGCAACACAGACAGTAAGATCAAGGGTCTGCGCAGCTTCAACAACTGGGTCAAGTCGTCCATCATTCAAAAATTCATTGGCGACGAGCGGAACCTCAAGATCTTGGACGTTGGGTGCGGAAAGGGCGGCGACTTGGGCAAGTGGGAGAAGTCGCGGAAAGTCGAGCTGTACGTTGGCTGTGATCCTGCCGATGTGTCCATTAAGCAGGCCAAGGACCGATTCGCGCAAATGCAGAAGAAGAACCGACGACTGTTCCATGGCGAGTTCTATGCCAAAGACTGCTTTGGAGAGTGGCTAGGTGACATACCCATCATTAAGGAAGTTGGGATTGACCCCGGTGCCGGCCAGGGCAATGCCATGAGCCAACGCTGGGGTGGTGGAGGCTGGGACATGGTCACGATGATGTTCTGCATGCACTACGCGTTTGAGAGCGAATCCAAGGCCCGAGGTATGCTGCGCAACGTTGCGGGCGCGCTGAAGAAGGGCGGACGCTTCATCGGTTGCATTCCCAACTCGGATATCCTTTCGAACAAGGTCATTGAGCACCACAAAGCCAAGGGCACAGCACTGCCCGAGGTTGTTTCTGGCCTTGATGAGGACGACGACCGGCCTACATTTGCCAGTGACGACGAAGACGACTGGGACCCCGAAAAGAGCCTCGACAGCCCGAAGCCCGCCGACACCGAGCGCGCCAGCGGTGACAAGCCCGAAGCGGCCGACGACAAGCAAAAGGACAAAGCCAAGGAAGAACAAGAGGACGGCGAGGTCGAGGATGAAGGTTTCCAATTTGGCAACAGCATCTACAGCGTCAAGTTCCCGGGCAAGACACCACCAGACGGCACCTTCCGTCCGCCATACGGCTGGAAATACTCATACTGGCTGACGGAAGCCGTCGAGGCGCCTGAATACGTGGTTCCTTGGGAAGCTTTCCGTGCGCTGGCAGAAGACTTCAACCTCGAACTGCAGTACCGCAAGCCTTTCCGGGAGATTTGGGAGGAGCAAAAGGACGACCCCATTCTCGGACCTCTGAGTGAAGTCATGAAGGTGCGAGATCGTAACACAGGTCGATTACTGACTTCGGACGAGGAGTTGGAGGCGGCCGACTTTTACCATGCCTTTTGTTTCTACAAGGTTTAGATTAGTAGCATTATAGGCGTTTGGGGGTATCTGCATGCTTTGGAACTGGGGCTACGTGGGATTGCATGCTTTGAGGCTTTTATGAGGACGTCATCTTCAGCAGTTTCATTATATCTGTACGCCAGTTAGACTCGGAAGCCTGCGCCAAGGTTTCCGCAGACATGATACTCAGGCACACGACTATAAATTTTTTTTTGGCGTTATTGTTGCTTGTAGCTATGTGAAGCTACAACCGAGTGATGCAGTAATCACCGACACCGACGACTACAAAGCAGGTGGGAAACCATGAACCCAAATTCACATGCGCGCAACTCAAAATAGACACGTGATGAATACAAACAGTCGGTGTACGGATAACCGATATACTATTTCACATGCGTCAATGCACAAAGAGAAGAAAACGACACCCGACACCCGTCGCAGTCACGTTTCCACGCTCTTGTGACGTGCGGCCGCATTTACCGAGGTGCGTTCGTAACTTCCGGCAATCATGGGGCGGCAGACCCCAGACCTACAACTCACGCCCGAACTCCTTGCGCTTCCGCACTCGCGCTCCGCACCTTCACCCCGTAACCTTCCTGTCGCCAAAGCATACATACACTCTTTATCACCTAATCCCCATCTCATCAGCCCTTGTGATTGCGAATTGAAGCCGGGATTTTTTTCTGGAACAGGAATAGCTGGGCGATACCACGACTGTTGATAGGAACGCTGTTTTTACTCCATCTCTTCTTCTTGTTCTTCTTTTGAAAGGAAAGATAAAGCAAGAGATCAACCAACAAGATGGTTGCAGACGCTTTGGTTTACCACCCTACGGTATCGCATTACCTCAAGTTTGTCGCGACAACCGGTCCGCCTCCCCCATCTCCATCTCCATCTCCAAACCTCAAACTAACAACCCCTCCCAGTCGGACGCGACAAAGTCCTACGTACCCTGCAATACTTCTCACGCTTCCTAGCATGGTACCTGTATCGCACGAACCGGCCGGCATCCTCGATAGCGCCGTTTGAAGCAACCAAGAAGACATTCGGCCAGACGCGCAAGCTGATGCGCGTGGGCAAGTTTGTCGAGCATTTCAAGGCGGCGGCTGTGGCGAGTGATGCTAAGAGCATGGACCCCGTGTTGAGGTTTACGGCCGTTGGGAGACAGTTGGGATATGCGTTTTATATGCTTTGTGATAATGCTTGTGTGGTGAGTTCATCTCCATTCCCATCCCAAATCCTCCAGTACGAAGTCCAGGAGAAACAGTAACATGTACTGATATCCAACCCCCAGCTCGACGCAACCGCCATCCGCAAATCCTCATTCGCCCCCCGCCTCGCCCGCGAAGGCTACCGTGCCTGGTTCGCCGGCCTCTCCTTCTCCCTCGCCTCAGGCCTCTACTCGTACTATAACCTGCTGCAGCGCCAAAAAACAATCACCCAATCTTCCGACCCCGAGAAGGTGGTCGAGACGAAGAAACTCCAAAAGGAACTCATGGATGTTAGGGTCCAGTTGTTTAGCGATCTTTGTGATCTTACGATCCCCAGCTCCGCGCTCGGTTGGGTCGACTTTGATGATGGGTTTGTGGGGTTGGCGGGTACGACGAGTTCGCTTTTGGGCGTTTGGGGGCAGTGGAGGAAGACTGCTTAGGCGATGGGATGCGTTTGACGAGGGGGTGATGTGGAGGTTGATGGAGGGATGGTGGTGGTGGCGCTGGGATCGTTTGGATTGTTACGGTGTGGTTTTGCGGTTATTATATGGCATGCTTTGTTCTTTTGCTATCTTTGCGCAAAGTCCACACTTCATCATCTTTTTACCACGAGAAAGTGCCTCTCTCCTATCTTCTCCGGTTCTTTACGCTGCACTACTAACTTACATTGCCCTTTTACCCGCCTCTCTCCTTTCCTGGGCCGAACAAACTCCTGAAGACAACACATCCTTTGTTGCTAAAGTACAAGCCTCTTCATCAAATTCTACTCAATTCTATCATTCACGTACATAGTCGACCCAGCGGGATAGCATAGGTAAATGTTTTACTAGGTAGGGGAATTGGACGTAGAGGGGCTGTTGAAGGCTTCCTTGTGCTACATGTGTGTGGAGGTGTAGTGATGAAGATTTAATGATCGGACAGATAAAATAAATGGATAGGAGAGGGAGGAATAGAAGGGGTTTAGTAAGAGTAGAAAGTAAGATATAAGAGAGATGGTAGTTATAGGTGTGTACATAAAAGATAAATTCTCAAAGTCGTAAGGAGAGAACAAGTCCTGAATACATAAAATGCAGAATGAAGCTACACGAGAAAGCATCATTTGTTTCCTCCATTTCTTTCCTTACACGCAGGCAAAGGGGGAAATATAGTCGCGCATTGCGACACCGCACCTTCTCCATCTAAAATAACTGAAGACAGGGAGAGAAGAAGAGAGTCGATGGAGCAAGGAGTGAAGCAAAGGAAAGAGAGTGAGTGAGAGGGATTGTGATATATGGAGTGTGAACGGATGGTTTTAGAGTGTGTTGCTGGATGTGGTGGAATGACAACTGGATAAACCGTATGTATATCAATTGTTCTTCCATAAGTATGCGCGAAAGAGAATGAATTTACAAGATCTCTCTTGTTTTGTACTAGATACCTCTGTTACTATGATAAGTGTAGCTATATCGTATGTTGCTCCGACACAGTATTGTCGCACAAACCTCGAACGAGCTTCTCTTAAATCAGATCATTAATAACTGTCTAGTTTTGTATCATACCTACATCGTTTTACTCGTACACAACTATCCGAAACAAGACCTAAAACTACCCCTCTCTTTCCTCGTATGACATAACCATCCAATCCAAACCTTCAATTATACAGGGTATCCATCACTTCACTAGTTCATAACGGCCACGCATTCAACCTATATACCACAACTCTCGGCTTCTTCCCACGGTTACCAGTACGGCCGCCATCCTTGATAGGCGTGCGCGTTCTAGGATACCGGTGTCTGCTTGGCCAGTCTTGGACTTCTTGAGAACACGGTAGAAGAGGCCGCGACGAGAGTATTGAATGGAAATTGGGTACTTTTAGTCATCATTTGGATGCAATGGCTATGGAGTAAGAATGACGTGAGATGGTAGGTGTCAAAGATGATGCTTTGAAACGAGGGGGTTTCGCCTAGGTGCATCGAGAGGGGTGCGAAATGAGTGACAACGGCACATGCGCAGGACAGCGGATATCTTATTTGGCGTGGATATGATAAGGAATGATGAGAGAAGGTGTTCGATCAGCTTGTCGGCTTACTCTGCTCGTATCATGTGAAACCGTACTGCTACGACGTGGACGTCGCTTCTATACCTTCATTAGGGGTGGGATTGACTTGCGTACGAGGAACCTGACGGCTGAATCCTTCATCGAGATCCGTATTTTCCGAGTCACCTGAAACAACTCGCAAGCAAGATTGCCCACCTCCTTCACGAGCACGGGGAGGAAACAATCTTCTACTCGTCACTTTACACACTCCATCACTCAAACGCTCTCATCCAAACAAACCCGTAATTACAAATAGCCTTACCGTCAGTCCCGACCGCATGGGCACATATCTTGCCCTGTAAAATTCTAGGCGTGAGAGCGACGTCGTCACCCGCGGCGGATATCCCCCTGGCGTTGTTGGCCTAGCGGCGCAAGCTAGCAGAAGTTGCACAGCGCAGGCCTGATCCCTATCGCGAACGGTTCCGGAGCAAGGGCTTGTTTGGGGTATCGCTTGCGCTTGCGGGGTCTAGAGGAAGCTGCATATACCAGCTTCTGGAGAGAAGGTTTCTGCTAATTGCTGCAACAGCACGTTTGGAGCTGCCGTTCGCCGTTAGCAGTGCGACGGTAGCCCGACACGGCTTGGAAGAGAGTGGTGGAAAGCATGTTGAGATAGCGACGGGGTCTGCTCATGATTCAGGGTAAAGGAGGAGGCAGAACATGGAAGCGGGTCTGGGTCTGGGTCTGGAAATCTTGACAGCTTGGAGGAGCCCTATTACGACCTATTACGAGTAAGCACTGCTGGAGTAAGCGTTCGTATAGGGCGGAAAGGTCTGCCCTGCTTCCGCTCGTGTTTGCGCTGCTTTCCGGCAGTGCTTCAGCAATACATGAAGATGGTGTAATCGTGATATGGACGCGGGATTTCCGGCAGGAAAGTTTGCGCGAATGAGAGTGGGGACTCTACGCCTATCGGGTGGCATCCACAAGTCACGTGGGTGATCTTACTGTACCTGAATCTACTGAAGGCTTGGTGTTGTTAAAGCCGCCCATCTAGGCTTTGGCATTGTCCACTCCTCTTTGATTTCGTCACGGTTGATGTTGCTCGTGTTGACCATCATGTGCAAATGTCAGTGGCGCGCGCTCGGCTCCCCAATCCTGGCTTCGATGCGCAAAACAAAGTCTAGATGGGCCAGAAAAAGAAGAAATGTACTACGATCCTGAGTAATGAAGGGGTCAGGCCATGTGGCCGTCAGAGGGTGTTCAGCTATGCATGCGACAAGTAGCAACTGCCCTGTTGATCTCGCATGCAGACATCCTGGAGCGCTATGGTCTCGTCAATGTACGCCAACGGCTTTCTGTCAACACACGCCCTTGCAACGCAACCCTTTCGTTTCACTTTGCTTCTGCCCGCATCACCGCATCCTACCGCAACACGAACTTGGCAGCATTGCGTGCAGGTGGACAAGCGATATGAAGCGCAGGAACACGGCGCGGCACGTGGTTGTTGCTGCGGAGCGGGGCTGCATCTCTTAGATGTCTGCTCCGTTCACCGTGTCATTCAACATGGCCTTTTTCCATGATGCAGCTTGGGCTTCCAACAATTGCATTATAGCACCGACCACTTTGCCCATACAAAACCTTGGAGTATACCTACCGCTTACTATCTCAGCCAGCCTCCATATGGGGAACTGAGGGCGAATGTCGCCATCAGGGTAGTAGTGGGTGTGGTGGGGTTCACGCTACATGCTTCCCTTGAGCGCTTGCCGACATGTGTCCGATGCGTCGGCTCGAATGCGTTTACAAGCCCGAACTGGCCGGCTGGGACTGTCATGGCGAAAAAAGGAGACTTGGCTTGGCTTAGTCAAGACAAGATGGGCGTTTTGCTGGGCACGATTGTCGCGTCATATCCGGTAAAGCACCGCTTGCCATCTCGACCTTCGAGGTAATAAAGTATGAAGCGACTCGTATAACCTCCAGGTTCGCGTGTTACACCTGCGCGGCACCACGCTTTTGACCCTATTGGTTGGCGCTTTAGCAGACGTGCGATGCGGTCCGTTAGTTGGTCACACGGTACCCCCGAGATCCCATCACCACTTTGGCCAGTGAGGATGAAACATTGCCGGCCTGGGGCCCGTCTATAGTTGCTCGCTTCGACCTGATCCCAGCAAAGTCTTGATCCCCGAGTAATACTCCTTCGACGGCCCATCGGTCTTGGAACGAGCTTCCGTGCACTCCAAAACCCTTCCTTAACGCCTCCGGACTATATACGCCACCAACGGGAGTAACCTTTTGGAATGGATTGGATCTTCAACAGGCTCCCTAATGAAAAAAAAATCCCCTTATCAACTGTAGTATTGATCTCTTGCTGCCAGGTATCGCCAGTCTTTCCTTTGTTTTGCGGATAACCGATATTGCCGTAGACCTGTTGCGGGGAACGCGCAAAAGTACAGCGAAAAACAAGGAATTGCATGCGCCTGCACCTTTACCATCTAAACCTAGCCTGAGGAACAGAGTTCCAATCTATCTTGTTTCGGTCACTCTACGATGCAAGACTGTTCTGCGGGGTACCAATCGGACCTGTCTATGTAACCGTTGCCACTACACACGCTCCCCGTCGCCTACCTATGTCACCAAGGCGGCCTCGTCATCCGGACATGCACCAAAGATTACCTCCGTATCGCATTTGTGCTGCTCCAAATCCGCAAACTGCCGGTCATAGTAGTCTTCACTTGGTCGTTTCATTGACAGGCCAAGTCCTTTGTTCCACAATCTTGATTCGAAAATGACGGAAGGTCCCACGTTGACAGGAGAAGCAAACCCTTGTGGAGCGGCGTGGGTATCCATCACACACACTAATAGCAGGGGTGGTCTTGCTCACTATTCGTATTGGTATAAGCTCACCTGCCGCTAGTTGCAGTGCTGCGCGACCCATAATTGATCCTCCATGCGGGACAACAGGGGTTGCACCATGTGTCGTAGGGAGGCGCAACCCATGCAAGCCATGACTTTGTCGTTCGTTTGGGCTGACCCACCTGTAAGAACTTATTAGGTGACTACATCGCCTCTCTCCCGAGAGACCCGAGGAGCCTGGCCTTTGCACAGTAATCAGCGTCTTCCTTTGCTTCGACTTTCAACCTCTGCACAACAGCTGGCGGGCCCGCGTAATGGAGTTTCAGACCAAATAATACCATCAGCTTGCCATCTCTCCGGACTCGCTAGTCGACAACTCATTCATTCGGCCCTTCCACTGCTTCCCCCCCCACGAGAAGCTATCATGAACATCGATGATATCGTGATACCAGATCCAAGAAATCATCCCGAAAATGCGAATCTACCAAACGTCAATCAGCCTGAGACGATACTTGGTGTCACTCTTGCCTTCCTGGTAGGTACATGTTATTATATGACGCCCGCTCAGGCTCACTTACTGATCATGTTTAGGCAATCGCTGTCATCACCTTGAGTCTTCGGATATGGATTCGGATAAGAGACCGACTTTGGGGATGGGATGACTTCTTCGTCATCCTTGCAGGTATTGCGAGTTTCGTTGGAGACATTCTCGTATGCATGAGTATGTGTGGATGATTTACTTTTGACTTGCGATTACTGATGTGTTACAGTGCCTGAAGATGGTTTGGGTCTTCACTTGTGGACGCTCGATCCTGCACATCTGATTGCATACTTCAAGGTACGGCGACCCAATATATACTCAAGAGCTGGGCTAATGTTGATTCCAGCACATCTATTCGACAAACTCTGCATATGCTGCCAGTACTGCACTCATCAAGCTCTCTATCCTATTCCAGTATCTCCGCCTCTTCACTGAAGCTGCACCAAGTGGTAGTTCCACCCAATATCGACTTGCTCGGCGACTTACCTGGGGTCTCATCGCGATATGCGCAGTATGGGGCTGCACCTTCTTCTTGCTAGCGCTCTTCCCCTGCAGGCCCATTGAAAAGAACTGGAACCCGCTTCTCGACGGTAAATGCATTGGTTGGGGTACCAAGGACCCTGACAAGTTCTACGGTATGTTCTTGGGTCATTCCGTCAGCAACTGTATCCTGGATGTTCTGGTTCTCCTCCTTCCAGTTCCTTTCCTGACTACCTTGAGGATTGCTGGTAAAAGCCGCGCGGGATTGATAGGCTTATTTTGTTTGGGTTGCACGTGAGTACTAGCCATGATGAAAGTGGCGTTTCGATACTAACATCTGCTCAGTGTAGTCACAGTTGCTATTGGCCGTATGATTGCCATGTCTGTCAACCGCGCTGGTACCGTACCGGTCCTCGACATGACATACCACACGCCCATCATCTACATCTTCGCCGTTCTTGAAGTCAACTTCGCCATCATCACAGCCTCAATACCCATCTTCTGGCCTGTCATCGCAACACTAGCGTCCAACAAAATCTTCGTTGTCAACGAGGTCGAGATCCACGTCGAACACGTCACGAGGAATGATAGCCTGGACTCCAAGGGCATTAGTCTCGGTGACCGAAAAGGAAGCGGTGCTAGTGGGGACAACAAGCTCGGCCACCTAACGACCATTGCCGACCGCGGCACCAGAAAGTCGAGCGAGAAGGGCCACCACCAGCACAAAACCAGCAATGCCTCGACAGCCCGGTCCATGGGCATCGATATTTCAGGCAACCGTAAGCCCAGCGATGCGTCATCGGTGGGACGCACAATAGGCATGGACCTCACAGGACGCACGAGCCAAGAATCTTCACAACATCTCTACCGCATCCCGAATCAGAGTTCGAAAAGCCTAACACGAAGCGAGAGCGACGACTGGTTTACGGAAATGGACAGGGCAAATTCACGCGGGCAGACGACTACCACAGTCGGAACGACAGACATACCCCTGGAGCACATCAAAGCATGTGATAATAAATAAGCCGATCCTGATATTTTCCCCCACCATGGCCTGCTCGTGTTGGTTGTTGTTTTGTTGATCGGCTGATTGGTGGATGTGCTTGTACCATGCACGGCGGTTTTCGTGTTTGTTAGGTGTGCTTTTGCGTGATGATACCCTTGCAGCCAACCTGCAGCTTTCGTCTTTTTTGTAGTACGTACATACAGTATGTACATGAGCGTAGATAATTGGTAGTTTGCTTTTTACCCCATATCGAACAAGGATGCCCAAAGTTCCCCATCCATCCCATCTTTCGCCTATCCTGCCTGGACTGGTATTTTCAATCTCGGTGTCATGTGGCTTCGGACCGAAAATGACCGCAGATTTGGGTAAGGGAAGAAGCGATAATGTCATCATCCAATACTTATATCGAGCAGAAGTAATGCCGGTGCTAACCGTTTACTTGGTAGGCGGGTTGAGCCCTGCTTACTTTTGTTATTTTATCTTTTTGGGGGGATTTGAGTTCCCGTGGTTCACCCGGTAGTCTTGTGTTCATGGCTGCCCCTTCCCGTCGCTACGACCACCCATCTCTCGATTCGACCGTGCGAGAAAACGGCCAGGGAACGAACGAACCGTCTCTGCTTGTTATCGCAGTCGTCTCCACATAAAACACACCCACTTACCCCTTCACCTCTACCTATAAGTAGCAGTAGTTCCCGACGACGACGATACTGCTGCTATCTTTAGCCCCACTGCTTCATACAGATGCATGCTTGATCCCCGGTCTTATTACGCATTTGCTTTTTCTCTACATAGATCCTGCGAACAAGCCCTGCATCTGCAATCTACCACGTTATTGTTATCTACCACCCGCTCTATATGCAACAAAACAAACCAAAGGATCTTGAAGACAAACAATGCCAAGACCACCTGCGACTTGCGCAGCATGACAACCGAGGTCCATGGCAGCAAGGCTGGAGAGCGCGTCAGTGGCGCCGGCTAGCCTCGCCGTGAAGCTTGAGTTGCTTGCCGATAAGGCATGGCGAGGCTTGATCGCAAGCGTTCCGTCGTATCGCCTCTACATGCATATCATTGTACTCGAGACGACTTTTTGAAGAGTGGTTGAGACAGGAGTATCTTGCAATAAGACCACGTTTCTCATCCACGCCTGCATCTTCAACAATACAAGCCGCTCAATTATTTCCATCACGTCATGGACAGACCTCGGTGAATGACCCGACGTCGGATTACGCAGTAGTGTCAACCACACATATCCCCGCGCCGCGTCTTACAAACAGAAACACCACCTTCTTCTTCCAGCCTTCCATCACACGTGTGAAAAACCCTTAAAAGCCTACGGCGGACAAGCCGAACAAGGCTGGCCATAGAAAAATCCTTCGACGACGGTTTCCCTTCCGTTGAATGGTCATCTGCATGATCGGAGCACGCCTGGGGTGATGTGCGCCTTTCCCAACAAGGCCTCAGCCTGTGTTGATCACAGGGTCCTTGTGCGGCCATGGCCACCCAATCGCTCGCATGTGAACCATCAATAAAGGTCGAACGGGGTCCCGCCTGTCGTTTGTAATCGGTAAAAAGTTCGTTGTTTTGCTTACTTTGTTGTGACAACGCTTCTCTTGCGCAAGCGGTTCTTTTTCCTGTGCGCGCGGAATCTGAGCGCTTGTGTGACGTTTCCAACGTTTGATAACTAAAGAGACGGCTACGCTACGCTACTACTATGGCTTCTGCCGCGGAGGTCCAGCAGTCGCCCGAACTGTACAACGCCACCGCGAACGAGAAAGGCGATGTCGAACGACGGGGTAGTGTCGCGAAGACTGAGAAGGGGAGGTGGGAACGCTTGTGGCCGGTTATTGCATGCGGTGCTGGTCTCTTCAGTGATGGATACCTCAATAATGTACGAACTACACCAGCGCACCAAAAAGGACTCCCCAGAAGCGGAAAAAAGCAAGACAAGAAAGACAGAAAAATATTCCCAACGCGACAGCCACCACCGAAAGCGCCTCACCAAATCAAACCAAAACTCATGAACAAGTACAATAGCTAATACAACAATGTCCAGATTATCGGCCCCGTCAACACAATGCTCAGAATCATATACCCAGACTCATACAAGAACTCTTCTGCTCAGGCAAACGTCTCGAGTATAACATTTGCCGGAACCGTAGTCGGCATGCTTTTCTTCGGCTATACATCAGACCACTTTTCCAGAAAATGGTCCCTATTCACATCCACCATAATAATCATCCTCTTTGCCATCTTAGGAACGGCGTCATACGGTGCAGGCAAGAGTCCCAGCGGTTTGTTAACAGCACTCGTTGTATACCGATTTTTCCTTGGGATAGGTACGTTTCCCCCTCCCTCAACCCACAATCAAACCCTCAAACTTACGGATAATTCCAAGGCATCGGAGGCGAATACCCCGCCGGCAGCGTAGGCTGCGCGGAATCCACGGGTGAACTACGCTCAGGAACCCGCAACAAATGGTTCATCCTCTTCACAAACGTGCAAATCGACCTCGCCTTCTTCCTCAGCGCCATCGTCGCCACCGTCGTAGTCCTCGCAACAGGCGAGCAGCACCTCCGCGTCGCTTGGCGCATCTGCCTAGGAATCGGCGTTTTACCCCCCTTATCCCTCATGTACCTGCGTCTTAAACTGCAAGAACCCGAAGCCTTCCAGCGGGAATCTCTCGCCAAGGCTAAAACACCGTGGTGGCTCATCATCAAGTTTTACTGGTTCCGCCTCGGTGTCGTGAGTGTGATATGGTTCATCTACGACTTTAGCGCGTATTCCTTTGGCATCTACGCCACGTCCATTCTCGCCAACTTGCTCGGTGAAACAGCGCCGTTGTGGAAGAGTTTAGCGTGGAATATCCTTATTAATTTCTTCTATATGCCCGGGTGTCTCGCGGGCGCGTTTGTGGCGGATTTACCGTCCATGGGGCCGAAGAGGACGTTGGCGATTGGTGTTGTGTTACAAGGCATCATTGGGTTTATCATGGCGGGTTGCTATCCATGGCTTAATCGGCCGGAGAATGTGGCCGGGTTTGTGGTTGTTTATGGGGTTTTTCTTGCGTTGGGCGAGTTTGGGCCGGGGGATAATATTGGGTTAGTTGCTAGCAAGACTTGTGCGACTGGTATTCGGTATGTTTCCCTTTTCTTTAGAATTCTCGTCGGTTGGATTGCGGAAACTAACGGAAGGAAAGTGGCCAATACTACGGCATCGCCGCCGCCGTCGGAAAAATCGGTGCTTTTGCTGGTTCCTACGCCCTCGACGCCATACAAACAGCCGCCGGCGACGACAAAATCGCTGCGGGCAGAAACCCCTTTTACGTTGCTTCGACTCTGGCTTTCGTGGCCGCTGGTCTCGTGTTCCTGCTCCCGGATATCGGCCAGGATACTATTGACCACGAGGACGTAAGGTTTAGGGACTATCTGACAGCGAACGGGTATGATACCGGGAAGATGGGGTTGGGCAGTGAGGTTAGTGAGGGTGTGGAGAGGGAGGGGGTAGTACCGGTTGAGAAGGTAGAGGGGAAGTAGTGGCGTTTAGGGGATGCGGAGAGGGGGATATAGAAGTACGGGTGATGATGTGTGTATGGGAAAAGTGGATAATGTGTGGGTTAGAAAAAGTGAAGAGTAGATGTTAGGTTGTTAGCCTATGATGATCGTCTGCTAAAAATATGATGCATACACAAACACCGTTTCAACTTTCTTTCTTTTTCGCAAGCGTAACTAAAGATGCCTTGGGTGATGACCCTGTGAAGATCGTTATTGTATGTTTCTTCCAGATGTGGGACACTGATTAAAAATGAGAAAACCTGATTTAGTGGAACTGAAAAGTGTCTGGACTATTTGCTTTGTTAGATTAGTGCTTTTCATCATATTAAAATTAAAAGGTGAATCTGTGGTCCACTGTTTAGAGAAACATGGTAAAACAGCAGAAGATACGGTTATCAGCTTAGCAGCAACCTTAGATAGTATCTCTAAAGTAGACTTCAAAATTCAAGACCACACCATCTATTTTGAATCCTCTATCCAAGTCTATACGCATATATCCCTTCTAATCCATACATACCCAGCCCACAACCCCTCAAACCACCCCCCTCCTCTCCTCCAACAACTCCTCCACATGCGCATTAATCCAATACCTCGCCAGCACCCCCTCATCCATATCCTTCGCGCCCCCAACCCTCCCCACACACACCTCATCCTTACACAAACAATCAAAAGGCTGTGCCATATCCCACTCGGTACTCGGATAAAAAAAGGTCAACTCATCCCCCTCCTTCAACCCTTGCCCCTTATCACTAACCCGTATCTCCCACCGCGCCATATCAAACACCAGGCTGGGCGCGCAGCTGTGGTTGATGTACACGAGGTCGCTGTTGAGCTCAATGTGTAGGTCGCGCGACGCTTGCACGGAGGAGTAGGCAACGGTTGCGGGGGTTGGGTTTGTGATGCGGGCGAAGAGGGCGCCCGGGGGGAGGGAGACGAGGGAGACGGAGCGGCTAGTGAAGGAACCGGGGGCGTGTTCTACGCGGAGGAGGCGGGTGAGGTCTGGTTTTACCCAAGCGGGGATTTTGGAGGTGTTGTCGTTTGTGGTTTTGCGGTTTAGGTGGGGTGGTTGTGTGGTAGGTGAGGGAACGGCCGAGGGGGACATGTTGGTTTTTGGATTTCTTTTCTTAAAGTGATGTGTGGTAAAACGAAGAGATCTGATATTTTGGAATAATTATCCTTCTAGATGGATTGTTAAGAGAGAGTCAGTTGATATGGAGGATCTGCTCGTTCTTTAGTACTTTCTGCCTTTAGCAACAATCGACCGGCCCGTGTGGGCTTTACTACATCCCATGCGGATGACTGGTCCCACACGAAGAGGCAGTTTCTTCTTTTGTGTGGGGAGATACGACTTGTCCCTTGTTGCCGAACAGGCTTGGGCGGTTCTATTCAAACCTCTTTTGGTACATGTGGGTAGACAAAGACCCGAGGTTACACAATTCGGTCCGTGGGTACAAAGCATTGCCTAAGCCCATTACGCACAAGATGTCGTTGAGGCATATTGAGGGCATACTGGTACATGTGGCCATCTGTCGTTGAGCGTAGCGGGGCTGGGGGTGACGTGAGTTTACAGGCCTTATCCGGTATTACGTTAGGTTGCCGAGGTCTGGCATAATGTACGCTAGCCCCAACACGTCACGAACCCGAGGATGTACCTAATCTATAATGCACCTGCAGAGGCTAGCAGCATAAGCAGGATTTTACCAATCCATCCACCACGTGCGCAGACATGTAGAAACACTTTTTATTAACAATAAGATATAATTGTTAGTTAGAAAGCTAGGCTACGGATCAGGATTTACTACCCATGAAGCCGCTTGAATAGCTACATGCCTTTGAACGCCCGCACCAAAAAATGCCTAACAAATGCATACCAAGTACTACTTTGCATACCCCACTATGAGAAGCGTTGAATCTATGCTATACGGAAAAGCATTACAAGCTGAATCCATGGATATAAATGTTCCGACGACGCCCAAGGAAACAACCCCAGGTTATTCATATCACCTCCACATCCACCACACCACAATTTAAGAAAGATGGAAAGCGCCTTGACCCTCACGGATGGCGACGCTGAGTTTCTCGCGAAGTACGGTGATGCTGCTGTAGTCTGGCATCTTGAGATAGTTGACGCAGGTCATGACAGAGGGAAGATAGTCATCCGATGTGTATGGGGGCTCGCTAGGCTTGCAGACGACGGTGAACATTGGTGTGAGAGCCTTGAAACCTGGAGATGGGATTAGCATACAATGTTGATGAGAAATTTTTGGTTGTCTTACCTCCGATAGGCAGCTTGGGACTCCCGGTGATGAATTGCAAAAAGTCCCTACGCTCTTGCGCATCGAACTCGCTCATGGTGGCCAGGAGATTGCGGACGCTCTTACTGTCCAGATTGTAGCCGTGATCTGCCTTGATGGAATCCATAAGAGCTGAAGGATATTTAGCATATGCGATGAAATATTGGAATGGACAAGACTTACTCTCAAGCGACCAATCTTCATCTGTCCTGCCAAACAGCATTACCAGCTCATCCGGAGTGAAGGCCTTTAGGGCTGAGTATGGGAAAACTTCCGTGAAGCCATCACGAAAAGCATTCGCCTGGCGCTGCACACCCGAACCCAAAGTGAAATCGATGACCTTGTCCACGTATAGATCGACATTGTCGATTGAGACCGGTGTATCTGCGCCTTTGGGGATGAGTTCGATTGAGCCATAGCCAGGTAGTGTAAAGTCTAAGGCCAAGTCTTCCACTCGGCAATCTTGAATGACGATCTCCTGGAGAGCTGCTGTCTTGTTCGCTTCGCTTATATTGCTGATCTCAATCTTCTTCTTTGCATCGGCAAACTGTTTGAGTAGCAGCAGCGACTTTGCTAGGCCTTCATCCACAGCCTTGATGGCTCCTAGGGATGGAACGACTGCTGCACTGCTACCATCGCCGATACGGAAGAATGTCGGGTTGAATGAGACATCGATGATGCGTGAGTCGAGCATTGAACGAGCAACGAATTTGCCCAGGACTTTGAAAAGCTCAAGACGCTTTTCACCGTTCTCGGTGCTTGCCTCCTCGGCGCTCATAGGCGCAGGATACAGTCCTCGCTTACCAAAGGCGAACTCATCGGTATCGTTGGATTCGTTTTCGCGCCACAGCTTTAGCTTCTTCTTTGAAAACTCGCGAGATACCGTCGAGTAAAATTCCAGCGTTGGTCCCAAGCCGGTTCCTACTTCTTCAAAGTACTCCACTTCTAGAACACTAGGAGAGTGACCGTAAAGTTGCATGACCTTCATCGCAGATTCTAGTATCCTAGATCTGGAGATCCTAACCTTTTGACGTTGGAGTCTGCCCAAAAATGGACGCTCATCACGGTGTCGATCATTACGTGAATCGCTTGTGGGCTGCGAATTCTGCCATCGCGTCATCGATCGCGAGTAACCGAAAGAAGTCGATTGCAGGAAGAGATGACGGGACTCGAATGGGAATAGGAATGGGTAGAAACGAGCCAAATCTTCGCTCCAGCTCGGGAGGCAGTTACTCGCAACGACAAGAGGTTCTTCAAGCTGGCGGTTCAATTTTGCCGTCAACTTGGTGTTGACAAACTGCGAAAGCGGTTCCGCATTGAGCTTGACATGTTGCTTGTTCGCCATTAGGATATCGTCCAGGTGCGAGTTCAGCCCATGAAGTATACTGAGCAATCGCAGGATGCCAGATGTTACAGGATGTTGATCCAACGATGCGGGCATGCCCGAAGCATCGGATTTTGACTCGGGTGGCGGTGTCAAAGAGCTGGGCTCACTTGGTGGAGGGCCTTGAACACGCTTGAACTTGATGGTGTGAATACCGTTCCACACCGAGCGATGTGCGCCATCCGATGGTTGCGGCTGGTTATAGTGTACAGCACGGTAAATGGTCGTCTCGTTTGAGAGGGGCTGGTCGTTCACGCTAAACTCGATATGCCAGTCTTGAGGAGTCGACTGTACAGCCGCAGCATATGAGAGAGCAGTGGCCGCACCACCCAGACTCTGTCTCAGAGCGGAGCTCTGCAGTAGCGCGGACAATCGTGACGCCGGTGTTCGGTTATCTGTCGGTGGCTTCGATGTGCCTTGCACAGGTGTAGCAACCCTAGTGCCATCTTCTTGACGGGCAGTAGCTTGTCCTGTTGACGCGACTTCGACATTAACAGCGGACGGGTCTGGCATATCCTCGTCAAGTTCCTCTTCAAGATCATCCACTATGGCGTTTAGGGCACTCTCGTCGTCCATAGAATCAGGATCAGAAAGCTGTGCCTCATCAGCGCATTCGACGGGGTCTTGGCTGCTGTTTGAGCGAGGCATAGCTGGAGGCGGTGGCGGTGGCGGAGGGGTCTGTGCCTGCTGTCGCCTACTTGATCGCCGCGTCTTTTCTCGCGTCGCTGAGCTAGGTCCTGGTTGCGGTGAATCAGTTGGGCTTGCCTTGGATCGCGAGGTCTTCTTCGCAGGGCGATTCGTAGACTCTGATGGCGTGTGAGACGGCGCCGCACGACCTTCCGCGAGAGCCTGAGCGTACATGGCCTCCAAGTGGTCCCGAGACTTAGTCGGGCGTGGTGGTCGGTCTGCAAGGCTGATTCGGGGTCGGAGGTAGTCGTCCAGAGCTTTGAAAGTAGCGATGGCATGGATTGAGACCATGATGTTCCGATAAGTCTTGGGAATACCCGAATCATCATCAGCAACGAGCTTCAGTCTAAGCTGTTTGGCTAACATGGAGCTTGCGCTCCCTCTGCTGTCGTACATGTTTTGATGGACAGTGACCACATCGAAATGCTCAGATCGGCTGAGCAAGTCTTGCAGCTTGTGGACCAATACACTGAATGGCGTTGCTGGAGACGCAGTGCTTGCAGTCTTGATCTTGCTCTGACCACTACCTCCCATGAACGCTTCCAGAAAAAGAGGCCTAGGGTCTACATCCTTTCCAACCTCCGGCGTCGCAAACACATCCAGTAGCACTTCAACGATTTTAGACGACTTGAGCTCATAACTAGTAATGCTTTCGAGCGCGTCGCCTTCGAAATAAGATGCTAAGCGTGTGAAAAGGCTCATGCAGTCACCGGCAGCACCTTCAGACACACGCGTCCTGATTTCACAAGCGAGCGATTTCAGATCATCCAAAACCGCAGATGCCCTGTCGCGCGTGGCTTTGTCAGACTCCTTCTCATGAGTCTCAAGGAACTTCTTGGCACGGAGAGTGATGATATCTTCGATATTGGGCATTGGCGGAGGCTGGCGTTGATCAGAAGACGAAGATGAATCGGAGTCGTCATCCTCGTCTCGGTTTTGGCTGCCTTCATTCAGATCGTCATCAACGTCAACATCCTCCCCGTCGTCAGACTGCATTTCCACGTCAGCACCCTCATTCATATGAGCAGTGTCTGGCTCGGCCTCGGGTTCTGCCGAAGAGGTGCTGCTGGCGCCATCGGCATCCAGGGCGGGCTTTGTGTCTCGGTTACGAACGTCCAGCGTCTTGCAGGGTCGATTTGCAAGTTGCGAAATCTCGGAAATGACGCCTTCGCGGTAGAATTGGTAGCGATAGATTGGCTCCAAACGCTTGAGAAGCAGCTCGGCAGCCTGCAAAGCGTAGGTGACCAATGACGAATGATCTTGTTGCGTAAATATAGACGCCAAATGCGAGGCGTATGGCACAGATCGCAGAGCTTCTTCCAAAATCTCGGTATCTAGGTTCGAAAGCATCTTCAGATGTGCAGTAAGCACCTTTTGTCGGACACTGAGATTGACAGTGCTCGAATAAGCATCCGTCAGGGTTGGGAAGAGAATGACTGCGAAGCGCTTAACCTCTGCCTTGCACCCTTCCAGTAACTCGACACGCTTTTCATTGTTGGTCTTTTTGTTCGTCGAGGAAAGTGGAAGAAGATCATCGCCTGGATAGCCGGCATCGAAAAGATCGTCAAGGTATGTAAGACCCTCGCTGGGCACGTCGGGCAGCAGCTCGCAAATGACATTCAGTGTTTCGTAGACCTGGTCCTTGGGCCGATGAATGAGGGCTTGCATGATGACCACGGAATCTATCTTGGCCGCAACGTCTTCGGTGCCGCTCGGTGGCGAGACTCCAGTGAGAATCTGGTACAATGTGTCCACCACGTTCATCTTGAGCAACTCTGCGGACAGCCGTGGGCTGGCTTTGGCGGTGTAAGCGAGAACCTGAAGGAACATGGTGTGGATGTTAGGCCCTATAAGGTTCGTGCTGCCGGGGAGCAAAAGGCGTAGGATGGCCTGGAGAAGGTTCGTGCTGACCAGCTCCTCTAGCCTACTCTCTTGTTGCTTGAAGCTCTGGACGATGCGCGAAACACAAATGCATCCTTGTTCAACCACTTTCTGGTCGTTGTTGTTTAGAATGTTCTCTAGAATAGGCATAACATCGCGGACCACTGGGAACGAATCTTCCGGAATGTTACGGCAGCAGTTCGCAGCAGTAGTGACAGCCACACGTTGTGTGCTGGTGGCGAAGAAATCGAGAAAGGTCAGACACGCAGTCAGGCCGCCCTCGCGAACAATGACGCCGGGAAATTCGACGGAGATCTTTTCCAGTGTGCTAAGGCATTGCTCAGCAAGATCGATAAAGTCGATTTCCAGCAGCTTTGAGCAGAGAACGGGGACGGCGCCACCGTAGACGACATTGGCAGTCGCCTGGGGCAGGGCTTCCATCAGGTTGGCCAGACATCGACACGCAATCAGCATGATCTCAGGGTTTTCTTCCCCGGTAAACTCATTCGCCTGCATTAGCTTGACGAGTTCTTTGACATATGCATCTGGGGAGAAATGGCCAGCTAGATTGTCCTCGGTGGAGATGAGGAGCACCTCAGAGAGATCTTGGAGCGCAATCAGTTGGACCGACGAGTCGGGCGAACGGAGCTGGTCGAGTATGCCCCGTAGGCGCTGTGTAGTTCCCGCCATCATACCTGTGAGTTGTCTAAGCGCAGCAAGGCTGTGTGAATTGCGTCCAAGGAAACTGCCAGATGTGAATGGGTCGTCATCGTCATCGTCGTCTTCTTCATCGTAGCGCTCTCCATGGGGGTCGCCATCGTCATCGCTAGTGTGTTCCTCGCCCGACTGGCGCATTTCCTCATCGGTTGGGGGCGGGGGGGCGTCGTCCATCATGGCGTCCATATCTGCCTTGCTGATTTTCCGAGAGCTCCTCCGAGATGTGGAAGGAGCGTCTGCGTTGGGTTCAGCGGCTGGGGTCTTGGTAGGTTGACGGGCGCTGTCGCCTCGACTCTTGCGGGCGCTCTTGGTGCGCTTCGAGGGCTGTGGTGTGGGTTTTTCCTCAATGGGATCTGATGGTGGGCTGTTGGTTGTCAGCAGTTGCTCTAGTCGGCGCGCAGAAAAGATTGGTACAGACCCAGTTGAAGACATGGCAGCTTTGCCTTTGGCCCGCTTAGATCGACCTGGTGGCTGGGCGGGTGCGTCTTTTTCGTCGACCTTGGAGCGCTTGTTACGTGTGCCACGGGTAGGGGCGGTGTCTGCCGTGTCTGGGTGCTCTGGCGTCGAGTCCCGCACAGCAGTCTTCCTCTTACGAGAGGCTACAGTCGGCGGTTGTTGAGTGGGAGGGGGAGGTGCAGGCGGCGAGGTGTCGTTTGTGTTTGTGTTGCCGGATTGGCGCCTTTGCGAGCGAGTGACTCTGGACGACATGAGATTCTGACTACAGGCTTGTGATGTGATAATCGAGAAGCGCGCAGACTTGGTGCGGCCGTAAGTGCAGCCCGTCTGGGTGTGGATCGACAAAGCAAAGTGGGAGTGGTTGTGTGAGGTGACAGTTGATGGAGTTGGGCGATGGGGTCGCGATTACTGCAGCGGCGAAGGGTCGAGTGGAGAGGTATTTACCTTTCACGAGGTCCTCTGGAGGCCATCAAGGACGCGCCATTAGGCGTGTGCTCAAGCGAGTGCGGTGAGTACAAACACAAAGGAATCGTTAACCGCAAGTGATTGCCCTGGTCTGCAGATGGAGCAAACGACTGTGCTGCTCTGGTAGTAGTGCGATGGGTATAGAAAGAGATGGAGATAGTGCAATGACTCCTGGCGAATACTTGTGAGGTTGATATCCACCACGCATGCCAGGTCGGAGGAGCTAATTACGTGACCTCACTAGAGTCTAGCGCCAGCCAGCCTTATCGATAGAGCCTCCCCGTTGTCGTCCAGGCCGACTGCGCCTGCGCCCTACCCGATATGCGTGGTAGGAGACAGAGAGCATTCGTGTGTGGAAGTGGAAGCTTCTGCAGTTTGCTTTCAGCGTCCATGACGCGCTAGGCGTTGGCTACCTACGCAGGGCAGCAGTTGTATAGGCACGTCCCACGCCCTGACCCTTCCAAATTCTCATCTCAATCCGGTCTGGCGGATAGCAAGCCGAAGTGAAGATCCATGAATGTGACAGCCTCAGTGCTGAAGCGACAACAGTTGGAAGTCGGTTTCGTCGACCCAATGCAATTTCACTTCTCCATCTGTCATAGCAGTCGGCCGCTTCTTCCGTCAAGACAGGCGTGTGTGGCTTGGCATAGATGTGGGGAAGAGCATAGTCACGTGCTGGAGGTCACTGTGGCTTCACTCGGATTGTTCCCTGGGACCGCTGGCACACAGGGTACGTATTCTTACATAGTACAACAATATGCAGGAAACAAATGTAAAGACACTGGACACATCTCTCTCCTCCGGACTAAGTCTCCCCATTTGCTCCGGTCTCGCAGTGGCAATGGATGATCAGGCCAGTCCACCCGCCTCTAGCGGCTACAGTCAGAGATGGATTCCTTGCCAAAAGCCTTGTCACGCTGATTGTTCAGCATTTGGATCCCACGCTCCAGGCCTAAATGCACCAGCGCGCATCGAGCCACCACAGTGCATCCCGGCCGATAGCACTGCTAGTGGGGACGGGGAAATGCCGAAGTGCGCCACGTGAGGGTATTTGCTTCGGTGCATATTGGCGAATGTTCGGATGCGAAAAGTGTTTCGCCCACCAGATCTTCGCGGCCCAGGTAGGCTGAAGCGCCGGAGGTTGGCAAAGTCCACCATCCTTGAGAGGCCCCGCAGCCCGCGCTCCAGTGTCTCAACGACCGCCTAGAAGCAACCGTAAAATGGTACAAGATGGCTCTTCCCTCCTCCCTTAGAACTCGTCCTTTCACCCGCCCAAGACAACCCCCACACCTAAACATCATTTCGCTTTTCTGGCATAAAGCCTGTACATTAAACACATCTCATCGCTTGTCGCTTTATCACCCCCCGCGTCATAAACAGGTTGCTACCGACTCACTTCTTACTACTGCCTAGCTTCTCCGTAGTGTGTTCCGGTAAGACCCCTAGACCCGTTTCTGGCGCTATTCGTAAGCCTCTCACATATCACGCATACTCATAAATGCTTCTTCCCCGCCGGCTGTTGACCTTGCCCTCTAGAACTATTACCACGACCCATTTCTTACCCCAAACTCGCGACCCCACGTTGCCTGCATCCCCACGGCTATCTCCTCACAGCCACCCGGGTGACATCAAATACTTGACATAGCAGTGTACAAAGCCACTGTAGTTGCGAGACACGCTTCTTAGCTGCTTTACTCATACTGTCAAGTATTTCAGGACACCCAGGTGTAGCCGAACACTCACCCCGCGGAGATCACCGCCCCTCACTATCCGCCCGCGCCCCGGTCCACACATCTTGCGCACTACCGCCATGTCGTCGACGGATAGCCAGGGCATTTTGCTCGACGCCGGTCTGCCCAACACCGAGGCCATGTCGCTCGAAAACTACACATTTCCCAAGGAGAGATTGAAGAAGACGCTGTCAAACCCCAAGAAACAGCCCATTGTACTTGTATCATGTGGCTCCTTCTCCCCGCCAACCAACCTCCATTTGCGCATGTTTGAGGAGGCAGCCGACTACTGCGAATTCGAGACGGACTACGAGGTCGTCGGTGGCTTCTTCAGTCCCGTCGGCGACGCCTACAAGAAGGCCGGACTGGCGTCAGCACAACACCGTATCAACATGACCAGAATTGCTGTGCAAGACAGCTCCAAATGGATTGGTGTCGACCCATGGGAGCCATTGCACAAGGAGTACCTTCCTACTGTCAAGGTCCTTGACCACTTTGACTACGAGCTTAACGAGGTTATGGGAGGTATTGAAACCGAGAACGGCGAGAAGCGTCGCATCCATGTAGCGCTGCTTGCCGGTGCCGACCTGATCCAGACGATGAGCACACCAGGGCTCTGGGCCCGCGAAGATTTAAGCAGGATCTTGGGACACTACGGCGCATTCATCCTCGAGCGCAGTGGTACTGATATCGGTATGATACACATATTCCTGCCTTGAACCAACGCTAACTAGTCATAGATGATGCGCTTGTCCAACTCCAACAATGGAGGGAGAACATCCGTGTCATCCCGCAGCTCATTCAAAACGACGTCTCCTCGACCAAGATCCGTCTCTTCCGCAAGCGGGGTAAGAGCATCCGTTACTACATCCCGGACAAGGTCGTCGACTACATCTACGAGCACGGTCTTTACAGCGACGATGAGAAGAAAGCAGCAGAGAAGGGCAAGGCGACTGCTGCTGCCGAGGCTGCCGGGTCTTCGCAAGGCGTCTCCGCTTCCTGAGCGGTGACCTCGTCACTCAACAACTAATGTGTTCCAACGTGTAAGCACTACAAGTGCCGCCGCTTCCGATAGTATTGCCGCATCGCGTACTGCGGCAGCTCCAGTCTATAATACACCTGGCGGCATACGGAGTTGGTTTTATAGACGCGGTCACTACACCGTCACAGACACCCTTTACCGGCTTATTAGAGAGGCACGGGTGGGCCTTCACGGCATGACTGGGCAGGCTAGCCCCCAGGACCTATGGCGCATTGTTTTTTGTATTCCTAGTTATGATACCACACACACATTCAACCATGCATTTTAAGATGTCCACAAATGCGCACATTGGTGGCGGTAGAGAACTGAGTCAAGCGCTGTGATGTCATTGACCCAGAAGCGACGGGAGGCGCTGAGCAGATCTTCCCTGTTCATGCAGGGCCTTATCTTTGCAGAGTTTCAACGGCAGACGGCATTCGAAAGGCACCCTGACCCGTGGACGTTGAGTGTGACAATCACGGGATGACGAAATCAAACATTGAAGTCGTTACGTGTAAGGTCCCGTAGTCTGTGTGTTGACAAGTCGTCGAGCCAAGCAATTGACACAGCTGTACGTTCACGTTTGTTTTTCATGCCGCTGCGAACAAGTGCAGAACTGGTGCCCGACAATGGGCTGAGATCATCAGACCGGCAATACCGGCAGTCAAACGTCAATTCGTCTAGCCCAGCCACACTCGGCACCTTGTATCTAATCTTGTCGCGTTGTAAAGTCGTCATCCAAGCATCTGATTCCAAGCATCTTGTGGTGCCCAGCACAGGGCCACGTCAGGCAAGGAATCAACAGCGCGTCTCCACAGCAACGCCGCCAACATCCCAGCAAGCTCAAGGTCGTGCATGTCGACAGCCACGCAGTGTACATATTCGCTACCAATATTCACATGCGCGTGAGTAGTCTATGAAGTCCTGCTCGTGTTACTCTTCTTTTCGCTTTTTTTAATCCACGTTGCGTTGTGTATGCGGACCCCGCGTTTCTACACCGCTTAATTGCATTCCCGAGAATTGGGTAACATTCCTGAGGCACAAATACCTTGCCCACCTTCTTTCGAAATGAGCGACCGTGAGCGCGACCCATCGCGCCGGCGACCACAGGGCGACGAACGAAGACGACGCCGAGAATCGCACGGCGACGACGCAGAGCGACGCAAACGAAGAGAATCCCGCGAAGCCGCAGTACGGGAGCAAGAGCAGAGGCGGAGAAAGGGACATCGAGCGACTGACTCACAGGGTGATTTACTGCCAAAGCCGCAACGACGTTCAAGACAGCAGAGCGAGTCTGAGCAGGAATCGCCAGCCCCGCGCAAAGCTCGTGGCTCGCGGCGCAATTCCACCACAGATGGCAGTGGCAGTAGGAGCCGGGGCTCAGCCCCCTTGAGTCTCGATGCGCTTGCCAAGCTTGACAAGACCAATGCTAAAAAGGCCGGAGGCTGGGGAGCTTACGACTACGATGACGAATACCTAAAGGAAGTTCGGAGGAAGGAGAAGAATCTAGAAAAGGAAAGAATCAAGGAAGAGCGCGCGGCCAAAAGAAGAGACGAGCTGGAAAATGCTAAGCGGCGTGCTGCTGAGAGCGATGCGGCCATGCATGAGGACAAGGCCAGGAGGCGGCGAGAGGAGCGACGAAGAGCGGCCGAAGTGCGTAAAAGTCAGACTGACGACGAGGCTGAGAGGAAGAGGAGCACACATACCGAAGACGAGCGGGAAGATCGTCGACGCAGACAATCGGCTAGGCCGGCACCAACAGAAGCAGAGGAGCGACGAGAGCGAAGAAGACAAGAAAAGCAGCACAGAACCGAGCAGAAGAAGCGGCGTGTCGTCAGCGGGCCGTTGGCAGAAGAAGGTGGTGTCGACGACGATGACGAATATCGGTACATGATGGAAAAGCGAGGAGGCGCAGGGAGTGCACCAACCGTATACTCGGAAGAAGAGATGGCAAAGAAGAAGAAGCGGAAGCGCATAATTATCGGTGTTGTGTCAGTTTTGATCCTTTTGGCCATCATTATACCGGTGGCCGTCTTGACCTCCAGTAAAAGCAGCCCTAACAACAGCTCAGCAAGTGGATCACCGGCCGCCTTATCGGGACCAACCAACAACAACCTAAACGGAAAAGACCGCAATAGCGTACCAGAAGCAGATCGGGGCGGGATACTGGACCCATGGTCATGGTATGATACTACTGACTTCAACGTTACCTACACCAACGAGCTGGTAGGAGGTCTCCCCGTCATCGGACTCAACTCCACCTGGAACGATGATGTTCAAGCCAACCCCAAAGTCCCGAAGCTCTCAGACCAGTTCGAGTACGGCAAAATGCCTATTCGTGGCGTCAACGTCGGTGGCTGGCTCAATCTCGAACCCTTCATTACTCCGTCCTACTTCCAGCAATACGGGTCAAAGGACAATGTTGTTGACGAGTGGACATTTCTCAGCAAGCTAGGCCCCGCAAAGGCCAAGGACACGGTGGAACAACACTACGCAAAGTTTATCAACAAACAGACATTTGCTCAGATCAGAGATGCTGGCATGGACCATGTGCGCATTCCTTTCGGCTACTGGATGGTACAGACCTATGATGACGACGTCTACGTACCGCAAGTGTCATGGCGCTACCTTCTCCGCGGCATAGAATATTGCCGACAAAACGGCCTGCGCGTCAACCTCGACCTGCACGGTGCCCCTGGCAGTCAAAATGGATGGAACCACTCTGGCCGCCAGGGCACAATCGGCTGGCTCAACGGCACAAACGGCGACCAAAACGGACAACGCACTCTAGAGGTCCACCACAAGCTCTCCGTCTTCTTCGCCCAACCGCGCTACAAAAATGTCGTCACAATGTACGGCCTCGTCAACGAACCACGCAATGTCGAACTCGACACCGAAAAAGTCGTCGCCTGGACGCAAAAAGCCATTGACCAAATCCGGGCCGACGGCATCAAAGGCATAATCGTCTTCGGCGACGGCTTCATGGGCCTCGACAACTGGCAGGGAAAACTCCAAGGCAACGACGACCTCCTCCTCGACGTACACCAATACGTCATCTTCAACACTGACCAACTCAAACTCAAACACCGCGACAAGCTAAACTTTGCCTGCGAAGCATGGACCCAACAATCCAAACGCTCCATGAACAAAGCCACAGGCTTCGGCCCCACCATGTGCGGCGAATGGTCCCAAGCAGACACCGACTGCACTAAATACATCAACAACGTAAACACCGGTACCCGCTGGGAAGGCACTCTCCAATCCACGGATAAAAGCGGGGCTGTACTAGTCCCGCAGTGTCCACTGGAATCTGCACAGTGCTCCTGTGACGGCGCGAACGCGGATCCAAGCCAGTATTCTGAGCAGTATAAGAAGTGGCTCTATCAGTTTGCGCTCGGTCAGATGGATGCGTTTGAGGCTGGTTGGGGCTGGTTTTACTGGACCTGGGAGACGGAGGCTAGTACGCAGTGGAGTTATCGGAGGGGGCTTGAGGCGGGCATTTTGCCCAAGAAGGCGTATGATAGGGATTGGAAGTGTCCCGGCGGTGGGGTTAATTCGCTGGATATGTTTGAGGGGCTGGCGGAGAATTATTAGGTGGAGGGAAGGTAATGAGGTCATGTTGTTATGAATGGGGGTGCGTATGTTGTCGTTTTTTTGTCGTTTACTGTGCATGGTCGGTGGGATTCGCATTGTTCTGCTCGGTCGTGGGAGGCGTTTATTGGTGCTTTTTCTCACTGGACATATTGTTATTCATGTTTATAAAGAAACCAACGTACATACAACGCTCACATGTATAGTATACTTTAAACAAATACATAGCATGACATACAACGATAGAATGGACATATAATGACACTGCTTAAACAATCATTATTCCTTTAATCCAACGTTTCTCACCACAAATCCCTTGAAGAAAAAGACGTTCATTGGTATACGAAGCTTGTTCTTCTTTCTCTACCAGTCCAAGTCGTCATGCTAGCTACCGTCATAATACACTTACTATGTAATGTGCAAAGAAAACAGTCAAAACAGTCATCACCACACAAAAATCACAAAAATCGTAAGACATAGAAGCTCATGTTATTAAAATCTTTTTGTTTTTCGTATGGCTAGCCGGCTAACTAAACAAATCTGTACCGCATCCTACCAATCCTAAATATATCTCTCTCCTGCTAACTCCTTAATTAACAAAAACTTATATACGTCTTGGTATGTGCATTCATAAATCCATATCCTATATCCATAACCCCCTTTTCCCTTTTCCAATCCAGGTCTTTCAACTCTTCATTATGGTCATCATCAACTGTCGTCGCCTAGCCGTCCATCTAGTTTGAGCTGGAAGCACCGCTGCTGCCAGACGAGGCACCAGAGCCGCTAGCTGCTGAGCCAGAGGAAGCTGAGCCGCTGCCACTTGCGGCTCCAGCAGCAGGGGCGGCGCCACCAGCGGCAGGGGCAGGAGGAGCAGCACCGGCGGCAGGAGGAGCGGGAGGAGCGGGAGGAGCGGCACCGGCAGCAGGAGCAGGAGGAGTGGCACCCCCAGCGGCGGGAGCAGGAGGAGCGGCACCTCCAGCAGCCGGGGCAGGAGCAGCAGCAGCAGCACCACCGGCGGCGGGAGCAGCAGCACCACCAGCAGCTTTGCCCTTACCCTTACCAGCAGCACCAGCGGCAGGAGCAGCAGCGCCGGCGGCAGGAGCACCGGCACCGGCAGCAGGAGCGGCGGCACCAGCAGCAGCAGGGGCAGCAGCACCGGCGGCGGGGGCAGCAGCAGCAGCCGCCGCCTTGCCCTTAC